ACTTAAATAAAGAAGACATAAGTGTCCAACAGTTGTAATCCCTAAGGGGGGAAATTTCCCGCTCAAAAGTTAAATGGGGTGATAAGACAGATTGTCTCTTCTTCCCAGATAGTTAGGTTTACAAGTGTCCAACTTTATATAGCCAAGATAATATGGTTTTCGGGATAAATATGTTCTTTCTCTACGATTACCTTTTCTAACATAACCAATAGAAAAGGTTATGGATGGCTTACTATCTGTATTATTAGATAAAATTAAAATAACTTTCTATATTTTTTGTAATATTAGTTATGATGCATAAATACTAATTATTATATAAGTATAAAATTTAAATAATTTGTTATTTTCCCTATGATTAAAGTCTCTAACTTACTAAATATTCAAGGGTCATGGATGGATTACTAGATTTATTTTTAGATATTAGTACATAATTTACCCTTAATTATTGGGGTGATATGTAATAGTGATCTTGTTAATTAATTACCCTATCCAATAATATGTAGCCAATATGTCCTGTCTGATAGGATTTTAACAAGTTATATGGATAATAACAACTTACATAATCATTAAAAAGGCCATCCCTTTAATAAACATAGTTTAACAAAAAGTTTAACAAAAGCAATCACTTAATACATAAGTTGATTTAAGGGAGACAGAATTAAAGATATTACATCAGAGTACATCCTTACAAAAAGTTTAACAAAATCATTCACCAATCATCATAAGGGAGACATGAATATTATTTGTAGGTTTTGGATAAGTTAATCGACCACCATTTTGATATCTTTCACTTCTTCAATATCTGGCTCCGAATAAACTTTCGATATAGGCCCATGGCTAACAATCCTCACACTTTCCGGCCTTGCTGCATACCTATCAATCCTCCACCAAGCTAGAGCAAGAATAATATTCGTATGACCAAATCTGCGGTAGTTACTGTCAAAGTCTAGGGCGGTTTGACCAGTTGCCTCACATCTCAGTACTACCTGGCTGAAATGGGAAAAAATCTCATGTTAACATATGAAATATGAAATTATGAAATAAATCCTAACACATATATATTTATTGTATAATTACTTCCTATCCATGAGCTTGAAAGGAATTCTGTATCCATTGATATCAGCACGATCCGGTGCGTTATTGGTCAGGCTACCAACATATACGACAGCACCAATTATATCTGAAATATACAAAGATGAAAATGATGGGTAATGCGTACCCTTAAACATATGTGAAGAGTACGTTTTTAAAGGGAATTCGAATTACCAATCAATTTATTTGTTGGGACAGTGTCCTCAACAATGTAGTCGAAAGGTGTGAAATTATTAAAGAGGACAGTTTCTCTAGGATCAGCAGATGTGACACATGTTTCATCGACGAACCATATCCCATAAGTATGGGAGGTCGCTCTAACCTTTTCCGAGTTAGGGCGAACACGGAATGTTGTTATGGTTTTCCACTGATTCTCTTTGATTTTATCAAAGTAAAATTTTGAAAAACACCGATCGATTGTTGCCTCAATTTGGGTGCCCTTTAATAAACAATTGTGAATTGCATGTTAAGAAATTATAATAAATTGAGAGATAATATTACACAATACATAGTAGATAACTTACCGATGTATCGACCAACACCAAGCGAAGTTGGAACGAGGATTGATTGATCCATTTCTTGTAAACCCTAAGAACCATGACACAGATCGTCCATCCCGTTATCACAGGTGACAACTCGTAAAGACTGTGATAATGAACCATATCGAATTGCAAAACCTAAATCCCTAGTTCTTCGAAATGGTGGAGACAGAAAGTGTTTTTTTTTTTTTGTGTAAAGTCTATCTCTGGCGAGATGAAGGGGTAATAAATAGGAATATGGAAGGTCAAAGAGTTTGAAGTCTAAAAGGCAAGAATATAGTTGGTTGTATGAACAGTCACTTGTAGTTTAAAGATATTCAATGAACTAAAAAGGCAATGAATACGAAAAAGCCAAAAATAAGGATATTTTTAAAATAAATGCAATGGTTAATTTTCATCATCAATAAACCGTTGCGTCTATAGAGACGATTGTGGTTTGGATAAAGACAAAATGAATGCATAATTCCTTCCGTGTGAAATTAAAAGGTGACTCTAATAACCAGCACCTCGTGGACTGTATTCTTTGGACAAAGGGTATACTTTTAGTTATATCTAACGGAAGGAATTATGCATTCAAAAACAAAAACTTATTATTGATTCAAGTTTCAATATAGGTAATTATACCGTAGTCTATAATTAGTAAATAAATATAAATATATTAAATACACTAAACCAAATTTAACTAACCCTAAGTACTTTATTAAACCAGATGGACAATATACTTTGGCTATATCGATTTGGACACGTTATTAACAATCTAGCTAATTAGGTCAACTCATATGTTAAATCTGCCCATCTAAAATTTGTGCGGGAAATTTCCCCCCATAATGATTTCTACTTTTCACTGTTAACTCTTCTTTAGTAATAGATTGGGTTTTACATTAGTTACTGGGATAATTAACAAGTACACATAAAACCATTTTTGAGACTTTAACCATGTTGTACAAAACATGGACTTTAATAAGAACTACAGAATTATATCCGAGATTTGCCGTAATTAATGTTCTCGGACGATGGACAGATAATCGATGGATAACACATTATCCAGACGTTGTCTGAAGAGTGGAGCAATTAAGAAATACAACATTAATCAGAAAGAGGCCTATTATTCCATCCTCCCATTACAGAAAAACAAAATACAGAACCTTACATTTTAATTTCAAAGATTGGGACAGATAGTAAAGTAGCACCTAGGAGTCCCCACCCTCCTTTGTTTCCTAGGAGGAACCCAGTAAGCACCATCTATTTGAAACCATCCGCCATCCTCTCCATATGACTCAGCCCATAATCCTGGTCTATAGCATTCTTCAACCAAGTTCTCATATGCTATCCCTTTATTCCTTTCGGCAGTCATAGCATAGCGATTGTTTGCTAGAAGACATTTACTATAAAAACGATAATAGATTGAATGTGGCATCGACCACCACATGAAATTCCGAGATCGGTCAAGCCGGACAGAATGAAGAGTTTCCAGTGAGTAGACAGCGGGCATGTGGAAAGTTGGGATTGTATTATCCTAGGAAATAGAATGATGAACTATAAAATTTGTATAAGTGGAAATCGCCAGAAATAATTATTAGTTTCTATTAGGTGAAGCTAAATTACCTTTTTCTCATCAATACCGGATGGTGGTTCATAGCTATGGAGGTGTGTTAGATTGATCATTTTGTGTTGTGTTGATTTGACTCCAACGAAATAAATTATAATTATATATATAGAAAAATCAATATAATATTGAGATAGACTTACGACGTTGAAATCGGAAATGGAGGGAAATTTACCGCTCTTATGTCTTAACCTAATTATGTTGACTAATTTTGTCCAATGTGTAGAAAGATATTTTTAAATTCTAGCCATTTGGTTAAGACTTAATGGATTACTAATCATATATTTCTATTTATCCCCAATTTATAAGAAATAATACATAAAATTACGATTATACAAAGTTGGTATGGATATTAATTATCTACAAATACAATTTTGATTATAATTATACAAACAACATAATTTATTTAAAAAGTTTGTCTTTTTAAAAGTCGTAGAGATGTCCAAAAATAAGTATCCATATCACACAACATATTGTGAATGGAATTAGTTAAGGTGTCCAATACTAGAAATCCACGTTTAAAAATATTTATATTTAAACGGCGTCGCATATAATCAAACCTCCCCCATAAACGATAATCCGGAGCTTTTATTTTAGATATTTTTTCCATATAGATTCTGATATTCCGGAGTAGGAAACACGATGTCGTCAAGCGAAAGTGGAGGTGAGTAATCTATAATTTAAATGGTAAAAATTCTGGAAAAAGCTATTATCGAGATAAATGATGATATCTTTTTGATCTGGTGAAGGAGTGAGCAACCGGTCCTCTCACACCGTGAGTGGAATCCCTCGGCAATGTACATGTGGCCAATTATCTGTGATGAAGACTTCAAAGACCCCGAAAAATCCTGGTAGACTCTTTCATTGTTGTCCTTACGGATCGGAGGAGGTAAGCAGATAAGCAACATAAGTAGGAAAAGCTGATTTGATTAAAATTTCGTTTAACATTTGATTAAAATTTCGTTTAACATTTGATTAAAATTTCGTTTTGCCCAATTTAGAGTAAGAATCATTTGTTTAAGTGGACCGACATATCCATGGTTGAAGAGATGGAAAGTGTTGAAAGGGTGGTTAAGACTCTGGAAGAAGACTTGGAAGTGATAGAGAAGAAATTCAAAGAATTTGAAGAATTTAAGGAACAAACCCAGAAAGAGATTGAAGGTCTTAAGTGTGGACTGTTGCTATGTGGGAAAGATAGAGAAGATATTTGTGTGAAGAACAAAGTATTTATCTTTGGTGGTTTAATCGTGGCTGTCGGATTCTATGTATTATTCAGTTGAGAGTAGAGTTAGTAGATTTCATTATGAAATGTAATGTATGTGTGGGACTACTTATTCTATGAATTATGTTTCCATTATGTTTCATCCGACTCAAGTAATCCTTTTTGTTAAGACTCAGTTCTTGTGAAGAACTGGTAACGGATAATAGATAAGAATAATGTTAGTATAGAGTCCTAAAACGACTGTAACAATGGATGAATTAATATGGATGGCAAGATAGGATGTAGACAAAATGAAATACAGAGAAAATAATAGTTTGGGTACAGAGTACATAATACAGAAAAACATAGTAGGCGCCAGTATCCACAGGAATATAGTAGGAAAGAAAGGAAATGATGGTTACGACTACAAACAGAAACTTGGGAAACATGTAGACACTAGGCCGCAAAGTCAGATGCATAAACAGGACAGACCAAATGCTCATAAATGTCCATTGCATATTGACGCCTGAAAGAGTCAACGTGTTTGTCAGTGATTTTCTCCATTTGGTCTGGGAGTTTATCACTTGCCATTATCTCAAGAAATTTCATAGCAACGGGGCCACAGTCACCAGATCTAACATTCTTGTATACACCATGTATTCGCCTCCACAGGAAAGGTTTTAGTCCATGGTTCTGGGAACATGCGGGCTTACAGTACCTCTGGATGAGGTGTGGCAAAAGGGTAACCACAGGCTCGATAAATTCTTTAACTTTTTCCTCCGGATTGAGGTCAGTATTTGGGTCGAGAATTTCAACTTCCCAGACTCCTAGATTGATTGAAAGGCCTACCCAGTGGGAAGAATTCCAGATCATAGGTACATAAATGGTATCAATGTCTGTGAACCACTCGGTGGTGGGGCCAACGATAAAGCGTTTCATGGGATCGGACCAGCGGACGCGAGATTTGATTTTTGCTGCTTTGAAAGATTTGTATTTTCCTTGTAAATGGTTAGCAAACCATGGTTCAACAAAAGCAGCACGCTGTGTGGCAAGTCTTGTTGCAAGCCTACTAGAAAGTAACTCCACTAAAACCTCCATGTGCTGTGGAAAGAAAGAATAATATATTAATATCTCTGAGTACTAGCTAAATACAGAACAATGAGTTGAAAATAAAATATAGTTACCAGAGTTGAAACCCAATTTTGAGGTTTTGCAAGCTTGAGGAGGAATGAGTTGGGAAATAGGAATCCAGAATCCGTAACATGTTCCCTGAGAGGAGTAACAAGGATAGTTTAGGTGCCTTAATGACCACATGTGAGGATTTAAGAAAAAAATTACAGTGTATGCATACGTATTAGGAGCTGATGAAAGGGTGTCCAAAAAATGGGCATAATCTGCCTTTTTTAGGAGTGGTAAAAGTTGGTATGCCTCCATTTTTGGTTTTGATAAAAACTCAGCTACAAGAAAAGACTCAGCTTCCGAAAGAATAGGTTTTTCTCTCGATCGTGCTGGTGATGAATCTGAAACATCAACTAAATCCTCTTCTATAGGGTCAGATGTGTTAGACAGTTGCGAGTTATTATCCTGGAAGATAAAATAAAATAAGCAATCATAATACTGTTAGATTAAAAAGACCAAAGTAGGAGGAAACAAAATAGAAAATACATATGAAAGACTAACAATAGAATCTTCTTTGTCCTGAAGATAAAGGAGAAATCGAAATTTAAAAGTCAATATCAATATAAACTTGTTTTATTTATAAAAGGATAAAATTATAAGTAAACCTGATTATCCACAATGTTTTGTCCATCAATGTTTTCCCTTAAGAAGAGTTTACCCTGAACCAATATGGAAAACATTGTAAAGTTAATGGGATTAGATGGTAAAAAGTAAAGAATGACTGAAATAGTTCATAGGCAGAGATAATATGTCCATACATCAGTTGGGGATGATTGGTTGTTTATCTCTGATTTGGATGTGGTATCAAAAACAGGATCCCCCACAAATACCAATGCCTACAAACAGAAATAATAAAAATGAAGAAGGCATTTATACGGCGACCTCTATAATAAGGGTATGAGAATTTTTAAGGTAGACCATATTTAAATTTGCTTGAGAAATTAATGTATCAGGGGTATGAACAATCTTTACGTGGTCCTGTGAGTATAAGTAGAAATACACATAAGAATTTGGGAATTGGTATACAAAAAACTTTAAATACACGTTATAAAATACTGGCAAAGTTTAGGAGAAGAGAAGACCTGCAGTGGATTATCTTCAGAGATTTGTTGCATAGGTGTATCAATCATTTTCTGAGATGCAATAACACTAACCAATGTTTCCTGAGTGTATTAGCAAAAGGAAAATGGTCAAATAGATAAGTTAAAACAATTATCCATTAATTCCTGACCATTATAACAAGACACACTCGGAAACTACTAGCTGTTTTTGAAGGTATACCTTTATTGTGACATCTTCAGCAAATACCAAAGGCTGCAAACAACAAATAAATCAAATAACTATCAATATTATAGTGGTATATATTATAATGAGCAGTTTTGGAAACACACAAAAGACCAATTGGACTGCAAAAAGGAATAATGAAAAAAAATACGGGACCTTCAGTGGATTATCTTCATCCATTGGTTCAACACGTGTATCTATAACATATTCAGACACAGGGACAGTAGCCAATGTTTCCTGATATAATTTAAAAAATTGTAAGAGATTTATTTGGAAATTATGGTATGTGTTCACATTATATAGTTTATAAAAGTGACCAAAAATTCCTGTCCATCATATCAAGAAACAGATGGTAACTATGATATATTGTTTGAAGGTAGACCTTAAGAGGGTTATATGCAGCTTTGGGTTGCCTGGAGGTATCTACCACAGACTGAGGTGAAAATAATCTATAGAATTCATCCTTGGAGTTGAAATTTAAAGATAATGGTTAGAATACACGTATCAACTATGTTCGGTTGCACAAATTATCGGGCTTGTAGTCCTAATATAGAATGCAGTTTATGAGAAGATTTGATGGCAGTTAGGTTGTAGTACCTCAAATTGTTTTTGAAGCTTCGTTGTAAGAGGTTGAATAATGTCAGCAGCCATTGGAGATTTGATGGCAGTTAGGTTGTCACTTTTATCGAAACTGGGATCATAATCAATGTGCTTAACCTGTAAGAATAGTTAGGTTGAACTGTTAAACAAGAGAGGAAAAAAACTGGAATGGTCGCGTTTAATACTAACCACACATGTATATGTGTGCAATTATACCTTGGAGCAAGATGGATTGTATTCGTTACCCTCGAGAGCAGAAGGGGTATTCAAACAAAGGGAATCTTTGTTGGCAGTGTCATAAATGGGATTTCCTTGATGTGTATCAGGCTTATTAGGCTCTTCTGATGGGAGTGGGGTAATCAAGACATCCATGGGGTCATCACCAAGCACCTGATTGTCATATGTGAAGCAATGATTAATTAAAGGGTAAGTTTAAAGAGTAGCAATAAACCAGAACACATACCGGGGTTTTAAATGTCGTTCTTTCAATGGAGTCCTCGACAAAACCATCAACCACATCATGGATGCCCAACTGGCCAAATACCTCCCGGTATTGTTTCCAGTTGTGCTGAACTCCATCACCAACCAATATATCTTCAGGAGATTGAGGTGGGACATCCGATGTATCGAAATTCTTGTTGGATTGTGGCTGTTTAGAAAGGTAAAAAATGTTTAATATTATATAGATATTGTTACACAATAAGTAGGAAACAAAAAATATAAAACAGTCATACCTCCATATCCAAATCAGTGTTTGTTTGCTCGATCCCGGAGTTATATTCGGACTGATTGGTGTAGCCTTCATTATTGTTTGCCATAGGCAAATCATTGTCTGATTGTGATCCCAAATTGTCAGCATTGACTTTGGTTGCGCAGGGATCCTGTAATGTTAAACCACTTTTTATATTAATATTATAGTTATAGTCATAGCTATGTGAGTGGTAGAAGCTATAAACCTCCATAAGAAAGCCTTCATGTATGTGTGGGTTTGATAAAAATTCATTGCTTGATCGATCATTCTGGTAAGAAATAGAAGTTGTTTCCATAAGGTGAGGGGCAAACAGTGTCATTCAAGGAAGGGGTAAGATAAATACCTCATTGGACATATCATCCGGAGTGGTCTGAGATTTAACAGGAACTTTAGCTTGCGTCATGCGCCTGGATCTGGAGGCATATTGACCAGATCTAGAAGAGAGTTTTCTAGAGCGCTTGAATATGATTGCCTTATTTATTTTTTCTAGCTTCAATACACGCTTTGATAGCTCTGCCACTTGGTTTTTCAGTTCCACCATTAAAGAAGAATTCTCATCATCACATAGAGTTAGAGAAGACCGGCTACGGGTAGCATAGCGATGCTTTGATTTTGGAGACTGAGACTTCACACGTAGTGGCGTGTTAGATTTCTTCTGCCCTGGTTTTTTTTTACGCTCGACAATGTGCCTTTTATGAACAACTGCGACTTTCTCTTTTGGGAAAGAAATGAATGGTAATGAGTCATCACCTCCTGGCCATTCAGATTTATTGAATTTATTTGATCTGAGTATCAGTTCCGACATATAAGCTACTTTCTTGTCTTTCACCTCATCATCCCACTCCCCCCAAGATTTGTCAACATTTTGTCCAAGAATAATGTAAGGATCCACTTTGTCCTGACCAAACAGAAGGGTAAATTGAGTAACAAAGAGGGAATGTAAAGATGAAAATACCTAGGTTGGAAACTTATACCTTCAGGTGGTGCTCAAGAGCGTGTATTTGTGAAAGAGAAATTAATTGTTTTGGCAGAGAGACTTTATTCCAGTGTTGGATAGTCATTGAGGTGGAATCATCAGTGACCAAATCAACCATGCCAGGAATGTTTCTAAATGCTAGGAGTTGCAACGCAAGCGGAAAACCTTTCAGACGGAATGTGATCTGCTGAAGTTGTTTGGCGAAATTCTTCACAGGATCAGTTGACACCAATTTTTTCCCAGTGCCTGATGGTACAATACGTTTCCCGGGTCTCATGGATGCTATTGTCTTCATAAATGACTCTCTACCCCAAGGGAAGGCAAGGAACGCTTCAATATCTGCCAACATCTCAACATATTTAAATGTGGGCCTCCCAGTTTGGTTTGAGGATATGAGGACACCATCAACAATGAGGAGATACGCAAGCTTAACTCTGTGTTCAGGAGACAAGGGTTTTTTGGGTTTGAGGAGCATTTCAGATACATCACCTAAGGTTGCGTCCTTATCTTTCCCTATTAACTCGTTCCAGTAACAATCCTGCCCTTCAACATAAGTTGGCTCACTTTCTGGATCATAGTCCTCTAGAAATTCACCGCAGGGCAAACCAGTTAAAGCACCAAATTCAATTAGGGAAAATCTAAGGGGTTGTCCACCAAACACAGTCCATAATTCATACTTCTGTTTGGTTATCAACTGCCTACATAGCAAAGAATGTATCAGCTTGCAAGAACTAGGGCTTCTACTTACCGGCAAGTCGAAGAGAGGACCGAAGCAAGATTGCAGAATAGTGTCGAATTCCGGTGTCCCATGGAAAATAGACCGGATAAACGAAAGAATGTCGGGTTTACAATAGACATTTAGCCTCGCTTTGGGATAACGATCAGTGGCGAAAAGTCGAGTGGGAAGATTTAAATCCCATTCTGAAGAAGCTTGCTTTGAAGTCGAGGCTGCAGTTGGTTTTTGAACTGGTTAATTGCATAAATTAGTTATGAGAACATGAGCATTGGGTTCAATAATTACCTTCCATTAGGGAGATGCGTGGAGTTTCTGATGTACAGCACTACGAAAGCGATGAAGTAGGGAAACCGTGCGACGGCGGTGAGTTGACGAGAGAGCGTAAATGGCCGGAGAGCTGACGGAAACCAAGGAAATGGCGGGTCAGATTTGAGCTTTAAACGGGAGAATCAAGAAACGGTAAAGAAGTTGGGAGAAGAAATTAGGGTTTTTTACAGTGGGGGAAAAGCGTAATAAGTTTACAGTGGGGAGGATAGAGACAAAGGCAAACCAGGTTCGGTTTGTAGGAAGAGAAACAGAACCGGTTGTAGAACCGGATTGGAGGGTATAATGGAGATTTGGCAAAGAGAGAGTGCCTTCTCCCTTGAAAGTGCCTAAAGGCACAAATAAGTCCCACAAAGTGCCTTATTATGCAATAATTCCTATTTTCATAACACACTTTTCCCATATTATCCATCTTTATTAAGTATTCGTTTAGCAACTACTCTTTTCTAATTTTTATTGTCGGATTTTCCATTTGACACGGTTGATAATGATTAATGAATCAGACACACTGTTTTTCCATTGATTACTAAGGCAAAAGAACCATATTAGGCTGCAACAAGTCTTCGTAACAAAATCAGTATTGTTTCCAAATAGGCTGACATGAAAAAGAAAAAAAAACCTTTCTAATTTAGTAGCATTTTTCTAGCAACAGCTAACGTAAAATTGAACATATATCTTTAACAGTCTTTGATGAAAATAATTTTCAAAATGACTCGATAATCGGCAAAGAAATGGGGTTTATTTCAAGGGGTCACTGTCGGTTAGATACTTAGGCCTTTATTGTCTCACAAACTCTGACCAACCTCTTATTGACATAATTAATCACCGAAAAGAATCTCGTTTTGGACTGTGCGACGTCATCTCTCGTTCGTTGGACGTTTTCAGTTGTTTCATTCTATTATTATTCACAACACCATTAAATTTTAATTTGTTGTCTTCCCTTTGCGGAAGAAGTATTTATCAATTCTAAAGAGAATAATTTTGGGCTTTCTTGTGGAGTGGAACACCTAATTCGGCTATAGAAGCTAAAGTGGCGTGAAGTGGGTTTTGGGCCCGTAGGCCATTTAGGGTTTATAAGGTTATTGGATTGGAACAAAGTGTTTGGTTTGAAGCTAAATTAATTGGTTGCTCTTTGTAGGCAGCGGTTCTTTATGGGTCTCTTGGTACTTGATTTGTCGAAAAAATGTTTGGAAAGCTAACTTTCAAGGCGTGGGTAGTTGGATCTAGCAAAGAATCACTAAGTTAAGCCTTCTTGCTTTGTAATGTTTGTAATTTGCCAAACTCGATCGAGTAAAACTACTTCCTTCAACATGATATTAATAGGACATCATGGGGGCTTTGATAGACTTAACAAATTAATGAAATGTTCTGTGAAGATTTAAACATGCTTCTATTGGTAGTATTGATTCTAGTAACTTGATCAAGTTTGCTTTAAGGTTTTGGGTTTCTTTAAGTTTCTAGCAAAAACAACCCATCTAATAAATTAATAGGTCAACTTACAAATTATAACAAATTCATGCTAATTATCTGTCGAAGATTAACGGCATTAATTAATTGTTTGTTATATAATATTTGTGTATATATAATATTATCTCGGCCAATGGCCATACATATATATGTTGTTAAATATATATATAGACGTTGTGCTACAAGTAACTTTAATAACGGAAATAATTATATTTATAAACACTTTGTTGAAAATTGATACATACAAACAAATTCTTAACCTAAACTGAGAAGATAAAACAGATAAATCCGGTTATGACGGTATCTACAAATTACGGAATTTTCATTGGACAATCTTAAATCTCTCATGGGCTTAATTTACTCGATCCATGGCCCATCTCATGTAATCACCACCTCACTCGATACCCTACCTTCCAGTTCACTGCAAAACCAAAATCAAGTGCACCTCTAAACCTTTGCCAAAGCAAAAATCAATTTCACAATTTTTGATTTTTTATTACTTTGTTCCTTATTAATCCAAATTCTAGGTTTTTTACACATATTAAAAAGCATTAAAATTTAATAAGAAATACATCACCTTTGTGATAAACAATTTTCCACAGCTTTAAATCAAGAGTAGTATTCAATTTGTTTTTGTTGAAATATACAATTTATCATTAAAATGCATAGAAAAACCTAGATTTTGTATCTTTCAGCAACAAATTTTTTTTCTAAAATTTAGATTAATATGAAACAGAGAGAATCTAATTTTTTTTTTTGGTGTGTGTACACATCTTCCAAATCTATTTATTGTGGAATTTGAATAATTTTAAGACAAGACTAAAGAATCTAAAAAGAGGTAGTTAAATTCACATATATTTTTATGACATGTCTATAAGAAATGAAATGTCTGGTTTCACATGAGGAATGTGATTGATATAGATTTCAACAACGAGAGTAAGCATGCCCATGTGACAAGATTAACTTCTACAGGAATTTTAGTTTTGCGCAACTTTGATGCTTTGGTAGTAGCCTTGTTCTTTTTATGCACATGAACTATTTTAGGAACATTTAGTTCAAAACTTCAAATATATATGAGAGTTTGTTTGATGCAGGATAGGAAGCTTGTTCATGTACATTAACTATCGTTGGTTTAGGAACAACATCTAAGTCAAAACTAATTAACTTCTAAATAATGGGCGAAGACCAGTTCTTCGTAGTTCGCATATATGTTAACCTCGCGCCGGAAGTAATTTCCATTATCCAAACAAACCTTGCAAATTGTTCTTACGGAAAAACACACATTAGGATACCAATATTCGTCCTTAACTTCGGAGATTTTTGTTTAAAGACACTATTTTAGATCTCTAATTTTTTCCCAGTGTAGAAAATAGTGAAATCAATGAAAACACATAAGACATGTATTTAATACAAAAACAAATGACGAGAACTGAAGAAAATAAAATCTAGGAAAAGATGATTAAAAACCTCTAGAATTCTTTGTTGTCGCATAGACAAAAGTTTTAGAAGCTATTTTAATTTTCGGGAATTTGAAAAATGCCCATTTTCTAATAGCACTTATCAAAATTGTTCTATCATTAAAACCTTATCAAAAATACTCTAAAAATCTAAGATCTACCCAAATATGGTGTAACCTTATAAAAGCATACAAAAATTATCTTTCTACATGTGTAAAACCTTAGAAATACTTTAGAAATAAATTCTAAATACATTATAAAACTTTATAAGTACATTATAAAACTTTATAAATACCTTGTAAAACCTTATAAAATTTTATAAAATACCTTATAAAACTTTATAACTAATTGGATCGAGTCTCCGAGTAGAGTTACCATCCAGAAGTAGCTTATAAACCTTATAAACTTTATTAAGTTCTTAGATAGAGGGACATTTTTTAAAATGAACAGCTGAAAGATTTTTTTTGAAAAAAGGCACACCAAAAAAATACCTTTCTCAAAAATTCTTTTAATTTTCGGATTTTTTTGTAAAGAAGAAAAGGTAGAAATGGTGAAAAAGAAATAAATTCACAGTTTTTTAATAAAATGGAACTAAATCTTTTCTGTAATGTTAAATTTATTTTTGATACTAAGTGTGTGGTAGTCTAGTATCAAACATATATTTATCCAAAAAATGTGTTACCTAGGTTTCCTAGTTCAAATCATGTTTGGGAAGAGTGTCGATTCCCGAAGAAATGGATCACATACATACTCCGGACCCATAAATATTAGGGGTCTCCACTTCGAACTTCGCTGTTATAAATCAATAAAAAGGAAAAAAAAAAAAATGTCTTCAAACTATATTTTAATCTCTAACATAATTCATAAAAAAGTCCAAATCCAAGATTTACTTTAAACACATCTTTTATCAAAGTGTTTATTTTTGCGAAGTTTTAATCCTCAATTCCAGCTACGAATGAAGCTACGCTAGCTCACGAACACTTGACTACTTGAGATTAATATATCAACGTCTAACTGTCTAAGCTGAAAAAATATAAAGAACAACAAGAATTTGAATTCGGGATACAAACCGAAATCCCCTACATCTCACCAGAGAATCTCTTCCTATAAATTCCACTAACACGTTGAATTTACTTACTTACTTCACTAACTCGATCTAACTTAACTATCTCTTTCTCACGTAACACACTCGTTAGTTCCATCTATTTAGCACAAGTCAGTTCCATCTATTTTTTTAATTTAATTTCTATCTTAAAAAAAAAAAAAAGACATTCAAAAAATTTGAGAGGTTGAGAAGAAATAGACAAGGTAGGCTGGAAAAGCCTGCCACGTCCGAAAAATGGAGATTGACGTAGCAAAAGAAAAAAAGAAGCATACCATGTGCCGACCCACGTAGATATCCCATTAACCCACTAGAATCTCTTTGTCTTTTTAAATCCTTTCTTCATTATGAAATTAAAAGTTTCCTCTAGAATATACAAAACAAATTCGTGACACACTTTGTATTCTTACATGAATTTAAATAGATTCCGTATCGATCGTTGTTATAGTTGCCATTACGTATATACCAAAGCGTAACGTATCCATCGATAAATAAAGATACCAAACACACAATTTATATATATATATATATATATAAAATAGTTTACAAGTTCTTTATCTATTTTCTTTCTTTTCTTTTTCTTCGTTTTCTTACCTAATTAATTCCTCTAATTATATATTTTCCAAAGACATATACGAAAACCAAATTAATTAAGAAATGCAACATGCATTAGGGTTCTCATCGCTAAAAAGCTGCGGCGGAGGAATCCTCTCTATGACGTATGAAGGCTGATAGTAATACATCATCCTCTTCATCCCTTCCACTTCCGCCATCGCCGCCATTTCATCGTCTCTTCTCTCTTCCTCCGTATCCGCCGCGTCTTCTCCACCACCTTCCTCTTGATTTCCTTCTCCTTCCTTCTTCTTCTCTTCTTCCTTATCATCTCCGGTTTCTGGCGGTTTTTCATCGCCATCACCATTCTCCTCCTTCTTCTCTTCCTCCGCGGCCGGATTTTCAGGTTCCGGGTCAGGTTGGGGTACGATTCGGGCTTGCTTTTTGGTCCGACGGTAGACGTAATCCACAAGCTTCTCAGCGTCCATTGTTCCAGTCACTATTACTTTTCCAGTGGTGTGCTCCGTCACAGTGGTTTGGACCCCTAACCAACAATATATATTAGTTAGTTCAAATAGAACCAACCTCATGTAATTCAATATTACAATATTTTTTAAATGAAAAAAAAAAGAAACTTATTTTGTCACAAAAACTGTCTAATTTAATGTTTTATGAATAACCGGATTAAAATCTTAGAAATTAAACAAAACGCTTCTAAAAGTACAAAACCTCATGTCATCACAAATTTTAGCTTAAACATGCATGTGACGTGATGCATAACGAGATATATAGTAACTTCTTCTTTTTTGACATGATATATAATGAATTTGAAGGTGACATCTATAGAGAATGATATATTATTTTAATATGGATACATATGTTTAAACAGCGAGAAATATATATTAGAGTTTTTATTTAACGAGTATTGCGTTTCATACAAAACAACAAATTGTTAAAGAAAATACCATTTTTAAATATAACCAAAAACTTTTTTGGACTTGCCCATCATTATTCTAAAGTTTACATTCAAAAGGAGTATTTGGTATTGACTAGATCCAGAAATGTATATGTACCTCTCATTTTGAGAATCTTCTTCTTGAGCTGGTCAGCACAAGCTTCGCAGTGCATGTTGACGTTAAGCTCGACGGTGGTGAGACCGCCGGAGACCTGAGAGGTTATGATCGGTGGCAGAGGCTCTCCCTCGGCTGCCGGAAGCGGAGAGAGGACTTTGGCCATTCTTTTAGTCTTCTTCTTGATTTTGTTGCACACTGCTTGCGGATCCAACACTCCTTTTATCGTCACTTGGTTCTCATTCATATCCATCACCACTTCTTCCACACCTACAAAATTTATTATATACAAAAAAAAATGTTATTATTTATTTCACTTTTGGAGCTTTATAAAATAATATTTAGGTAGTTGGGATTTTGAGAATGAAGCTATTGGTTATTATTATTTTAAAAAGAGAATTTCTTTTTGTTAATTTAAAGTGATTATTCTTAGCTGAATCTAATTCTCTATCCATATTTATATATTTGTTTACCTCTAATTTTTAGAATAGATCTTTCAATCTTCTTAGCACATCCAACACAATGCAAGTCGACGTAGAGTATGAAGGGTGGAGGCGGTGGTGGTGGTTGCGGCTCCTCCTCCTCCGTTGGTTTCTCCTCCTCAGCCGCCACTTTCTTCTCCTCCGCCACATCTTTCTTCTTCTCCTTCTCCTCCGCGGGGACGGCCTCTGGAGCAGAGACTGCCTCCTTTGCCTCCTAATAATGAAAACATAAATCACCAAATCATAAATAGGCATTTAATTTTAAAAATATTGAAGGAACTTTAGATCATACTGGTTTTACTTCTTCACCCATGTTTTAGAATCTGTGGTTATACGACGATATGGTTACAAATGAAACGAAGAAATTAGAGATATGTTATGGAGGGAATGAGTAGAGAGAGCGAGTATTTATATGAAACACAAGTATATAAAAAGATGAAGGAGGAATGGAATTATTGATGAATAATTAAAGTTATAGTATAAGGTAGGAGCTAAACAGAACATAAAGCATAAGAGGTTGATTCCATAGCACATGGCAGAAACTAATCATCCAACATATATAGACACACCTCTTCACCTTTGTTACCTTATATATAGATTTATTCTCACCACTAATTATATTTTGTAATTATTTTACAAACAACTTTTTCGACTTTTTTTTTCTTTTGCAATTTACTATTTTTTTAAAAAGGACCGGCAACAAAATGGTCCGAGGTCGGTAGGTTTTATAGGCATAGAATATGGGTGTTCTTGAACATGTACCTTGAATGGTTTTGTAATGCCATTGTGTTAGTTATTGAATTATATAATATGGATGGTGAGCCCTGATGAAATTCAAATTTAGAAATTATTCCCGGATGTTGTTCGTTTTGTTGAGTCAGTTTTTTCAGTTAGGCTTCTGAAATATGATATAATATAATGTAATGTTATATTTTAGTTGTAAGAAATTATGACCAAAAGAATATGCACTTCGACACAAATTTAAGGTTATGCAATTTCAGCACCTAAAAATGTGGCATGTCATTTATATTAAAGTATAATATATGCAAAGATATATCAAAATCTAGTTTTTATATATGACTCAACATCAAAATTCATATTCTAAGTTTGATATAACTAACACCATCTGCTCAAACAAACGAACCACATATGTATTATATTCTAACACAATAATAGATTCTTTGTAAATTCCTTCCACTTGTTCCTTTTCTTTTCATGTTATGGAATTTAAATTGGTACAGAGGTTTTGGCTTAATTACTTCTCCCTTCTCCTGATATGTAGTAGGAGTATATTTTTATTTATATTTTCGTGGGAGAAAGACGTATATTTTTTTGATAACGAGGAATGGGACCATATGAGAAAATAATTTTTGGCATCGAAAATGACAATACTTTGCATCATACTCACCGACTTTATTGGGGATTATTGTTGATTTTGCCATTTTTCATAGAAATCTTTTGAAATTGCCATTTTTACTAAAATCTTACGGATATGCCATTTTCTAACACTTAAAAATGTACGTATTTCGGATTTTTTTTGGTAAAAATACGTAGTTTATACAAAATACTAAACCCTAAGAACAACCACAACCGACTAAACCCAAACATAACGAATAAAACGCATGTTAAATCGTATTTCCGTAGCCTGAAAAAGGGCAAAATCCATAAACTATTTAAAAAAGGACAAAATCCACAAATGCCATCCCAAAAAATGGCAAATCCATAATTGATTCACTTTATTGATTACAGATATATTGTTCATCCTTTATTTTCTACAGTAAATTTCTTCCAATATTTCTTATTCTTAATCGAATACTAAAAGTTATATAACCCAATGTTAGTTAGAGAAAAAGATGATTAGATGACGTGTCATCATCTCTACCCAACATTTTGTTGTCAGCTAATTTTTATTTATTAAGAAAATACTTATTACTTACATTACAAAGTTGAAAGCTAAACCCCACGCAAACTAAATTTACCAATAGTATGTTAATTCTAAAAGCTCCATGTGATATTTTTTTTTTGATAACTCAGGTGATCTTAAAGGCTTTATAGGTCCAAAGACTAATCCTGGGGCCCGGAAAAACCATGTTAAAATTCGAACCCCGGTGGCCAATGCTACTCGAACCCAGGTGGCGGAGACTTTTCTCTCCTTTACCACTGGACCAAGGCGACTTGGTTCTGCATGTGATATTTTTAATATGTATCGCATAATAATAAGAAATTAAGAATAGTTCAGAAAATATTTATTTATTTCTCATTTGTCCAAGTAATTTCTATAGTTCGAAGTGGTTAGAAAAGACAAATCAAGTATGGTTGTATATATTGTACGAAACTATTAAATAGTTTTTCTTCGTTCGTTAAAGCGGGTTTGGTTGATTTGATTTATCGCCTTTTAGAAGAAACATCAAAATCCTTTAACCACAAGTTTCGGTTACTTGTATTCTCGATACTAAGAACAATCTCTAATCAGTAAAGTCACTAAATAATGTGTTATATTATTAGACTAGATATATATATATCTTCTATTAAGTTAGATTCACGTAGATATGGTCTTATCACATATGAGAAACTCTCTGTATAAATACTTTGCTTTGGTTATTCAATACAATCAAGTCATTACGATATATTTCATGGTATCAGAGCTTAACCACAAGCTTGCTTCCATCACTGGTCCGGTGTTTGATAATCCTGCCCAGTATCGTCGTTTAGTGGGCCGGTTTATCTACTTAACCATCACGAGACCAGATTTGAGCTACGCGGTTCACATTCTATCTCAGTTCATGCAAACTCCGCTTGTTGCTCATTGGGAAGCCGCTCTTCGCCTTGTTCGCTACCTTAAAGGATCTCCTGCCCAAGGCATTCTACTTCGCTCCGACATTGATCTCACACTCACTGCTTACTGCGATTCCGACTATAATGCATGCCCGCTTACTAGACGCTCGCTCTCAGCTTATGTTGTGTATTTAGGTGACTCCCCGATCTCGTGGAAAACAAAGAAGCAAGAAACTGTCTCGGCTTCCTCCGCGGAGGCGGAGTATCGTGCCATGGCATACACCCTAAAGGAGGTCAAGTGGTTGAAAGCGCTACTCCAAGACTTAGGTGTGGATCACTCTCATCCTATTCAATTCTATTGCGACAGTCAGGCCGCTTTACACATTGCCGCCAATCCTGTGTTCCACGAACGAACAAAACATATAGAATCGGATTGTCATCGAGTACGGGATGCTGTGCAAGACAAGCTCATCGTCACCAGACACATTTCTACGAATGATCAAGTTGCAGACCTCTTGACAAAGTCTTTACCAAGACCATGTTTCGAAAGGCTTTTATCCACGTTAGGTGTTCGAACATACGTACCACCAACGTGAGGGGGGGTATTAGACTAGATATATATATATCTTCTATTAAGTTAGATTCACGTAGATATGGTCTTATCACATATGAGAAACTCTCTGTATAAATACTTTGCTTTGGTTATTCAATACAATCAAGTCATTACGATATATTTCATATATATTTCATAAAACTAGAAAAATAGCATTCCCATTTCTTCAAAAGAAACTTTTGGGGATGGATGCAACGTGGGGTGCCCAATAAAATGAAAACTATTAAAAATTATTTGTGGATTCAAATTTTTGTAAGAACCTTTGGCATGGTGGAAAGTAGAAATCACGTGGGATGCTTTAGATTAAATTTGGACAAATGAGAGAATAACTTATTCTTGTTTGGCAATTGAGACTTAAGACAACTCTTGTAGACCAGTAGCTGTTTTGTTACTCCATTATCCGACTAATGTTAATTTACGTGATTATGTGAAGTTAATGAATAAATTAGGGGCGTGTTATAGACAACACGTAGATTATATCTTCTGGTTGATATCACTATCAATGTGTGTTCTATCAGTTTTTCCCAATTTGATATATCGCAACTCAGACATTGTGACATATTATACATATTATATAAAGTATATAACAAATAAGCTACATAGTTGGAAGAACTAATTAGAAATTAAAGTGATCCTTTAGAGGCATTTGCGGTTAACCACTAAGACAAAGTTAGCTATAAGAAAATGATAGATGAAAGTGTTCAGAGAATTCACTCAGATTCTTAATGTATGTAGTTGACCGGTTTATAATCCTCGTTTGGTAATTTTCTAATAACTATTTCTTATTTACTTTTATAATTTTTTTTTGTTTTTGGAATTAGAATCCTTTTTTAGTGAACATCAAAAAGATAGTCTTTGTGAAGTAATCTAATTTTATTTTCTAAAATTATACAGAAAAAAAAGGTAAAAAGTTCAGGTCCATGTTTACATGTGCCCAAACACCTGGAGCTGACTCAGCTTACAACATGCTGAATGTATACATTTTTGTGCGTATCTATGTGTCCATCTTTTATCCAAATATGATTTAACAAAAGTACGTTTATTTCCATATTTCTTGGTGAGTTTGGCAAGAATTTTTAGTAAGTCTTTAGAGTTACAAAATTTTAAATCTATTATACTGTTATATAAAAGAGATAACACTGTCTAAAAGACTCAAAAATCACTCTTGTTTAGTGGAAAATAATGCTTTTCCATATACTTACTTATCCTCTCAAATTTTGTTATTTAGTACAATTACTCTTCTTTTTTATTTTACATCTTGCTTTAGCAAAAATAATTAAAACTTAATTTACATTTAAAATTGAACTTAATAAGATGAAGGATAGGAAAATTAAATTTACATATAATTCGAAAATAATTTAACTAGTAGCAATTATTAGATAAAATAACCCGCAACTAAATTTTTTAAAGTGTACTTAAAATATGAACATTCGTTTCGAACGAATTCATACAGAATGGCTGAAAACATATAATAGCCAAAAAATATTAATCACTTGTTACCTTGTGTCCATCTCTAAATTAATTTCTACTTTCTATATTATTCTGTAAACTAAAATTTGTCTTAACCTTTTGGTAAAATTGCTGATATATCACTTAATTGTAGTAAGAATTTCCTTTAAAACTGTGAATTTGGACTAAACTTTTTGGTATACCTTTTTTTTTGTGCAAACAACTTTTTGGTATACCTATAAATGAACTTTAAGGAATAATTGACATAGTTTGTATCCGATCGATTTCACATTTTGAGTCTTAATTAAATTTTGCTTTTCACGCGCGACATTTTTTTTGGGTTTCAAGTATTGCTTTAGCCGAATGGACTGGAAAAAAAATTCATTGTTGAGTGGTTTGTTAACCTCATCAGATGTTATCACGAATCAAAAATCAAGACAAGAATCGTTTATTTTTACACATCTTTAAAGATGATTTTTGAAATAGTTTGTAGATCGTTCTAGAATTAACATGAAGTTCCTATTATACCAACCGGCAATATGCGACTTTAATCTGATTCAAAAGTATATCCAAAAAGTCAAAAAAACAAAAAGCCATATTGACTACTAATTAGTCTAATTTACTCTGTCACAACCTAATTAGTTTTTAATGCTTGAATAAATAGACTTTTGTTTTATGTAATGTGCCATGTTAATGGTTTCTACTAGAAACTTTCTAGCATCCAGTCATTCATATCCACAATTGTATATTTACGCTTTAAAAGCGTCACCTTTTTTTGGCCACTCTAAAATATTGAATTGATTAAATAACATTTTGCCCAAAAAAAAAAAGAATTGATTAAATAACATATATAATACGTGAATTCTAAAAATAGTCGAGATAAGTTAGTTGGTGTTCGGTGCATCGCATGTGGAGACATGAGTCCAACTGCAATGGCGTTAAGATTCGAATGCACATATTTTACGCATTTACGATGTTTTATATATTGGAAAGAAGTTTGCCCAAAAAAAAATATATATATATATTGGAAAGAAATGTATGTCTTTTTCCTACTCACACATATTTTTGGGTTTTATTCAAAGTATGACACAACATTGATAGTACTGATATCAACTACCATATTACAAAAGTTTAATTGTTTCGGTACACACTATTTTATGGCTAAAATATACATATAATGGTGCCCCAGTTATTCGTTTAAATAAGTTCAAATATTAGAAATATTCAAATATACTAGGTGAATTTAGAGTGGGTTTATGTATTTTACAAAATTTAAAATTATTTTATAATAAATATAGAGATTGTATTTACAAAATCTAAATACAATTTGTAATAGTAGACATGGTTAGCCAATTTATATATATATATATATATATATATATATATATATATATATATATAATTAGAAAATATTCTAGAATACCCAAAAAAATTCTCTACATTTTAGTTATCCGAAACATCTTATCATAGATTTAACCATTTACCTAAACTAGTGAGTAGTGAGAGTTTGTATATTTAATTGATATTAGGTATTTGAACTATTCAAATATACATTGTTATCCAAATTTCCTATCTCATATATTATTGGGTATACTTCAAGTAGTTCTATAAATAAATACCCAAATAACATGTTTTCAGTCCACACCCGCAATCAAACCATCCTATCCAAATATACGAAATGAACACCTCTAAATTCCTACACGGTACCTACTAATTACATGTGTTATGCTTGTTTGATACCGCTTTCATTATGTTGTTACCATTTAAACTCAGTTTGTTTTTTGATTGATTTATGCTACTATATCAACAATAAGCAGAAGAATTCTTAAAAGAAATCGGGTGTTGATGAATCATATCATCATAAGAATGAGTTTAGCATTTACCAACCTATTTAATAAATAAGTTAACTCAATAGATTAATAGTTAACAGACATATTCAAGGGGCTTTTCTTGGTTCATTGATTTATAAATCTATACTAGATTTATAAATCTTCATTGATTTTAAAATCATACATATAGATTTTGAAATAACATGGTTTACCCAAGAATTTGAATTCTTCTATTTTCCACTTTCAAATCTATTTAAAATCTAATGTCGATATGGAAATCCTATAAAAAATTATTAAACGAAATAACACTTGATTTTAATTAGTATTTAGAAATCATCAAATAAATAACACGTGATTTCGACAAAGATTTTAAAATCACAAATTCAATAACACATAATTTTACTTTGAATTTCTAAGTCATCAAAAATCCATGAACCAATAAACTCCCTAAATTTCTAGAATATACTATTGACACCAAATAAATAGTAATTCCACAATTTTAAGCAACATAATCAATAATTGTCAAGTATCCTGATCAGAATTCAGTATTTCCCAATCGTACAAGGCTTCTAGCATCCGAGAACACAAAATGTCAAAAAACGATTCACATTAAAATTCGGAACTGGCCATAACGCTATCTCAAGATACATGTTGTCAACCATAAAATTCTAAACATTACCCTCTGTAAATTATATGTCATACATGTTAACTACAAGTCTACTACCCTCCTAAACCGGCCTTAGTTAAGCTTAAGCCAACAAAAACAACAACAACAACAGACGCAGAACCCGGCCAAGACCCCCCCTATTATACACACAAATCCGCGCTCTCAACCCGTAAAAACCACTCTCTTTATTCTCACCATACTAAGGGTCGAACAAACATCACATTCAGCGGATTTATGCGACCAGACTGCAAACTGACATCACAAACACAACCGCTACCACGCCTGCTCTGAAAAGTCCTCTATATGAACATCCCATAGCTGCAATTTTCCTGAATATGAAACTAGTCCTGCTCTTTGATCTGGTGAAATTTCCACATCCTTTCGCTATAGTTTCCTTTGTTGTGTCCTTAACCTGTATCCCGTAAAAATAAGGATCAGAAATCATAATGCATGAGAAGGTGTTCTCATTTGAACATATGAAAACAAACTTTTTTCTCACCTCTTTCTTGATACATTGGAGTTGTGTACTGTCAGTTTCTGACTTGTGGGTGTTAAGGTTAACCTGAAGACGCAACCTTCTTGAGGCATCGCCCTGCATTACAAACTGCTCAGCATAACCCGGGGCTTGTGCTCGTCGAGATCTAATCTTAATTCCTGTCTCAGTTACATCATTGATTTTGTTGCATGTGCTAAAATTCTGTGGCTCGTATGTGATGTGTTCTGGCGTCTGTTGCACGAACTCTTTCCTCCGTGGAAGCTCATAGGGTATCTCAAGAAGAGAATCCAAGAACTTGGACATATATTCATCGGCATCATTTGTACCATACTGAGTCTGAATGTGATCCTCAATGAACAGTTGGCTTGTTCCAGATTGAAAACCATTGAAAGAGGAACAAAGCTCAGATTGCACCTGAGAGGGCAACGGAGAGAACAGATTCTGATTCACGGAATCAAACTCCATAAATGAGAGCCAATCGATATCGTCAAGCTGTTGAGTAAAACAGAATTGTAAGTTTACAAACCGCCACCCGTAATAAAAAAAGACGGTATTCTGTTCATCCTTACCCCGGTGGTTGTGACCTCAGGGGCAGAGTTTTCGCTACGACATTCGCTGGAGACTACAAGAGAAGATTCAGCGACGTCACAAGGCTTTGTGTCTTCTAAAACCGGAGATACCTCAGACATTTCAACCTCAGATTTCATCTCATCCACAACAGTTGGAGACGAGACCGCTGGTCCAACCTCACATGACTTCGACTCCTCTGCCGCAGCTCTGTTCACAATGTCTTGCTTCTTAAACAACTTACAAACAACAAACGGATTCTGCAACGAAAACAATCAAACAAACACAATCAAAAACACAAAACATCAAAACACACAAGTGATACTATCATTTGCCAAGTTGGTTTTTACCTGGCCAGACTTTGTTCCATCAAGATCCTTCTCGGTAGCGCGGTACTCATGCATAATCCAACAAGTTCGTGTCCCTTTAGGAGCACGACCTGTATAAAAGACTAGAGTCCTCTTAACACCTATAATCTTAGTCTTTCCTGATTTGATCTTACGGTCTTTTCCCGTCGCCTTCCAGTAACCAGCCACAGTAGCTCGATTCATTCTACTTCCACTCGGATACTTCCGGTCTAATGGACAAAAGAAGAGCCACTCTGCGTCTATTGTCTTCACCACAGAAAAATCTACAACACAATACTAAAATATAAATCTTTACTCAAATTCACTAATTCCATTACCTAAACTTATTGATCATATTCAGTAAAACCTCTATAAATTAATAGAGTTGGGACTATGATATTTTATTAATTTATCGATATACTAAACCAAATTTGGGACCAAACAAATATATTGATTTATCGAGGTATTAATTTAATTTATAGAGGTTATACTGTTGTTCCAAATTCATACGAAATCAAACTTGCATAAAGAAGTATCAGAAATCGTGTTGATGAAGAAAGGATAAAGTGAATATATATGTACCAGGTAAATCCCAAGGCTCCCATTTGCAGATATCGATCTCACGGATTACTCTAACGTCGTCATCGTGACCGTTGATCTTGAGTCGGAGATAGTACCGGACTAACTCTTCGTCCGTTGGACTGAATCTGAACCCTACCGGTAGTGAAGCGAGCGATAATACTTCCATGTCTTCTTTCATAGGTGGTGTGAGACTTTGAGAAATGAGAATTCGAGAGGAAAAGCAAAACACCAAATTCGATTTGGATCAAAGATGTGATTCAAAGGTATCGAGAAGACCCCAGATTCTAGAATTTGATCAAATACGAAAAAATTGGACACGATTTGGTAAAGTGGAGAAGAAGGAGATGTGACACGATTTGGTCAGACAAAGAGAGAGTTTATCAATCAAAGAGATGAAAAAGCGGCGCGTGTATACACGTACCCACTGCTTCCCAGAAAGTCATAAACACAAAACCACGTTCGTTACGCGTAAAAGGCAAAAAAACTTGGAATACCTATTTTACCCTTAAAGGAGAGGAGAAAAATAGAAACGGAAACAAGGGTACATGAGTAAAAATTGAGGATGTCTGAACGAAGAGATGTCAGCTAGCGAATCGTATATTGACACGTGGATGTTATTAAGGAAGCTTCGTGGAAGTTGTACGGAGTCATTTATTATACAGAAAGACAAGTGTCAGTGATTTCAATCGAGGCTGTCTGATCAACAAGTTCATGGAATGAGCTTCTCTGCATGAGGAGGTTAAAAAGAAGAGCCCTTAGAAATTAATTACACAAGTGGCCAGCCCATCTTTTCTAGAGTTTGTTGTTTAAGCCCAACAAATGAGAACCCAATTGAACCAATTTTTTTATATCTTTTTTTGCCAAGCCAATTGAACCAAATTTGTTTTTTTTTTTTTTGTGGCCGCTTTAGGTCATGAATATTTGAAATTTTGGTGGAAGCTTCCTTGGCCCATTGGTTGACCAAGGGTTGATTAATGCTTCTACACCAAAAGGTTTGAGGTTCGAGTCCCAGATATTATGATTTATTAACAAATGTGCAAGATTAATGGAGACAAATGTGCAAGAGATCTCCAGCGATGTACAATTATAGCCGTTCGCTAGGATTCTACGCAGAGAAAGAAGTGTCTTCATGCCGTGGATCATTGAAGGTATTCATCAGGATCATGAAGAAGGAAGTGTAGTCTGTCGTGGATCTAATAAGGGTCGGAAGGAATTGTCAGTTGTAGAATCGTCTATGTAACAGTTCTCATAATTTGCAATTAATAATAAATCTAGACGACAAAAAAAATATATATATATTTGTAATTTTTTTTTTTTTATAATGGTTTTTGGTTTAGTTTTTGATTTTAGTTGTTTGGAATATTTGAATGGAATTGATGTAGATTTTAGTTTTTAGCTTTAAACAACGAAAAAGAATTAAAAATTGAAAATAAAACACACCATTTTCCCCCAAAAATCAGTAGAATACGGTTTTTGGCTTCTGTTTTAATAATTGGTAGAAAAATATAAAAATCTATGTTCCCTATTTTTAGGAAAACCATTTGTGCAAAATATTCAATGGATATTAAATCAGTTTTTTTTTGTAGAATTTACAAACGATCAAGACCTTAATTTCCAAAGATTTTAGTTCCATCGGCTTTTTTAGTGTTTTATATTAAATTCAATAAAAATCTTTTAGACGGAAAAAAGGTTTTAAATGTACTAAACATTTGAATTCGTCTTAAATACTCCCTCCGTATTTTAATAATTGTCGTTTTAGAATTTTTATTTTTTTGAATTAGATGTCGTTTTCAAATTTCAATGCAAAATTTCTTACTTTTTAATGTTTTATGATGTCATAAAACATTAAAAAGTAATAAATTTTGCATAGAAATTTGAAAACGACATCCAATTCAAAAAAATAAAATTTCTAAAACGACAATTATTAAAATACGGAGGGAGTATGGCTTATATAAGTTATAACTATAAAACATGTGGAACCGATTGAGTCGCTCTGTTCTATCTAATCCAAATTTATGTAGTCAACAAAATTACAAAGTTTTAGATTACGTACTAAGTATCTGATGACGACTTGGCCCTAGCCAATTTTTGTTTCGTTTCCATTTCAACACTTTTTGGAGAATCAGGACAAGAGTCTAACTTTGGATTTTCTTTCAATAAAGTTCCTCAATTTTGGGTCAAACTTGCCGTTATCTTGAATTTTGTTATGACTTGCAATTGAGACATTGCATATTTAGGTTTAACTGGTTCTTCTCCAACTGAGAAGAAAACATTTTAAATCCTTTACCGATTTCTTATTTTGTGTAGCAGTTATCACAAGACCATGAAGTTGCAATTTGCTTTGAAAAAAATCAGAGGTTTAGGCTCTCAGAGTCACATTTCAAGAGGAAAAAATTTCAACATTTCGTTTCATTCAAATATATATGTTCTTTCAAAGCATCCGGTTTTCCTTAATCGATTGTTCATGGATCTCCTGTCAATCTATCCGGTATATTGTACTATGTCATAATCTATAATGTTTTCAAGTTGATTTGTGCTAAATTTGGAGTCATCCAAATTTTCTTCTACATCTTTGTATTGTGGATCTTTAAGTTTAATGAAAGGAGAAGTTTGACAACAACAAAAAAACCTTTTGAATTATTCTAAATAAAAATGTTTAGTTTTTGAGCGTTTGTTATGAGAAATGATTGTGAAAAATTAATATATTTTCTTACAAATTTATGTGTATCAGAAAGCTAAAATATTTACAAAACGAATTATTTCAATAAAACCTTATCCCATTTTCTTAGATTTTATCATTTCAAGGTCATATAAACTCATACATAGATATTTATAAACCTAAAATTTGAGAATATATATCAGTAATTGAAAATTAATATATAAACAAATTATTAAAATCTCTTCTAGTTCTAAAGGATTTTGAAGTTTGAACAAAGATTTTAAATTTGAATATTATTAAAAAATACTGTGTTTTGTAAAAGTTCTAAATAGTGTAGTGTTGTGTTTGACTACTACCACACATGCTGTCAACAAGTCAAGATTGTCCCGCACACTTTTTTCGAGCGTTATATAGCATACTCAGTTTCATATGGTAGATGAAAGAAATTGGAGAAAAAAAATATTTAAGCTTAATTTTGACCAGTAAAGTTAAAAACATAATTTAAATATACTTAACTCATTCAATGATAGTTAGAGAAAAAAAATCATCCACTAGATTTTGTTAAAAATGAAATCTCCAAAATTAAATATTTAGTTTGACTTTTATGGATTTAACATTTGTCTTAATTTTTGATTTTTTTTTTTTTTTGTCAACAATTTTTGATTTTTTTGTCATCGTAAATTTTGTTAAAAACACATGTCCTATTTAGAAAAAGCTATTAAGGAGATCTCAAACAATTAATGTGGTTGACAGACAAATAGTTGAAATGTGACCTCCTATTACTATTTTATAAACGGAATAAGAAAAAACTATATAAGTAGAAGTTATTAAAAAAAAACTGATGCATGTCTTCCAATTGAATTTTAAAATATTTAATTAAGTTGTAATTGGTTCTAAATTCTCCATAATTTTGAAATAAATGGTTGAAAATAAACATGGTATGGTACTATGGTCCAAAGGAACATATATGATTTCTACCGCAAGTATCAAATATATTGGTTTTAACGAAAAGATAAGATCCAGCAGTTCATCGGAAAAATGTATGTATGGTCTCTTCTTTTGACATCACCAAATTGACAATTTTACGGTTAAATGACAACAATTTTCTTCACTTAGTTACAAAGTGACTCTTTGACACGGTTCAACTACCATTGAACCTGAATCAATACAAATTTATATGTTCCACTGAACAAAACTCTCCTCAATATTTCTCATTGTTACTCATAAAACTACTAAACATTCTGAGCTTCCGCATCTGCGGCTCCAACGCTACATTTCATCGACTCAAACGTTAAATCAAGAAAGTACAACGAACAAACAAGAACACAACAAGTGATGAACATTGGGATGGGACCGAAGATCCATAGGAACAAAGGCGATGAGAAGTAGAACGCTCTTAGTCCTAACGACCAGAAGTAACTCCCACGGTTAACCGTTGCAGCCACATAATCTTGGTTTATCATAAGACTACCGTTACCACGACCACCTGAAGAAACAGCCATCAGCTGTTTAAAGGGGACATTGATGAGGATGCTAGCATGGCTGTAATAACGAATTGATTGCACATTGAGGAGAAACGCGACTAGGAAACACACGAGGATTGCGAAGAACTTGAGCGAGAAGGCTCGGTCGCTTTTGTCACCAAACACAAACCAGACAGATCGCTCTCCTGTAGCACTTGTCATTAGTACCGCGATTAGTGAACACAACATTATTGCAGTTGATGCCAATAGAGTTGACGCCATTATGTTGTTCCTTAGCGTTTGAACCGCTAAAACGCCATTTTTTGATGAGTCCTGTAAACAATGGTTGTAAACAGATACATAAGCTAGTTGTTATCTATTAGTACAAGAAATCTGAATCAACAAAAAAGGCTAAAAATTGGTGGAGAAAATAATATACTCCTAGTTATTAACAATTTTCAAAAAAAGTTTCCCAGAAATGCAAAGCATCTTTTGAGTGTTATTTAGCTTTCACACTTGAGGACTCATTTAATAAGGAAATTTCCAGAATCTGGCAATTATGTACAGAACTTTAAGATAATTATGTTCACATATGAGAAAAGAAATACAGATCTAAGCAAAAAAAGAAAGAAAAACAATTTGATACTGTTTCAACTTTCAATATATCAATTTGTGAGGTGCATGCATGATGATTATACTTATACTCATACAGTATTTATGTAAAACGTAGTATACTACTTTATATGCACATATATATAGTGACATAAAATCTCAACCTCACATCCTCCAACGCAGAAGGGACTGAAACCGCTGACAGAATTTTCTTTCCCAGGAAAATCTCTACACATGCATACACTTATCATTTATCACATCTTCTTCAATTCACTCATCTTTATCGTTATGTGTACATAATTAACACTATATGCAATTTATATAAAACATACACATCCACACATGATATACACAAGATTCTCCTTAGTTATCTCCAACAACCCTCAAAATATAAAACCAAATCAGCTCAAATAACTTTGCATTTTCCAGGAAAAAAATGATCATCAACTCATGCAAAATTATATGGAAAGAGATCTACATATTCGACCAAAAAAAACAAATCTTCATATATACATATAAATTTAGAACCAAAAGCAAATAAATATGATAAAAAATAAAGAAAAGAAAAAGAAAAAGACCTCCATCATGGCTTGGACCCAAAGGCGGCGATTGAAGGCGTTGAGGCCAACGACAGTCGAAGAAGGACGGTGGATGATACGGTAGAGAAGCCAAAGATGATAAAACACCATCAAAGCAAGCCCTAAAGGCACAAGTGTGTAATCTAAATACTCACGCTTCATCTTCTTAGATCAAAGATTGATAAAAAAAAAAAATTGAAGGAGATTGAGAGAATCAAAGTGAAGCACGGGTCTTACGTGGACCTTCCCGTATCTAATGCTATCTCTTTCTCTCAATTTTTGTTTTGAGCTTCCCGGATTCTTAGGCGTTTCCTCTCACTCTATACCTCTATTTATAGATTTGAGTCTTTATATATAAATGCGTGTGTGTTATTAAATATGTACACAAATCTCCACTCGTAAAAGAAGAAACCTATAGCTGTTAAGTTTGGACCAGCCGTTGCCATTTGTCATTCGGATTTACCAATGTTTTTGTTACCAAACATATACTATATTTAAAATTATTGTAATTGACTAATTCACTGAAATTGTATTTGACATATATAGTTGAAATTTTGAAACGAATTTCGTAAATCCTTCATCATTTTAAGTTTTAAACACCCTTTCCTATTGGATGCAAAAATCTAGTGTTGCACTTTACAAATGTAATTGCTAGGCCTAGAACTACTAATACTAAAAGTTCAGTTGTATTCACGGGAATTCCGAAGCACTGTTAAATTATAAAGACTAGAAAACCATACATTTTTTTTTATTTTACAAATCAAAAAGATATAATCAGAATTTGTTAATATGGTTGTCTTGGATCTTCCATATTTAACCTTATAACCTTTTATATAGAGGTGTTCTAAAACATACCACTGGTATATTTTTAATTCAAAATTACAAGAAAAAAAGAATTAAAAAACAACTTCAAAGCTTTTATTGATAATTCCTGAATCATTTGTAGGAATTCTAGAAAATATATTAAAATATTTAAAAATGAATTTTATAGATTTACTCTATATATTTAATTAAAATATTAAAGTAAAAATTGTTAAATTAATTAGTTTCGTATCCACGACCTTATTATTTATTTATGCTGACCATTTTAAAATCTAAAGGTCCATTAGTGAATTAACAAAAAAAAGCATGCAAAAGATGTATTTAATTTTGTTTGTCAACAACTCACACTCCAAATTTTTTTCTTCTTTCAACAAATCACAACGCAAAGCATGCGAAAAGTTTTCTTTAACTATTTTCAAAAAATGCCAAAGGTATCTATTACTACTATGACATGATAATAATTTTAAATTTTAAATTTTAAATTACAGACCTTCATTTGCAAAAGATATATTTGTTATAATAACAACATACTATCTATCTTGATTTTTTTAAAAAATTAGTTTATAAACCATTGATCTATCATAATACAAATTTAAATTTGATAATACTTTAGAATATATGTAAAAATGTAAATTTTAAAATAGCTGATTTTGGACCGATAAAAAAATGAATGTGGCTTTAATAAATTGAAAAAGACCAAAAAGGGGAAAAATGTGAGGAAAGTGGAAAACTTTTAAGAACATGCACGGCCCACTAGAGGGCCCATCTACTTTCTATGACGTCTATCTTCATTTCACAGCTGATTTGGCATCGGTATATTCCTGGAGGGTTCCGAGCAAACACAGCGGAGTAACCGAGCATGGGGTGTGAGTATTTTAAAAATGAGAAATAATACACTGCGCTGTCTCTCTCTTCACACTCGAATCTTAACTAACACCCGAGTGTAAGCCTCTTTCTCTCTCTCTTTCTCTCTCTCTTTCTTTCTCTCTCTCTTTTCTCTCTCTTTAAATTAAAATAATAAAAAAATATTTACACCCCACTAACACACACCGACCCAAGTTTACCATTGCTGATGGTCTAACAATGTTGCCATTTTTCTTATTATTATTAGAGCAACAATAACTCACTTATATAAATTTTCTAAAAAGGCAGTAAATTATGGTGATAAAAAGTTGTTCACGGCTTTAAGAAAATGTAAGATTCTGAAATTCTCACAAGCATCAATGCATCATGGTCCTAGATTTCAATGCATCCGTGCTTCATGCTTTATAAACTATGCATAACAAGTAAACTTCTGTAATGACAAGAAATGTTGAATAGTTTGACAATCATAGTTATAGTGAGAAAATGGGTTAGAAAACTATAAGATATGAGTTTTGAGAATTAAAAAAACAAACAAAAAAAAAATTCATGCTTAGAATTTCGATACTATAAGTATTAATTATTGTTTAGTTATTTTGAATGATAATTCTATAAGAATTTTTTATTATATAAAAGACATAATTGTTAAGCCTCTCTAAATCTAGGTACGACAGGTGCTAGTAAGTCGTTAACACTTCAAATTCAAAATTGTAATGGAAAATGAGGAAATTAAATTCTTTGTAAGTATCCTCATCCCAAACTAAATTTCATTTTATGATAAACAAACACTCAATTTGTCTTGTACCAATCCTATTCATTAGAGTCCAACTTAATTTTTTTGGCATTTTTGTCCTTTACCATCTTAAGAAAACTGTTTGTTGTTCTAGAACACAAAGTTTTGGACTTTTCGCAATACTATAACATATAACCCGGACGTTAAAAGAAGAAGAATTTTTTTTTTCTTTGACTTGAGGAATTTTTGTTTTTTTGTTATATTTTTTATTTGTGTACGTTGTGGTACCACTTGGTAGAAAGTAGAGCCGTATATGTAATACGTGTCACTTGCATGTTCATCAAGTTTCCACAACTACTACTACCACCAACACCAAGTCCTAAAGAGTAGTCCTATGGGAGGCTTGAGGAGCTAAGAAAAATGCTTATTAAGATTAGCATTTAATTGGGAGCGTGTGACATGTTAGAGCATCTCCAATGGTGAGAGTCCTCCATGGGCTCTCACCATTTTTTTAAGAATAAAATTTTCAAATTTTTGAGATGAGAGTTTTGTTAAATTTTTTTAATTTTGCAAAGTCCAATGGTAGGCTCTCTTTGTGGGTTCTCAGGAAAAAATTAAATTATTTTTTAATCATTTTATTTTATAAAACTGATAAATATTACAATTCATAACATATTAAACATACAATAATTTCATACATTTGAAAATAAATTTGCAAAAAAAAAAACGATTAGTTATTCTGTTGATTGTTGCGAAATTTTCTCTATATATGCTCAACCAAATCACTTTTCAATTGTTGATGCATATTTTGATCACGAAGTTGATTTCGCATGCCAATCATATTCTCGAGATTTGGAGGCATACCTGTAGAATACTATAAATCGACTTGTGAAAAAAATAGAACAAATCGCAATGATGGCAACTGATTACCATCTTACAGACTATAAACACAAATAAATATCATTATCATTAGCTGAAAACTAAGTTTTTGCTACTCAATTGCTTTTTTTGATCAACAATAATAGAGTAAAACATGTTGATTTGTTGTATCATACAATGGAATACTGAATCAAATCCAATTGATTGACATGGAAATAAACCAAGGCTTGCATCTTTATTATGATCAGACAAACATTAAATTTTATTGACTACAATGATAAGTCAACAACTTCAATTAGTTTGTCCTTCTCATAACCCTCTCTACCCGAACCGACTAAAACACGAGCATGATTGATCAAGAATCCATCTTTATCAACCTCTGAATCTTCCTTAAGTTTAGCTATAGACCTAGACGAAACTCCTCTGTATTTGTTGTCATAATTGAAGGTTCCTGTTCTGGATTATAAAAAGCACAAACTCAGAGAGAGCTTTCTAGTGCTCAAAAAGATTTTGTTTTTCTTTCTAAGTAACGATTTTGATTCTTACTTGTTGATTACTTGTTGCTGTTGCTCGGAAGATGGACGGTCCCAACTCAAGAACACCATCTCTTCCACAGCAATTGAAGCAGACCCACTAAAATAATACAAATAAAAATCCAAACTTTGAGCTATTTCTACATTCGAATTAGGGAGATGATCAGAGAGGTGTAGAGAGAAAAAACCTGCAAGCTTCACAAACCAGAGGCGTTTTATCCCAAATTTTATTGACTACAATGATAAGTCAACAACTTCAATTAGCTTCACAGTGTGGCATAAAGAAGAGAGTAGGCTTGAGTTTTTAACCATTGCTTCCATTGAAGCTTCGACAAGAAACTGATTCTTCTGATCTAATTACTCATTTACACCACTCCACAGTACCTCAAAATTAGGGTTCCTACTCAATGCAATGATTCCATTGTTCCGATTACCTAAATTTCGATTCCTAAACCTAATTATCAATCTCTTTGCTTGATTCTGATCTATCTACTTTGAGAACGAGAAAAACCTTTGAAAAGTACCAAAACAAACTTACGATTAGAGACGAAACCACAGGAAGAAGATCGAATAAGCTTGCTTGCAATACAGAGGAAGGAGATAACGATTGGAATCTGCGGAGACCGAGTGGACTCAGTGAGACATTTGTGATTGAGTTTGGTGCTGCCGAGTCGCGCGGCCTAACCACTCAATTCTTCCCTCAATCGTCGCCGTCTGCCTCAATCGCCGGAGAAAATCGAACCACCATTGCCATCGCCGGCAAAGAAAGAAAGAGAGAAATAGCTTTTGTTTTTTTTTTACGCGTTAGATTGTGTTTTTTTTTGTTTCTAAAATTCGACCAATGGGAAGCTGCCACGTCATCGGCTCTCTTGCCTCTCAAAACCTCTCACAAGAGAGCTGTCTCTCTTCTTATATCTTGATTTTGATTTATTTTTGAAATTGTTTTTGAAGAGAACTGATTGAGAGAACCCAAAAAAAGGGCCATTGGAGATGCTCTTACCGTTACCATTATTAATAAAGACTTTCGTTGACTTGTTATGAAAAATAAATTTAATCAGTCGTGTTATTTTCAACTATATTATTGCTATTGGGTCTCGAAGTTAGCATTCGTACCTCTTCACGTGGGTTTATCTATTCGGTTTACACGTGGTTTATACATACATGAGTGTCCAGTCTGTGTTGTGTAGGTACATGATTTAGAGTATTAATAAGTAATAACCACTAAAAATGTTTTACATCATTCAGTTTTTTTTTTTTTACATATAGATTCAGTTATTACATATCAAAACGATTTTAGAAATTTAGGTTACCTATCAAAACGATTCTAGAAATTTCTTTCTCTATGTAGCATGTATTTTAAAATTCTTAACAGGTCAAGTCTTTTTATTTACTATATTGTGATTTCTAAATTCTGTCAATTTTAAGAAATTAGCTGACAATATTTGTTTTTGACACCAGTTGACAAAAACATGATAAAGTGAAATAGGACCTGATCCTCCCGATTCAAGGTTCTAATTTGTAGAGTTACAAGTGGGCTTTATTAAAGCCCAAATCAGATAAACATTGACCATAATAAAGTCAAAACTTTGTGAAAAAGGATGTGAAGGAGCAAAGAAGACGGGTAGAGATTTAGGTAGGCCAAAGTCATCGCACTCTTCTGACCGTTTCTCCTTTTCTTTCGTTTTCATATTTTTTTCTATGAATCTATACTAGTATAATCGCAGCACTTTTTGTGACGGGTGGGTAAAAAATCTTTCGGGTATATCGGATATCCGACCCGTTTTAAAAATTCCTTCACAAAAAATTTGTTGAGTCGGGTTATATTTAACCCAACTCATACACCGGATATTCCATATTTAATAATTTAGATATTTAGAAGATTTGATTAAGATTTATAATTATGATTCTCCTATCATCTTTGTTTGATTTGTTTTTAACTGTTTTGAATCATCAAATAATACATAAAGTAAGAAAAAAAATCAATTTTTTTTTCTGCATATACTGTGATTCGAAATTTTAAAAACGGACATATATTATTCAATTGACGAAAATGTGTGTTCAACGTTTTACATCGATTAAAATATTTAGACAATGATTCAGAATCATATCATAAATAATAACATAAAATAAATGAGTTTTTTTGCCGGACGGGTTTGGCGGGACGGGTTTTTGAATCAACAATAATAAAAAGATTAAAATATCATTAATCCGCCGCTTCAGTACGGATTAAATCCTTTTTTTTTAATACCACAAATATTGGACATATTAAATCAGTCTCATTTAGAAAAGATTGTATAAAACCAAAAATTGTCCCGTGATATAATGTCCCGTGGTCTTAGAGGATGATATGATTTGTAAACTTTTATATATAATAAATAATCATTAAATTTTAAAATAAAAACAAATCACGGGACGGGTTAAGAAATTACGGAACAGTTATATTTCGGAAAGGATTTATATGGCGGACGAATTTGAATCAATATTTATATACCGCTTTAATACGGGTTAAATCCTCCGTTTATTAATAATTGTCTCGTGGACTCGTGGTATACCGTTACTTAATAACAATTATAAACTATAATATAAATAAATATGTTATAAGGAGACACAATTTACAAAATATTTTTATACTAACTTTAAAATTAAATCATCCCGCGGTGTACCGCGGGTTAAAATCTAGTTAATTAGTATTAATTTTACGGCATCACTTATTTTTTCTATTAGTTAATTAGTATTAATTTCGTTTGAATTAAATATTCAGCGAAAAAATTACCGTTTATTCACTTCAGTTAACATGGTTATCTCATTATCATAATTACTATTTTAACCAATAAATAGCTTCACACTTTAGATATCGCATAAAGTCAAATAGGTAATTATAAAAAGATAGAAAATAAAATAGGTGAAATTTGGGTGGGGGATTTCCGATTTTTTGTATTATTTTGTTCCGCGCGGGTTTGGTTTAAAATATTACCATTGAATAACTGACACGTGATATATAATCTCTTTCTCTCGATAAGACAAAACAAAAAACGAAATTAGTCGACGAATTAAAAATTTAATTAAGTACATACATGTCCTGAAAAATGAATAAACAATTAATATAAAATGGAAAAAAATCACTGGTGGGACCCGTTTAATGGGACCGTTAATTAACGGAGTTAAGATCATATTATCCGTTAGAAGACAGTGTTAGTTCTCTTCTCTCTAATCTATAAATATCTTCACCATCTTCTTCTTCCCTCACTTTGCTCTTCTTCTTCCTCTTTGCTCTCTCTCTCGAGTCAAAATTAGGGTTTCGTTGTATCCAGGTATGTATCTCTCTCGCTCTCTCTCTCTTATCTCTCTTCTCTGTGTATTTTCTAATTTCGTGGAGAATCTTCTTCATCTTACCATCGGATCTGGTAGCTATCTGTTGTAGCTTGCACTTTGATTTCACGTTCGAATTTTGGATAATCGTGGTATCTGTAATCTATAGCTTAATTGCGTTCAAGTAGATTTGAGATTTGATGTGATTTTGAAGAATTGATTAGCTAAAATGTGGAGTGATCTACGTTGATATTGATGGTTTCTTCTTCGGCTTTCTTCGGTTTCTGCAGAGTATATAAAGGTTGTGTGTGGAGCTTTTTTCAGATTCAAAGAAAAAGATGGAGGTATTTGGAAAATCTCCCATGGTTACATCTGCCAATGTTATTTACTTGTCTGCAATTCTGGGTCGCGATTGCGATGGACCCAATCAGTGTCACAAATGTGATTGGAAATGTGAGAATGAAATTGTTTGTGGGAATATGTATCGCTGCAAACTAACTGGGCTGACTCATGTCTGCGACAAGAACTGTAACCAGCGGATTCTCTATGATAACCATAGCTCTTTGTGCCGTGCCAGCGGGAGGATTTTCCCTCTCTCATCGGTTGAGGAGCAGGCGGTTAAAGGGGTTCGGAGGAAGCTTGACGCTGTTGAGAGTCATCCTTCTGAGAGTTGTTCGTTTAAGCGTCGTCGTCGTGATGCTCAGTTCCATGCTTCTCCTTTCGAGAGGTCTTTTACTGCTGTGAGCCCCATCTGCAGCCCAGCTGGAGAAGGAATGGAGTTGATTTAGATCGATGTTGATCTCCTCAAATCCTGAGACTGAGAGGCTTCTTTATCTTACGTAGAATAACTTCCCTTTTCTCTTTCTTTTGGACAACTATGGATAAGAGACATTGTGCTATTGCTCTTGCAGGGAGGTCTAGGCATATCCTCCCTGCCTTAAAAAGAGCTTTTATCTTAGTATTGTTGAACTTTATGTAGTACTTATGTAGGAAAGACTTTATAATTCTAATGCTTTATTCTGGATCTTACTGCTGTTGCATTTAGGTTCTTGATGTTTGATGTCTCTTCTTGTGCACCTTTAGTTTTTTCTTGTGATTGGACACGATATTTAGGCAGGCTTTTATTCAGCTATGTATATTGTTTTGGCTACTATTACGCAGAGCCTGACACACCATGGGTGATTTCTGTAAGTGTGGTGCTACTGCTACAGGGTTTTTTTGCACATTGCTAACCAATTCCTGAAGTTATTTTCTGGTTTGTTATCTTGTAGGAAATTCCCCTTGATCCTTTCTGATCGAAACCTAATTCTAACAAATTATGTGTTCTTTCCAACTTTCCTTTCCTTGATCGATGAGTATTTCTGAAAATGTTTTCTGTTTGTGCAGGTTTCAAATGTTGCAATTCAGGAGAGTTTAATTGTGCTTCTTTTATGTACACTGATTTGCTTGTTTGAATTTTCTTTATCAAAGGAGTAAATCTAACTGATGGAAGTTTAAACCTTGCTTTGCAGGTCCTCTTGTGTTTGTGCTCAGCAGGAAACAACAAGCTCGGTTTAAATTCATTGGCAACATTAGCTGTTACTCCTTAACTGTGAGAAGGAGGAGGGCATTAAATAGGTATGATGAACTACCCAGTGAGGATGTGGCCGGCCAACTGTGTTCAAAACTATCAGCTAAACATGGTAATTATGTGATATGATGTTTAAAGAATTGTTACCGTTACCTTTCGTTTTCCATTTACATGTGGGCTCTGCTTTTGTTCCCAGTACCTGCCTTACTTTCATGTTTCTTATCATCTGCCATGTAACTTTGTCGTGGCTATATCTGAGGTTCTGATATTTGTCCAATATCTATGACCAGGTACAATGTCTTGAGATTGTTAAGTTGCTGATGAAGATAGCTTGTATATAATATCTGAGGCCCGGATGGAATCTGCGCTCTTATGTTGCCCACATGAGTCCCACCTAAATCGCAGTCTTGGTAAGTCATAGTCCTAGGCTGCAGCCTTACAAAATACCCTACTCTGAAGTATATGTACAATGATGATCTGAATTAACTCAAACATAAGAAAAAACTATGTAATCTTCATGTAGAATATACTTTCTAGGTTTGCAGCAACTTGAAGATAGAAACATAGAGAGCTTTGTAAAAATCCTCAATGGTTTGCTTCAAGTTGTTTTTTTCTTTTCAACGTGGATTTTAATACAATAGTTTAGCTGACAGAAAGGTGGATGTCTAGGTATTCGATAGTTTCCTGGGATCGTGAAAGATTCTCTTCTGAAGAAGTTGGCAAAGTATCAAATATTGACTCAGCCGCTACGATAAGATAACGGTACGGGAATATTTCTCCCTAATAGCTTATGATAATAATTACTTAATTAGTAACAATCACTATTTTTTTTACTTTTTTTTTTGTTGATTTTGTCCACTATTCATTATTGAATTTCGTATGAAAAATAAAATTGAGAAATATAAATTTGATTGCTAGGATTTTTTTTAAAATAAATATTTTTATCATTTATACCTTTACCAAAGATAATATTTGGTTACTTATTCAACTTTTCATAACTATATCAACTCCATTGTCAAGGAACCTGGATCTGAAATAAGCTTTTTACTTTAATTTTGTTTGAAAAGGAATTAGTGTAGATTCTCTTACATAATACATCGTTTCATTAGTTCTATAATCATATAATAATACGGATTGAAAGAGGTTGGGGAAGTAAGGCAAAGAATTGCCTTGTCGGAGAGGCCAGTTTCCTAAGAGTAATGCTAAACCCTTATTCATTGTCTTGCGGCTTGAAGCTGTCTAAAGCAACTTCACGGCTTCAACATTTTATTTGGTATAAACCCTTGTCCAGGGACCTCCCAGCCAAATTCATATTTCCAAAATCTTAAAACATTTTTACCATAATGGGAAGATCACCAATGGTTCCCATGGCTGTTCTTGTTTATGTTTCTCTACTGTTCTCTGTTTCTTATTCCTCAACGTTCGTCATCACAAATAACTGTCCTTTTACTATATGGCCCGGAACTCTTGCAGGCTCTGGCACCCAGCCATTACCCACCACAGGGTTCAGGCTTGATGTGGGACAGTCTGTTAGGATTCCCTCGGCTCTAGGCTGGTCAGGCCGTATTTGGGCTAGGACTGGCTGCAACTTTGATGCTAACGGCGCGGGAAAATGTATGACTGGAGACTGTGGCGGGAAGCTTGAGTGCGCCGGTAATGGCGCTGCTCCGCCGACATCACTTTTCGAGATCACGCTCGGTCATGGTGCTGATGACAAAGATTTCTACGATGTGAGTCTGGTTGATGGGTATAACCTTCCCATAGTTGCTCTTCCGACCGGTGGTGGACTGATTGGAGCTTGTAATGCTACAGGATGTGTTGCTGATATCAACATAAGCTGTCCAAAGGAGCTTCAAGTGGTAGGAGAGGCAGAGAGAGGAGTTGTTGCATGCAAGAGCGCTTGTGAGGCCTTTGGGTTGGACCAGTACTGTTGCAGCGGTCAGTTTGCTAACCCGACCACATGCCGACCGTCTTTTTACTCTTCCATCTTCAAGAGAGCTTGTCCCAGAGCTTATAGCTATGCATTTGATGATGGAACCAGTACTTTCACTTGCAAGGCTTCTCAATATGCCATTATCTTCTGCCCTGTCAGGTATTATATCATATGCCTTTTCACTTTTGAGTTTGTTACAATGCTGTCTGCAACTTTTTATAAAAGTTTGCAGATTCTGATTGATTATTATCCCCGTAACAATCCAGGGTAAAAAGACCGGACAGTCAGAGCTCGGATCCTCCCAGCCCACCTCAGAATCAGTTCGGGCAACCTATGGCTCCTCCACCTCAGAATCAGTACGGTCAGCCTATGGCTCCACCGACTCAAAATCCGTATGGTCAACCTATGGCTCCTCCCACTCAGAATCAATACAATCAACCTTTGGCTCCACCGACTCAGAATCAGTACGGTCCACCTATGGCTCCTCTCACTCAGAACCCACCTGGACCAAACGGGGAATCAATGGCTCCCCCACCTCAGAATCAAAACGGGAATGGGCAGTTCATGCCTCCTCCCACTGTGAACCAAGTTCCAAACGACCAGTATATGAATCCCCCAATTCAGGATCAGAGTCAATCCTCATCCAATATTCTTCGACCTTACCCTGTCTTCTTGCTTCTTGGCTTCAGTCTAACTGCTTTGAGACAATCAGGCACGACATGAATCATCATCATTCTTCCTTTTTATCGAGAATTGATACATAACTGTGTGGAGGAATCAGACAGACCACGTTTAATGTCTTCTCAGAGATTTTATAGTCCATTCACCAAAGTCCTTAGATTTACCTTGAATTGTTTGAATTGACATGTAAAAACTCTATCTCATGTGTATATAATGTTGTCTCAACTGAATAAATGAAATGTTACGTTTAAAAAGGAGTGAGAGAAATCAAAATCACAACTCATTTCTTGGTTTTTGGCTTCTTAGGGGCAGAATTTCTAGCCTTCTTTGCTGGTGGCTGCTTCTCTTTAGATGGTCTTCCTCTCTTTTTTCCTATAACCTGCAAAAATTCCACATGTAACAAATATTCTTTTACTGTAAGGGATTTATGTCGATTTCATAGGAGGAAATTCTGAGTTTTGTCATCCTACAGTTTCGCCTTTTGCTTTGGCTTTGGGTTTGGCTTTTGTGTTGGTTTCTTCCTCTGTGCCTCCACTTTGATCAGCTGGCTTTGAAGCAGTCTTGGCGTTTTTGTTAGTTTCATCATCTGATTCGAATGAAAATCCCTCCAGAGTGCCTAAATGGGTAATTGTATTAGCCGGAGAAGTAGACATTTGTGTAAAATCAGTTTACCATATCCAGAATAGTTCTACAAGAAGAAAAGTTAGCAAGAATGTCTTCACTTTTAACAGAGACAGAGAAAACGAGCTGACCTTCTACCATTGTTTCTGCCTCGTAGACATTAGATTGTGGTGTCAGCTGTATGAAGTCATTCATAATAGCTTCAATCTGACAAGGGAACATATAATGCAAAAATTAGGCTATCGCTCCAATTTCTGTTTTAGTTTCCCAACCAAATGCTAAAATTAGCTTCACAAAAGTTCAGAGTGCACACAGAGTCGAGATCTTTGAGCAATAATATATACAACTTAACATGGTATCGGCATTCAAACAAGAAAGCGCAATAGAAATTACCAACCTTTGCCTCTGTCTGACCTACGTTAACCTGAAATACAAGATCACTGTTGTGAATAATTGTATACCACAAGTGCCCTTGCAATTCGAAAGGTACAAGGAGAACAGAAAACGTACTACGCAAAATGTTCTGGATGGAATGATTGTTGATTTATATATGGTTCCTGAAACATGAAATGACAACGTGTTACTAAAGAAACTCCAGTCATGAACTAATTATGTAACCTGTTACTTGTAACGAATCAGTTCCGTTACACTCAAGAGGCATAGCTGATTCTGCTACATGTTTTGCAAAATAAAAAGAGAACCATTTTGGAGTTTCAATGGGAGAAATCGAAAATCAAAAGCATAAAGAGTGAAGCCAGCGATATGTATATATGAGTGAACATGCCTTTCAAGTCCAAGTACATGTCTCCGGTTGTGTCTGAAACAACCACTCGTCCAACAGCCCCCATGTCTCCACTCAAATCTATCGAGTCACCTTCACATTCAACAAGTACCTGTAAATATTGTTCACTGGTTTTGTTAACCACTGTGCTTTATCAACTAATAAAACTCTAAAAATAGACGTAGTTTGGCCTTTCCAGAACATAAATGTCACCAGCTTCCATAACAAAGATATATAAACGTCGAGTGTAAAACCATGTGCAAAGAAACATAGTTGTATTACCTTTGTACGATTCACCTTCTCAGAAAGTACCAAAGGCAATCTTGAACTTGAGCCCTGCAATATTTAAATCTGGTCATTAGGTAGAACCATAGAAGTAACAACAATAGTGGTCCTCGCACAAAGGAACTTACAGAAGAAGGCTTGATCTTCTGATCCGTTGTTACTTCATCGGCTATAGTGGTATCTGTATCTTTATCTGCATGATAAAGGAACCGTTACGTTGCTTTATGAACATCCTAAACTAAGAAAACATTGAGACAATTCTTACCTTCACTTTTTAAAATTTCCTGTGCACTAATTTCTTCCTTGGGTGTTTTGCGACCACTTTTTGACTTTGTTTTTGGAGATCTTTCCGTTGTTACTTCCTCGGCTATAGTGGTATCTGTATCTTTATCTGCATGATAGAAGAACCATTACATTTCTTTAGAAAAATCCTAAACTAAATAAAAACATTGATACAATTCTTACCTTCACTTTTTAAAATTTCCTGTGCACTATTTCCTTCCTTGGGTGTCTTGCGACCGCTCTTTGACTTTGTTTTTGGAGATTTTTCTTTTCGAACTTTCTTAACTGCAGGTTCTTCCTCTGTAGCTTCAGGAACAATATCCTCGTCCTTTTCAGTTGACACTGTCACTTCCTGTTTTATCGGAGCACTAGAGGATGGTTCAGAATCAGATGAGACAAGCCATACAGAATCATCTCCACCCTGCTGAAGATAAAATTAAACAGTGTTATCACATCTTCTCAACAGTCAACACTATACCAAATTAAGAGTTAGTATTTTTACACCCCTAGGATATTATATTCCATGCAGGCACAAAACCTTGAAAATAGTATAAAACTAAGACAGATTAGAGTGGGACGATAGATCACCAACTAATTTCATCATAGCTCATAGCAATCCAAAGCTGTTCTAGAGTTAGTTTATAACTAGTATATCACTCTTTCTATCCTTTTTCCATTTTTGAAGACAATACAATCTATTTCTCAAGCTCACAAGAATAGCTTAAATCACAATATCTACCCACTAAAGAAAGTAGATGCAACCAAAACACTAAGGAGTACGATGAAGACAGTGTCCAAAAGTTTCTTACTTGAGCATCCTTATGCTTGCAAGAGAGTTTTTCCCCATCAACGTTGTTCCCATTCTGCTTCCCTGCAAATGATTCTCCCCGAGTCAAATACATGCTTATAAGAGCTCAACAGTTGAACAAACAATACTCCACCAAATTCAGAAATTGATAGTCTCTCCCTCGCTCTCCAAGAAGGAAATGACTCATAATGTTTGTTCTTTTAATCTCAGAGCAAAACAAGATAGTTTTGGTGCAGCATCAGAAATAAAATCATCCATACCTTCAAGGTTGAGGCTAGCATCTGCTTTCTTCTTTCTAGAAAACACCTGCTCGATACTCACTTGCTTCATCACAACATTCGTTTCGGAATTCTTCCTAGACAGTAACTCTACAGATTCTTGAGACTCGACAGATTCTTTCTCAAGAATCGTGGTGTCAACACCGTCTTCATCAGGCAAAGGAAGAGACGAAACGGCTTCAGAATCCCTATAAGGACTATCATCATCTGAAGATGATAGTGACAACAATGAAGTAGTCATGGGTGCCTGCGTAACAAAACCATCCACTTTTCAATTGTGAATTTCTACAGAATTCAAAACAAGTAAATCAAATAGAAACAGAAATCAGATTGAATCTGAAACCTCGTAAGAGCGAAGCCAATCTGGAGATCCCTCTCTAGAGCTACTGCTCATAATTTCACTTCTTCAGAGCTCAAAACAACAATCTAAGCTTCTTCCCAACTTCAATCTCCACTCAATTACAACAAAATCAGCTCGTAGATTCAGGAACTACTTCGCAAAATCAAAACCCTAAAAAGAGCCCTTAAAAGCTATAAATTCGATTGAAAATCTCATGAAATCGAAGCTCACCAGAAGAAGAAGACGAAATTGAGTGATCAACGAATCTAATGACCGGCGAAGAAATCTATAAAAGGAATCTGAATTGACTGAGAGAAGAAGCAAAGCTTTCGCCGGCGGAGAGATTGAAGTGTGTGAAAAACGCGGGAAGATTGGGCAAAAACTGATTGTTCGTGGTTCCCAATTGTTTGGTCACAAGAGCATTACTATCCCCAACGTGGACGTAGAATTTAACTAAAAGCCCAATAGGCCTTGCGGGAAATTAACATAAACCCTAAAATCAATGTATGGGCCTGCTTGTTTTACGATAATAACCCATCAGTGATACCATGGTGTTGGCATATCTGTAAAAAAACATGTAGCTATTATCTTTGGGGCCAATAAAGCAGTATCTTATGGGCCTATTAAGGCCCAATAATACATCTGTAAGAAACACGGAACTGGCAAAAGGAGGGAGATAAGGAGAAGAAGAAGCGAAACAAGAAAAGTGTGACAAAGAAGAAAAATGGGGAGAGACGGAGGAGACAAGAAGCAAGAAACAATGGCGGTGATGAGCTTAATGAAGGATCAACAGAATCCAATTCAACAGTTTCAGATCAAATTCAAGGAGATTGAGACTGGTTTCAAGTCTTGGTTATCAAAACAGAAGTTACCGGTGGAAGCCGCCGTAGTCACCGCCATGGGTGGTGTTCAGGGAGCTTTTATCGGTGGTCTAATGGGTACTCTTTCTCCTGAAATGCCTCAGGCTGGTATTGACCCTCAAGCTATGGCTTCGTTAAAGCAAACTCAGGTTTTTAAACCCTAATTTTGATTCACTGGTTTATGTCACTTTCAGCTATTTATTGCTATTTTTTGAAGTTTTGTAATTTAATGGTAGGCTCTTGTTGGTGGGCCTTTGGTTCAAGCTCGGAACTTTGCTGCTATAACTGGTGTTAATGCTGGTATTGCTTGTGTTATGAAACGGATTAGAGGCAAGGAGGATTTAGAATCTGCGTAAGTTTTCATTTTGATCTTTGAATATTTGTGGCTTAATGTTAATCTTAAAGCTTGTATTGTGTGTGTGTGTGAATTGTTGTTTCTTGGTTCTGACGTTTTTATCAATGATCTATCCTGAAACTCAATTTTTGGAGCTCTTGTTAGAGACAATTAGTGTCTGCAAGTAGTGTTTATGTTCTGCAATTGTCATTTTTCTGACAGTTAGGTTTTAATCAGATTCTTTGTCACAGGATTGATTCCATGACAGGAAAAAAATATGACTTTGCTTTCATTTATTGCTTCATAGAGTTACAATCTCTACCCGAGTCTGTTCGTTATGATTATTCTGATACTTAAAATGATTCACTGTTCTTGTAGGGATTTGACTACTTGTGTGTGTTTACTTTTGAAACAACTTAAATACAATCTTTGATGGGTGAAGATTCTCAGTGGCTTATTTGTTTGTTAAAAATCGATGTTTGAATTATGTAGTGTGGTGGCAGCATTCGGATCAGGAGTTGCGTATTCTCTTGTGAGCGCAGGATTACAAGGACAACCTATGAATGCAATCACCACTGCTGCTGGTTTCGCTCTTTTTCAAGGAGTATTTTTCAAGGTAAGTGATCATATATATATATATATAGGAGATAAAACTCTTCTTGAAACTAGGTAGGCATGTCATTAGTCATAAGTTTATATTCTCTTCTTTTCGGTCGTGGTCAGTTGGGCGAAAGATTCTCTAAACCAAGCGTTGAAGATCCATATTACACCCGGGGCAGATCTATGTTGTTGAAACTGGGTCTAGAGAAGTACGAGAAGAACTTCAAGAAGGGTTTATTAGCAGACCCAACTCTGCCATTGCTCACTGATAGGTACTATACTATCTTGAGCTTCTGAGGTTTCATAATCTGTTTCAACTAAAGCTAACTGTCTATATCGAAATCGTATATACCTGCTAAACTCTGTTTGTGTCCAGTGCGCTAAGAGACGTGAGCATCCCGCCTGGACCAAGGCTACTGATACTTGATCACATCCAAAGGTTCGAATCTAACTTCTTATCTCTTTATTTTGAGAGACATGAATCTGTTAAATCACTGAAGTGAATTGAATTGTGGTGATTATACAGGGACCCTGAGCTAAAGGGCAAACGGGGAAGTCGTGGTTGAGAATTGAGAGCCTCTCTGTTTCTTCCGCAGAATCGTTGTCTTTCTTTGTAATATGTTATAAGGATTTCAAGCACTATTATTCTTAATTATTATTATTGGTTGATGTTGCTAGCAAGAAACTTTGAATACAACCTTAAATATGGTCGCCATATCTAAAAGTTCAAAGATTTCTATATGAACCTGGAAATGGTTGAAATGGATAACACAATAAAAACTCTTAATCAGTAATGTGATCATTTAAAGCCAAACATTAAGTAACCATGTTATTAATTATTCAGTTTAACAGAAACCAAAACACACAAGTTGTATCATCTTTCATGAAAAAAGTGTATATAAGCTTTGTGCTGTCGAGCTTTGGACCCGGAAATAGAAGATTGACCTCAATTTTAACCTTTGTGCTACAACGGATTTTTTGTTTAGATGTGAATTTCTAGTGTATATATAGAATTATGTAAATGTTTTATTAATTTCAAAAATGTATTCCGCTGCCGGGTTTTGAACCCGGAAATAGAAGATTGACCTCAATTTTAACCTTTGTGCTACAGCGGATCTTTTGTTTAAATGTGAATTTATAGTGTATATATATAATTATGTAAATGTTTTATTAATTTCAAAAATATATTCTGCTGCCGGGCTTTGAATCCGGAAATAGAAGATTGAACTCAATTTTCTTGTTGTTAGATCGTATCATATTGCTACTTTTTCGTCTTATTGGCAAAATTTATATGATATAATATATGAATCTTGTTTTTTTTTGGAGAATCCGTAGTGGTTAATTTAATTCTTAAATTGTTTAATTAGATTTTATGGCAATTTCGGATTGGTTAATTAAGATGGGGTGGATAAGAGAGGTTCACCCCTAGAGATGAACTAAAAAATTGTTCTTTACGAAATTTATAGTCTCAATAGCTAAAAATTCACATCAACTTTCTATATGAACCTAGCAATGGTTGAAATGCATAACCCAACAGAAACTCTTAATCAAGCAAGCAGTAATGTGATCACTTAAATCCCAATTCTAAATGATCATGTTATTAATTCAATACTAGGGTAAAAACCCGCGCTCCGCTGCGGGATATCTTTTATAAATTATTTTTGTTACTAATGACTTTTGCTTAAACTAAGATTATGTAGTACAAAGTTCACAATGAAATTTGTATTTTTTGGTTTAGACAATGAAAGTTGTCTTCCTTCTTTTGTAATACAAACAAAAGAGTATCCAAACTTGAATTTAAACAATACACAAATACGAAACTTGAATTTAATATAAATATGATTTGTAAAACTTAAATAAAATTTTAGAATTTGATGGTTGACAGATCATTTTCACCACTTCATCTCATTTAAAAACTTTATTTTGAATTTCAAATCAAATAAAACAAATTAATACACAGATATGAGAAGGTGACCGTGACACATTACTTAAGAAATCAATGCACAAAATTCTTCTTCTCTTCGTCTACCGGCCTTGGATTCATTAACTTCAACATCTTTAGAAAATTGCTCCACCTTCATCTTTAATCAACATTAACTAAATTGACCAAACGAACAATACTGTATATATATGTACGGAAGAAGTGTATAAGCAGAGGTAGATGAGAAATTCCGACAAGTTTTCGGTAGATCCCATGGTACTTGCACAATCTCTCCTTCATTCTTTAGATAGATACAAATACAATTGTGGATGTATTAATATTATACAATTGTCCAACCATCTCAAGAGATTCAATATGCATTACACGCTTGATACTTGATTGATTTAACTATTCCTAAGACCAATAGAATATATTACGTAAAGATCATCTATGGTCTCACAAGTCACAATACATGCATTCAAACTTTGGGGTGGACAACAATAGTTCCAGACCTAAATTATGACATTTAGGCAAAGTGAAATACACGGGAAACCTGAAGTGTAAGTAAATAAAACATTAATAATTCTAGAATCATTAATCTATATCTCTGTCCACATGAAATATTTTAACAACCATATTTTCCATTAAACGACTGCAAACACTGATAAAGTATAGGTAGCACTCCAATATATAAAGTACGCAGCTGTTATTTGCTAATTAAATGATTGATTTCGAGCAATTGTGTACTTTTGAAGTCTTCTTTACACGAGTCTCAACAATAAGTACTACCAATTCAAAACTTCCATAACTAAAATAAGTTGTATAAACCTACCATAACTCCCTGTCGATGAAATGCCTACAACACTACCAACAATGACAAGGAAAGAAAGATCTAGATGGTAATGAAAGCAAAAAACAATGTTGGGGAAGGACACTATTTTTTTTTTGGTAAAAGGGAAGGACACTATTTGAATCATGTTTGGAAAACAAGATGGTACTCCCAGTATTCTTTAAATCTTAATCAATAACAAATTTTGTCGGTGATTTTCTCGGTAGTTTACGGTGGTTATTAGAGCTCCTTCCGATGGCAAATCAATTCGACAACAAACCTTGTCGGCGAAGGCAAAACAAAAAAATAATCTTCGTCTCTCCACGTTTTCAAAGCAAACAGCGAAGGCACTTTCTTTAAAGAGGTAAACGGCGAGCACCGGCGGTTGGGGTAGGAGTAGCGGCTGAAGGAGTGGAGGAAGAGTGGTGCTGAGAGTGACGAAGAGATGAAGGATGGTGGATCTTGATGTTAGGGAGATGAGGATAATCAGATTATGGATTCATGATCTCTTTTTCTTCTTCTTTTCTGCTTGATTCAACAGATTTATAGAAACTTTTATTTTTTTCCGATCGAGAGGAAGATGATGACGAAGAAGAAGAGACAGTCGTGTTTTGTCAATTTTAATTAGTCTCTCCATGTTTTCAACACTACTTTATCAAGTGGGCTTATACTTTTGGGCTTTGTTATTTTATTTTTTTCGTCATACTTTTGGGCTTTGTTATTTTTTTTGTTTTTGTGTGTTTTTTATAATATGAAACAACAGAAAAAGGGGAGAGAAAGAGTGACGTGTCAGAATAGAAGATTATTATTGGCAAATAAAGTTGGGCTGTATTATTTAAAATGTTTTGATTAGAGTTTCTTTTTAATGATGTGTCATAACCAGGAAAGCTGAAAATGCTGATGTGTTAGATTAGGAGAGAATCCAATTGTTATTATTGTATTAATTCTATTGTTATTTTGAAATTTTTTATTTAATATAACTAAATAAAATTTTATAATTTAATGCTTTATTTGTATTTAAATTGTAATTATTTTTACTTCTAGGGATTAGTTTTTTATTTATGTAATTAGACTTTGTAATTATAATTATAGTCTCTATTCCCAACATTAATGTCTAATGAAAAGATGATGTTTCAAAAGTAAAATTCTAGTATATTTTTCAGTTAATAATTTATTTTCGTAGCAAAGGTTATTTTTTGAATTTTTTATTTAGTGATTTGCTATAATTAAATAAAATTTTTGAACTTAATGGTTTACCTTTATACCACTCGGAACCAACTAAATAACTTTATTTTTAAAAAAACTATCTTTATTTTCAATGTCAGTTTTCAAAAATGTCACATTTTTAAACCTTATAAAAAATGCTCCAAACAATATGAAATTTACCCAAATACATATGTAACATTATTAAAACATATACAAACTATCTTTATATGTATCTAAAATCTTATAAATATCGTATAAAACCTTTAAAAACCTTTAAAATGTCTTGTAAAACATTAAAAACACCTTATAAAACCTTATAAATACTTGGATCGAGTTTCAAGTAGTAGTTACCATCCATAAATACCTTATAAACCTGATAAAACTTTATAAATTTTTCATATCTAGAAAAGAGCATTTTTGAAAATGGACATCTAAAAAGAGTATTTTTGAAAAATGGCACACCAAAAAAGAGATTTTTAACAATTTCCCTTAAAAAAATATCATTACCATGTGCACTCTAAATATAATAAATTTTATATAATTTAAATCTTATTAATTATTTTATATCTTTTGCAACTTTAAAGAATTAATAATTAGAATTTTCAAAAATCGTATTAGCTAGAGATACTGAATTAATTACCATGTTCAGTTTTGTTCCATACTTATATTTTGATTAGATATCAATTCTAATGATGTGTTACTCTGAGAATAGCCTAAAAAGCTAATGTATAAACACCATCAATTTTTTTTTAATATTATCCTTTTTATAATAAAAATTTTATATTATCACATATTTTACATATTATTTTTACAAAAATATATAAACTATTTAATTATATATATGATATATTTATTTTTATTATATATATGCAGTCCGCCAATCTCCGGCATAACCTGCTAAACCCCGTAATCCGAGTGGGATTGCCCGCAAAGTCTACTTTTTAACGGATTTAATATTTTGTGTTCATACCTGGACCGGACTGGGCTAAGCCCACGATTTTAGGGCCATTTTGATATTTCTATGAGAGATGATGATGTGGAAAAAGAAAGGTTCTTATTGGATATTAAAAATGAGTTGTATTATTTAGAATGTTTTCATTGGTTATTCATTTTAAATGAGGTGTCAACTCCACAAAGCTTAAAAAAGCTGAGGTGTCAACCTCTGGAGAGTTTCAAGGGTTTTTATTGTATTGATTTAAGAGAAACCTGAACACGTGGATTTTGAGTTTTTAACTAATTTCTGATGGGTTTTAGTCTTTTAGAAACCCAACATTTGTGTGGTTATCAAAATTCTGTATAACTTTAATTTGCATCATCTTTCTTACTCAAGCTAAACATCTGAAAAGGGAAAAGAATATATCCAATTTAAGTGTTGTAACCATGAACTTGAACGCGTTTGTTAAGAAACTTGTTATTATTACTCAGAATACTTTAGCATTTTGCTCATGTTGAATCTCTTGTTTCCGAATTATAGTTTAGTTAGTGTAACGAACCTCCTTGTACTTCCTTTTCACATTTACTTGTGCTTAATGACTATGTTAATCAAAATATCTTCACTAAAATAATAAGCAAAAATCACGTAACAAACCATATGAAATGTCATTATCGTCGGTGGCTCGTGAATGGTCATTGTGTTTTAAAGAAAAAAGAAAGAAAGAAAGTACTTGGCTTTAAGAATGAATCATATATTCTTAATTGGATATGCTTTCCCTTATATTCATGAGTCATGACGTCTTCTTTATAAAGTTGGTTCAAGCAGGTTAACATATACATATAATAATGTTTTTAAGAAAAAAATAAAGATAAACAAACCGCATGTAGTTTCACATATTTGAGTTGTTGAAACCATGACCATCCTGAATTCCCTAAAAAGACCGATTGCGTTTCACCATTCAAAATTTTGGTTGTATTTTATTTATGTTAGGCATCACATCGACATCTAAAAACAATTGATATAAACACATATTCATGAAAATTACTCAAATTGAAGGCATGTAGATGTGAGGTCATATGTCATATATGGGACATTTTCATTTACCCACGAATTAGCATATATACAATTACCTTTCGAATTTTTTTTCTGGTAAAGATCACATTAGCTACACCATCCTTATAGGTCGCCGAATCTTTTGATAAAGACACATTGTTTTTCAAGATTAGAAACAAGCTTCAAGCTCGATGTCAAGGCGCTCCTTCTTAAGAATATTTAGAATTATTTCAAAATAAAATGCATATCTTTTGTTTTATTTAAACTTCATCAAACTCTACAAAGACCAAAACCAATGTTGCATGGACAGAGAAGTCAACGATTCAACGGAAGCCAAAAACTTCTTCATAGACGCATGGATATGAAAATAGTCACCAAGTAATCTAGGAAAACCAAAATCTCTATTTGTAAATAAATTTTTTTATCAAAATTGTTATTTCAATTACTCTAAATTATCTTACAATTGGATATGAAAAAAAAAGAAACATAAGGGAAAAGAAACAAAATTGTTTTATTAATTGCTTTCAAAATTCTGAAATAAATTTAGAACTCTTTTGATAAAGTTTGAGTTATTTCTAACCAAAAATAAAATATCTTCTGCTTTATATTCAATGACTTTCATCCATCACCTTTTTTCAACAAGATCATCAAATTTTCTTTTAGATTTACGATATGATATTTGAATATCGTTGAAGCACCCGACTAAGCCCCCAAGATGAGCCAGTAACAACATTGAATCTTTGTTTATATAGAAATTTCCAAGGAGAAATTCAAGATTTAGACAAAAATAAAAACCTCTACATATTGGCAATGATATAAACCAGTTTGAGGATACATCCATGATCCAACAATCTAAGAACCTATCCTCTACACAAATATCTATTCTAGGGAGAGACAGAGTCGGGGGAGAAGCGAGAGAGCTCGTTCGTAAGGAAGATGATGCGAGAGTGGTAATCACGAGCCTGGTCTAAAGATTCGGCTTCAAGCTCGGCTAGCTGAGAGCATAGATGCTCCTCAGCCTCCTCAGCCACCTGTGTCCTCCGCCACAACTGCAACATCTCTTTCCTCATCTCCTCCACCGCTTTTTCCATCTCTCCGTTCTTCTGTCGTAGCTCCTCCACCTCCGAAGCTGCCACCATCACATAGTTGCCTCCTTTCCCCATTTTCTGTCTTTTTATTTTATAGTTTTTGATGATTTCTCTTTTCTTTTCTTTTTGTGTCTCTTTAGTTTTTGTTTGTTGTTCTTCTTATTCTTTTGGTTATTGATTGTTCCTTATATAGGCGTCTCTGCGACTGGTCTTTGGGTGGTGGGTATATGTCTAGATTCATTGATAACTCTTGTTTTTCGTTCTTATTTATGGTTAGTTATTTTCCTTCCTCTAGAACATTTTCTTTTTTAATTATGTTCCGATATATACGTTGGATCCAATAATATAACATGTGAGTTCTTTTTAGCAAAACTATTTTGTAGACTTGGGTAGGATATTCGAAAATGTTAGACCAATCCTTTTACGAGAGACAATATTACTATTGAATCTATTGTAGGCTTTAATAATAGGAAGGCCATAAAATTTGCTTCTTTCATTTTTTTTATTTGATGTTTAAGGTTTTTGTATATCGATTAAAGAATTGTTTAACTTTACTGTATTTCTAAATGTAAAACAATTTTGTTTTTATATTTTCGGATCTAGAAAACCTGATTTATAGTCAATCCATACGACGCGGGATAATGCAATTTAGTGGAATTGAACACCGGTGAGGAAGGTATAGTTATATGGACTTAACCAAAAATAACGTAATAAATCATATGAAATGTCATTGACGGTGGCTCGTGAGTGGTCGTTGTGTTGGAAAGAGAAAAATAAAGAAGAAAAGAAAAACTTGTAGTGTTTCGGTTATATAAATGTTTCATCTTATATTCATGACGTTCTCAATTTTGCTTCACTCAAATATTTTACATAAACATTTCGCATATAAAATGTTTTCAAAAAGAAAAGCTCATAGTCTAATTACTGACACAAACCAATATATATTTTTAAGACTATCAGAAATCAATAAAAGATGACGATATACTTACAAGCGGTAAAACTGATGGTAAAAGGTAAAACATCGTCAGTGTAAAGATGCAGATCTGTTTGGCTATCCTAAATTTCCTAAAGAGACCGATTGCGTTTCACCATTCAAAACTTTACTTGTAGATAGAAAAATGGATAATTGTTTATTTTCTATTTTGTAAATGTTAGGTATCACATCGACATCTAAACCAATTAATATAAAACACATACTCATGAAAATGACTCCAAGGCATGTGATGTGAGGCCATATATCATATATGTGATCTTTTTATTTGCCTACCAATTAGCAAATCCTTCTCTTAAGGGTGTAGCTTTCCAATTATTTCAGGAAAAAGATCACATGACATTAGCTCCACCATCTAATAGGTCGCCGAATCTTTTAAATAAAGACACATTTTCTTCAAGCCTCTCTTTTTTTTTTTTGCTAATAAATTTTTAATTTAAACATGAATTGCATATATTTGTTTTTTTTTGTTCACAATTTGCTTATATAAATTAAATTGGTGTGTTACAAAAGCACACTTAAACACAAAACTTTTATATAGTTAGAAAGAAATACAAGATAACGATTATTATTCTCATAATTCAAAGAGATCTGCTCTCGAATCAGTTTCCAAGTTCTCCCAAGACACTTCTAGTTATCCTTAAAAATATATATATACATATATATATATATATATATATATATATATATATTTGGTTGTTTTAATGCATCACTTTATATGAAGAATTACAGGATTTTGGTTAACAAAAAAAAAAAAAAAACTAGACTAGACTTGTTTGCCTAGGTCAGGTCACCTGATTCTGTCAGAAACTAGATTTGTTCAAAAACAAACCCTTTGTTAATATCTGTGCATAGTACACTGACGTTGGATCCGTAAATTCGTTGCCCTTTTTTCTCCCAGAAAGCAAACCATGTTCTCCGATTGTACTATCTGTTTTCTTGCAATATAAACTTCATCAACTTTTACCAAAAAAAAAAAAAAAACTTGAATAAAATCTACAAAGACCAAAACCACTGTTGCAATGTCAATGACTCAGTAGAAGTCAAAACACTTGTTCATAGACGCATGGATTAAAGTAGTCCCAAAAACTTAAAAGCAAAATCTTTAATAGTAATTGGTCATCATTTCACATATGAAAATAAAAGAAGAGAAATACGAAACCTGAACATAATTGTTTTAAAAATTTCTTTCAAATTCTATTTCTTTTGTTAAAGTAATTAACACTTCTTATAAACAAAATTCGATTTATTTCAAACCACACATCGAATATCATTTACTTTATATTTTCAAAGACTTTTCATTCATCACTTTTTTTTCCAACAAGATCCATTTCTTTAAAGATTTACCATATGGTATTCGAATTTCGCTAAACGCCCGACTAATCGCAAAAATCAATCGGTAACAACATCGATTTTTCTTCTGTTTTGGTTGAGAAATTTTCCATTAAAAAAAAAAAAAAAGACAATTCTACATATTGGCATTGATAGAGCCAATAAAAGATATATCAAACAATCTAAAAAACCTATATATCTATCTATTCTAGGGAGAGGCAGAGGCAGAGTCTGAAGAAAGACGTGAGAGCTCGTTCATGAGGAAGATGATACGAGAGTGGTAATCACGAGCCTGGTCTAAAGATTCAGCTTCAAGCTCGGCTAGCTGAGAGCAGAGTCGCTCCTCCGCTTCCTCCGCCACCTGTGTCCGCCGCCACAACTGCAACATCTCTTTCCTCATTTCCTCCACCGCTTTTTCCATCTCTCCGTTCTTCCGTCGTAGCTCCTCCACCTCCGAAGCCGCCACCGTCACATAGTTTCCTCCTTTTCCCATTTTCTTTTATATGGTTTTTGTTTTTTCTTTTTGGTCTCTTTGAGGTTTAGTTTGTGTTTTGTTTTGGTTCTTGAATGTTCTTTATTAATAGGCGTCTTTGAGACTGGGGTTTGGGTGGGTTTATGTCTAGGTTCAATGTATCTATATCTCTTGTTCTTCTTTTTATTTCTGGTGAGTTATTTTCTTCATCTAGAACATTTTCTTTTTTAAATTATTTTCCGATATACACGTTGGATCCAATTAATATTTTGGAATATTTTAGTGGTACCATCAATTGTTTTTGGAGAAGACAAAAGATAAGTTACAATAAAAAGTATTAATCAATACAGTAAAATATATGTGTTCAGTTATATATTTCTAATTATTTCAATATTACAAATGCCAAAAAAAATTAGAAAAATGAGAAATATTTATCTAAATTGATACATTTTTTAAAATGGAGTATATATTTGCAAGCTAAAAATGAATATTTAAATCAATGACAATAGATTTTCTTAGTCCAATTAACAAAATGGATTAGAACATAAATATTTTGGACCATTTTACTTTTATCTAATTGCTAAACATATAAAGTAATGAATATTTCATAACATGTTATTATTTATGTGGACATCTAAGTTATCAATTGGAGATCGTGCACGTGGATAGTTTTATCATCAGAGAGATTCATTTGTTTACTGTCGAGCTATGGTTTAGTCTTGCATCTAGTTAATTAACGCTTTCCATGTTTACTGGACCATAATTGATAATGATTCAATCAATTTATACAAGTCTAAACCATAGCTCATAAGTAAGTAGTGAACAATTGTTACATTATAGCCCCACTGAGCTGTCAATTTCATCAAAATTAACTATATACTGTATGTTGATAGATCATAATAATACATCATCTCTCGAAAGTGGTCCTAAACTCAGGATTAAGATGTGCAAATATGTTTTCATATACGCATGTAAAAAATTAAAGATTGTGATTGCTTCATATTTATATCCACCAACTCTTTATCCGCAAAGACGATATATATCCGTTGCAAAAAGAAATTTCTAAAGCAAGTTCGGACCACTATTCTTATTGATTTGATCAATCATATGTATTATGACTAACATTCATTTGAACAAAATGACTTTGATTGAGCTTTTTATTACCATGAATTGAACAAAATTTCGGAAATTGCTTTTCGAAGCATCCAATTTTCAAAATTTAATATATTCATTAAAAAAACTTAATTCAAAAAACTCATGGGTTTGTGTTTTCAAAACTTAATTATTTTTCAGAAACCACCAAACTAATCGTTGAATATATTTTCTTGGCGAAAACGTTTGACTGGACACTAAAAAAATGAAAGGTATTTGTAATTTCATTGAAACCCCACTTATTTCATTGGAGAAACCCTCTTTAAATTTCTTTCTTTTTTTTTTTTTTTTTTTTTTTTTTTTCTGTTTTGCTATTTCATAGAATATGGAGAAATTATTTGTTTTCCACTATTTCTCTTAATTGCTAAAAGGAATGTTGGAAATCATTTTCTCACCTTTATCTTTTCCACTAATACATTCCGCCAATTATAGCCAATTATAACTTGGAGCACAAAGCCTTTGTCGATGTAACCCACATTCCCACTTCTTTCTCTTAATTAGACAATATCTCCCAAAGTCAAGGGCTGTCACGATTATACAACTATTCTTGTATAGTTAAAGTTACGGCTCCGATTGTTAGTTCTTAAATTACTTATTGGCTATTTCTTTATCGGTTTGTATATGGGGAAAACTAAGAAGTCTTTGGTTATGAAAGGTGTCATGATCATGAAGATAATAAAATAATGCGGTGGGGTTTAATTTTGAAAATATAATATTGTTAAATCTTGAAAATCGATTTATAAAATTAATATTGCAAAACACAGAGGGGCCGGTCACAAACTGTTGAAATCTTTTATTTGGAATATGCTCTATGGATGCTGAGCAGTGACCACTATCTCCTTAATATCTAATTAATTAAAAAATTAATCATCATTCATCCAAAAATATCCCAAATAGATTTTAAAACACCCAATTACGTCACCAACTATGTTACGTGAGCAACATCGGTATACATGTAGAAAATAATTTCCAGTTTTGTAATAAGATCACCATAAAAAGGGTGAAAACAAAAAGAATTCAAGAAAGGAAAATTTGGTAGCATAGTGTGGTGGAGATAGTTTTTATTTTCAAGATCTTTCTATCTCACCTAACTGAGGAAGATTAAAGTTTAAAGGAATGGGCCAAGAGGCCCGAGACCTTAATTAGGCCTTCGTTAAAATTTAATAAATTTATGATCTATCCAGCTATGTGTTGATTCATACACAAGCTATGAATTTCTCTTACAATATGTACATGAACTACTAGTGACATGTGTAATCTCTAAAATAGATTGTAGTTAATCTCTAAAAAAGAAGTATAATATTTGAACAACAATTTATGTTCAAAACAATGGTTTCATGATCTTGGATTCAAATAACTCGAGTAACTAAAATATTTTCTAAAATAATAGCTTGACTAATGGGACATATATATATATATATATATGTCATTTATATCCAACCTTCGGAAACTTCAACTGAGAGGAGAAGAGTAGTTGGGATGATGTCGAAACCCTAGACATAGATTCTAACTCTTTCATCATCTTCTCTTTAGCTTCAAGCTTGCAGGTTGATTTCATAGAAATTCCAGCTCTCTTTAAACACTTAGTGTTGGCAAAGATATATTTTATGGCTTCTTTCTCCTTGGTTCGTCCTATATATCCTTTCCACGCAAAGATCTCGAGATGAGCTGAGAAACATCCGGGAACAGAACTCGGTTCCTTCCATGAAAGTGAGAAATTCTCATCAAGTCGAATTAATGTCTGTGAAGCAACAACAAAAGATATAAAGTAAACACTTAGTTATTATTTTCTCTTTATTTTATTGGTTTATCAAAATTGACATGAAAGAAACTACAAACCTGGTCGATGAAAAGAACTTTAAGATTAGGACAATTTTGTAGCAATCCCATTAGTGATTTCAACCAGTCTAACTCAGCTGAAAGTATTACTTTACACTCCATTAGCTTGGAAAAGTTAATAGCGTTACACCAAACAACCTACAATGAAGGCAATAACACATAGATAAGCGCTAGTTATATAATGGGACAATAAAAAAGAGTAAGGTTGAAATAACGCTACACACCGTTGCAGTTCTCAAATCTAGTTCGAAATTCATGACCGAGGAAATAGATCTCATAAACTTATCATTAGGGTAACTTAAAAAGCCGATACTTGCTTTATCAAAACAAGGCTTGTTCTCAATCAAGCAAGAATCTTCCGAATAATCTCTGTAGAAAAATTTCTTTAAAGCCGGAGAATCTATAACCAAAGATCCTCCTATTCCTTCGTTGTGCACTCCAAAAAAATTAACATTAACATATATCAAGCATTCCAAAGATGGAACTTTTATATTGAAATTTCTAACGTTGTCCTGGTGATGTCGTTTTACACACAAAATTTTGAGAATAGGACATTTCGATAAAAGCCTAACAAGAGAATCTTCATCTTTATACACCACACAGTAAAGGGAAATGCTTTTAAGGGATGAGAGGCAAACCCGAGAAGGAACATCCACGATAATATTGTTGGAAAGATGTAGTTCAACAAGTGTATCACATGTGTAAAGGCTCTTAGACAAACTGGCTGGTTCCGCGGACCATGTGATCATCAACGTTAGCTCGCGCACCCTACGAGCAACAGCAATTGCAATCCACTTTCCCACATCAACATGATCTCCAGAAGGACCGAGTTTTATCAGTAATGATTCTAATACATGTGCCTTGTGGAGTTGTAACGACTTGTCAATAAACCGCCATAAAAACCGTTGTTGTTGCTCACTTTTGTCAAATAAACGGCCAAGTAAACGACCAAATAAACCACCAGTAAATACTTTGTGAGTATCATCATAGTACCCGAGTCTTGGCACCATCGTCCAAATAGACCGCCATCGTTTTGACAAAATCATAGTGGCCACTACATCTTTCGTGCCCGGGAGAAACAACAATATATGCACGAGCAAATCGTCCGGCAACGCACTGATCTTGTCTTCACCTCTAATACTCTGACAACAACGTTTGGCTCTTTTCTTCACAAATCGAAACCATGTTTGTTGTAATTGTATAGATATCGCATAGGCAACATGCATTGAGCTGAAAATTAACAAAAGTCGTCCCAACATCTTTTCTACTTGGAACTACACCAATGTTTTCTTCTTTCTCTCGTTAATAGTTATTATACACATATGAGGGTTTAAGGTGAGATATTATCCCTAACCTTTTTTTTTTTGTTGTAAGATATTATCTCTAACTTTTCTTATATCTTTTTGTAAGATTCTTTATTTTCTACTTTCTCTCGTTTCAATTTATTTTTTTAACACAAAATTAAAAAAAATTAAAAAAAATCAAATTTCATATGCTTAATACTAATAGGTCAAAATCATTAAGAATTAAATTGAATTAATTAATCACCGCACGCATTCCAATTAACCAACGCCGGAGAAGATCAATGTGAGTCATTTCCTCCGGCGAGAAAACACAACAGAGGAAAAAAAAAAGTGTCTTCTTTTTCTTCTGCGAATAGAAAAAATGTCAGCTTTGTGTCCAGTCTGCAATCTCACGCTTCCTCTCTCTCTAATCCAAAGGTATCAACAATCCCTAAATTCTTCTCCCTTTCTATATGCTTCTTAGTTTCATCCATCAAGGTCCTGATGTGTCTGTGTGGTTATGGCGGAGGATTTGACTCAGCCATGTGAATTCCCACTTCGAAGACGATGAAATCGATCCACAAATCGAAAGTGATCACCACTTGGCTCTGCAACTCGCTTCTTCTTCTTCTTCTGATCCTTCTCCATCTTCCTCTGCGTCATCATCTGTAATGCTTTCTTAAAACCCTTGAATCTTCTTTCCTCTCCTGCGTTAGGTTGCGTAAAGAAAACCCATTTGACAAAGTTGTTTCATTTCTGCAGAACAACGTTGCCTCGTTGGTGCATTTACAGACCAAGAGTCAATTCTACAGTGTAGGTAATGGTGGTTTGATTTGTTTGCTGAGGAACTGTTTGGAATCTGAACTGAAATCGAAATCGAAACCTTTAGAGTGTAGTACTAGTTTATTGTCAGGCTATGTTGATCATTTTCAATCTTCAAAAGAGGATAAAGGTTGGGGATGTGGATGGAGGAATATTCAAATGCAATGTTCTCATTTGCTTTTTTATAGAGAAGAAGCTAAAAGAGTTCTCTTTGGTGGCTCTGATTTTGTTCCTGATATTCCTTCGCTCCAGCGATGGCTTGAGTTAGCTTGGAGCAAGGGGTTTGATGTTTCTGGAGCTCTCCATTTTGATAATCGAATCTGTGGTTCCAAGAGATGGATTGGAACTACTGAATGTGCTGCGTTGTTACGTTCTTTCGGGTTAAAAGCCAGGATTGTTGATTTTGCTCCTAAGAAGTCTAAGTCAATGTATCTTTCAGTTCCTGGTTCTGCTATTGCTCCCAAGGTAAAGTCATATGGTCCCATGGACAGATATGTGGTTAAAAAGGGGGGAAGTGGGAAGGGAAAAGCAGTTGACTCTCATAGTTCTAATGCTTCTAGGATCAGCAAAGGAGCGGTATTAATGGAATGGGTTTGGAATTACTTCTCAGATAACAGATTAAATGTTTCATCCGGTGTTCATATGACGAACAAAGGGTAGGTTGTTCTGTTTCAGTTCTTGGTCTTGGAATGTCTTTAAAAAACTTCAAAACACATTACATATAAGGTTCGTGAGTTGATGTTATCGTGTGTACTACAGGCCCTTGTATTTCCAACATGAAGGGCACTCGAGGACAATTGTTGGGATTCAGAGACGGTTGCTAGGAACTACATTTACTCCTCAGTACAATCTCCTGATTTTAGACCCGGCTGATGTTAGTATACTGTTCTTTTTAATGATTAGGGAACGCAGTGACGACATGTCTATTCATGAACATCAGCTTTTACTTGAATGTGATTAATGATTGTGAGACTTGAATGTGAGTGCAGTTTACTAGAGCTATAGAGAAAGCACTTATAGAGAAGAGAGGATGGGAGGGATATCTTAAAAGAGGAGCTCACACATTGACGTGTCCCGAGTATCAGGTCTCAGCTTCGAACTCTGATATCCATCATTGCTTTGTTATTTGGCTAAAAGTTGAGTGATTTGATCTGAGTGTGATTGGGAAATGTTAAAATTATAAATACATACAGATGTTGTACGTTGATAATGGAATTGCTGATGGAGAGGAGTTGGAGAAGCTCAAGACCATTGATAGTCACTTTGTTGAGTTCTAATGGCTTCCATAAAAATTGAATAGTGGTTCTTCGAGATTCTTAGATTGATTGCAATTGTATACTTCTATATCATATGCAACATTGTGTAACTGCTATGAAAAAGCTCATATAACATTGGCATTTTATATATAGTATGCATTAGAGTGCATTGTTAATACAATTCATTAGCATTTCTCTTTTTTTAAAGAATATGTTAGGACTTAGGAGTTACTACTATGCTTTCCAGATGAAAGATTATTATGGCTTGTATGATAAACAACAAGTTTCAGCAGTCAATCTTTTGCTTTTAGATATTCAGACTTTCTTGAACATAAAATGATATACCAACTTTGGATTATTGTGAAAAGTACTAAGAACATGTAAGATGTGGCTATTTATTAGAAACATTGAGAGAGAAAATAAAAGGTGAAAATACAGAATGGCAATTTGAGATTTTTAACCAGAGATTGCATCATCACCACACCTAAAAATAGAAATGTCTTTTTCCAAAAGCACTTAAAACTAGAGAGAATGAGTCATAAAGAAAAAAAAAAAAGGCTACAGAGCTTTTTCCAATTCCCCAAGTTTGGTGATCCCTTCTTCCTCTGGCAACAAAACTTTTTCATGTGTGCCTCAAATGAACAACATAACCTCACTGTTGCTCTTCCATGGACTCTGAAAATTGTGACATTTTAGAGGTTTTGTTGGTTATTTAAGAGGCAGATGCAGCCACCTTCTTCCTCACAATCCTTTTTCGCCTAGCCTTTGGAGGTGGAGGATCTGAAACTGAGTCCTCTTGCTTCTTCCCCAGTAGCCCTGAGACAATTGCATTCTTTGAGATGAACCATCTTGAAGATGGCTTTGCTACTGCTTCCTCTGAGGGTCGGTTGTATGCTTTTGCCAGCAGATCATCTGACTGCGCCAGTGGGTCTGCCTCCACACCTAGCCATACCTGTCTTGACTTTTCCCCTAATTGAACATTCATAATCCTGTACCACATCCATCCATATTCATCAACATTCTTGATCCCCAGATTAAAGGTTTTCTAAGTCTAAGTCCTAAGAAAGAGTTTTGCAATACAACATCCAAACTTCCAACATGTCCTGTTTTACGTATGTTATGTAAATATGTGGGAGAGGAGGGTGGGAGAGAGAGAGGAATACCTCAAGGCAGTGCCGAAGAAGAGCGCTACTCCTATGACATCAAAGTGGCTGCTCACTCCTCTTTCAAATCCACATAACAGCTGATATCTCAAGTTCGCATATATTCCAAGAAATGCACCATAACCAAGAGCATTTGTGCTGATAGATGGGACCGTCACAGATACTCTGTCAGAACAAAGGTACAACAAGTTAAGCATGAGCTGGAAAAAAAGCAGAGATGCTGCCCAAGTGAATCAAGAGATTTGTAATCCTAGGATAGAAACAGGAGATATGTGATGACCTGTTCTTCTTCTTTCCTGCCAGAAAGTTTGACAACGAACCCTGGATAGTTCCTGCTGCGAGTCCAAGAATGGACAACTCTGCAGCCTTGTAGAAAAGAGAATGAAATCTCTTTTGCAAGTCGAACTCTCTAAGAGGATAGCTCATTTCAAATAAATTATTTGGTAGCTTTTGCAGTGTATTTTGCAGGTCAAACCGGAATGTGTTTCCATAGGAACGACATGGAGCTAGCAACCAAACAGCAGCTGCATTGCATGCTGATACAGTAAGAACATTTATAAGTGCAAGATCCCATTCCTCTTTTAGTCTGCAAATCATAGAGAATACAATTTAGGACACGAAACTAGAAGCTACAAAACCTTCAAAGTTTAGGTAGATGGAAAGGAACATACCTATTCTTACGATTCTTCACCTCCCACCAAACCGAGCATCCAACCGTGGCAGCTTGCTCCAAAAGAAGTTTATAGAGAAATGCAGGATCCGCCAACATCCTACACAAGACAGTCACCTTAGTCAAGACTGCATATAGTCTGACATTATAGAAACTTATAACTTAGAGACAATGAAGTTTACATGGACAGATGGATTCTCAGAAGAAACCCAAAAAATTACCTGCCAACAAAGGCCCTCGACAATCCCTGAGGAAGAGCACGGGAGATCATTCTAGTTGTTGTAGGACGGGCATTTATAGCAAGGAATTTCACCATTTGTGCTGAGCTGACCAAACCCTGCATACAAGTTTCCGTAAGTTCAAGTATGTCAGCATCGAAAAATCACCATTTCATAATAACAGAAAACGTAAAGGATATCTCACCATTTCATATGCTTGACGGAGACCAGCAGGTAAATCCATCATTGTTTTTTGCCATTCGTTCAACACAGCATCAACAAATTTCCTATCAAAAATCTGGACAATAACATAAATGCTGTTACTGCGTGACACCACGACAATAAAATACATGAAAAAAATCAACAAAACACAAGCGTAAAGATCACTTACCTCTGCGAGGAACATCCTACGCCTAAAAAGTCCATCATCATCTCCCTCATCGCCATCATCAAATTCATCAAAGTAATCGTCATCATCACCATTATCGTCACCTCCATCGCCACCACCGTTATTGATACTCTTTCCAATGTTTCCACCACCTCCTCCAGTTGCAATCTGTAATGAAACATGAAATAAAAATTCACAAAGCTACTCTTTTCTGATCGGTGGAAAATAGATTCACTGCAAACTGTTATCTCCAAGGAAGATATCATTACTAAGATTTTCTGGAACTACTTATCCAAGAACTTGCATCCGCCCATTATCATAACACAATTTTCAGCTACAATATGATTCATCTCCTTGATGTTATCTATAACAATTTAAAACCTCCCACGTACTTCATACTAAAGAAATGATCAACTTATCCGGATTAAAATCAAGTTATTTTTACTAAGAGCAGAGAAGCAGGACTAAAATCTAGCAGTTCACAAACACTGTTACTTGCTACTCATAGTTCCCCACGAGTAGACGATGGAAAGAGAACAAATTCTGAACCTCCAAGAAGAATAACCAACTCGCGACTCTCACTAACACCAACTTGATGAACCACAACAAAATCAAAACAGAGCGGATAAAACAAGCAACGACATGCTCATGTAGCTAGACAATAGATAAAAGGCACATCCTTTAGAGAGACTTTCACCAAAGTAATCTAAATTCTTGCAATTCACCAAATAATCTCTTAACCAGAAAGAAAAGAAAGGAGTATGAGAGAGAGACCTCAGGGCTGGTCTCAGAAATCTTCTGGGTCATATCAAGCTTCCCTTTTTCCAAAGTTACAGCTCCTACAGAACCAAATTTCCCTTTCATCACAGGACACATCTGAGTACTTGCAGAGAAAGAGCCAGAGGAAGATGGGGCTAACTCAACTCCTGAAGGTAACTGTAAGCAACGCTCGAGACCTGATACTGAATCATCGACAAGAAAAGAGGACGAAGCTCTAACGAAGCCGCGACGGAGCTTACAAGGCAGAGTAACGAGTGGACGAGGGATAGGTAAACAGGGTTTGAGAGGAGATAAGGGTTTGGGAGCGACAACGCTCTGAAACACCATATGCGACATGGCTTCACCAGGATTAAAAAACCCAAGCTTTGATTCCGATAAAGATTCAAGCTTTTTGGTGATTTCTTGAAGAAAAGGCAGAGAGCCTTCTTCTCTCTTAGGGCTGAGAGAGAGAAAGAGAGGAAGAAAGAGATTGAGAAGGAAGAGAGGATTTATCGCCAATCAGACGATTACAGAAACAACCCAATCTCGCTTTTCTCTTTTTTGCACCAACTCAAATGCTTAATACTTCTGAATGAGTCAGAGGGTTTCAAGTCGGTTTTTTAAATATTTTTGACACAATAAGGTCTCTCAAGTCGGTCGTCAATTTTTTTGGTAGCATCTGCGTATACGTCCAATTCGAAGTTCCATGGTTTGGTTATTGTCATGTGTCAAATGGAAACTAAATCCAAGGCCTTTTCGTGAAAAAAGTAAAATTTCATTCCTGTCGATTTAGGATTTCTTTTTTGGAGATACTAACCATTAATCAATTCTCCTTCAATCAGTTTACACGCAGAGAGTAGTAGTTTGTTTGATATTAATAATACAAACCCCATCATTTAATGCCAAAAAAAAAAAAGACACAATACAAAAAAAGAACTAAACACATCAAACACAATAGAATATCATGAACATCATCGTCCTTGTTCTCTTCCTCTACTCAATTTGGCCACAAAGCTTTGATTATGAATATATCTAAAAGATATATACTCTGCTGTCTTCGTTTTGGGATCTTCTGTGCAAACTTAGTTTAGCCATTTAAGAAATCAAAGTCAATTGGCTGGCTTCTTATTGGAGGATAATTGGTTACTCGTCTCTCGGTTGCTGCATTCTCTGTTGGGTTCACTGTTGTCGTAACAGTTTCAGGCGGAGGGGCTGTTGTAACAGTTTCTGGTGGCGCTCTTGTAACAGTTTCAGGCGTTGTTGTTGTTTGGCTAGTATTTTCTGTGCCTGCAGCTGTTTCAGTGTTTGGAGTTGAAGACGGATCACTTTTGTCTTCCAAAGAAGTTTCCTCCTCTACGGGAGGAGGCTCAGACACTGTCTCCGTCACGGGTCCATCCACAGGTGCTGCTGCAGTTTCAGATGCTGGTGACTCAGCAACAGCTGCGGTTTCAGGTGCTGGTGACTCAGCAACGGCTGCGATTTCAGGTGCTGGTGACTCAGCAGCAGCTGCAGTTTCAGGCGCTGAATCAGTCTGTGGTGCCTCAGAAGATGGAGGAGCTTCAATAGCCAATGGTTTTGCAGGTTCTTCGAGCGCCAATGGCTTAGCTACTTCTGGCTGTGCAGTCTTCTGTGTGAGTAAAGGTTTTTTGGGAGCAGTAATGGAAGCAAAGATTGAAGACATTCCAGGAGGAAGAATCTCGATAGGAGGTTTTCTGGATGCATCAGATAAACTCGTGAGCTTTGGATCCTCGAGAGAAGCCAGAAACGCACTTGCAGCATCAGTTTTAGAAGATGGAGCTTGCTCAACTTCCTTCTGCAGCGTTTTATTCCAAGCCTGGACCAAGTTCTTTAGAGTTGGACGACCATGTGCCTGTGGGAATAATTACAGTAGGTGAAGTCAGAAACAATACAAGTTTAATTTATAAACTACAAAAAGAAAACCGACAATAAAAAACAATCTTACATGGGCATGAAGCACGGCTTCTGCGAGCATTCCCGTGTCTTGCCATGCCTTCTCCATGAGCGCATTGTCACCCAGAACTGCAGCAGAAAATGCTGATTCTCGCCCGAGGCCTATGGAAATCAGATTGTTTATAAGTCCCTGTAACAAAAAAAAAGAAGTATTTCAATTAGGAACCTGCAGATACAAAGTACAAAATCAAAAGCATAAATTCGTTTACAGTTAGTTATGTAGATCCTATCGAGTGAACAACACAACAGTCTTTAGATTTCTGTAGGTATCCTAAAATAAGAGAAACCAAGATAGAAACCGAAAGAAAGAGAAACTGCAGGCATACGCTTAGGCGTGTCAATTCTCCATGGTTTGCTAGGCGTAATGAAAGGCCTCGCAACTCATGACCTTGTAAAGCGCCTTTGACTGAACCTGCAGTTGCCAGTCTTTTGAGAGCTTCGCGAGCAATGTCAGCGTGCCCTGTGGCATCAGCAGCATCTATAAGGTCAAGAAACTCCTTTGCAAATTTCACTATTCCCTCCACAGCTTCAACAACATCTTCTTTTTTAGTAGCTGTCAAAGAGAGAATGTCACTCAAATCAAGGCCTACACCGTCCTGTCCAATGTCCTTGCTATTACTCATTGTGAGAAGACAATGAAGAGCCCTCTTAAGATCATTGCTCTGCATTGCTAGATCAAACTCCAGCCTAAGAAAACATAAAGCTAAGTCAAACTCGGAACCTAAGTTAAAGTGAAAATAATCAATGCTGGCATTTTGGTTTGAATTGACAGCTAGGATGAAGGATGCAATACATGAGTGAAACACTGAATTCTGTTCACTGTCTAGCATAAGCAATTCAGAGACTAGAAAAGACTGTATATAGTAGAGCCAAATTGAAGGAATAGCGGCACCAAAACATTTTGTTTTATTTACCTCTTAGATATTCCAGGCAAATGAAGAGCTTCTGTTGCGTATCCCATCCCTAGCATAAACTGTGCCAGATCGTCGTGATGTTCTCTCCCAAGCCTACTTGCCCTGCGCAAAAAGAAATGTTGTATAAGCATTCCAGCTACTTTACTACTCACATAAACACGAGATTATGAGAAACATATCCATACCATTTAACTGCACTAACAGCATCCCCGTAAGCAGCAAGACAGCGACAGCGGATACCAGGATGATTAAGTGATATGGCATGGGCACACATGTACCTACCAAGAAATGGAGGAGTCAGAAAATAATTTCTATCTTCTGTCTGATATTTATTTAATCATTCAAGCAACTAAAATGACGACCATGGCAAGATATTGTATTCAAGATTACAAACATTTTTGGTGCTCAAGGAAACTTTGGAATGCAAAATGTCAGATGTCAATGTGCCTACCTAGTGCGTAATATAAATGAAAAGGACAATTCATAATCTAATTGAATATACATATCTCCAACGTAGATAAAGATAAAGAATCACCAATTCATACAGTCAGCATCCAACAAGGAATGTTTTAACAAGAGTCAGTCTTTTCTTAAGGTAAGAAACAGGAGACTCTTAGTACCTGTCAATGAGCCAAAGAACTCCATCCCGTACACCGGCAACAACAAGAGGCCCCACTGGTCGTTTTTGCTCCACTGGGAAACGAGTAACAGCAACTGAGACTCCTCCACCACCCACAGCTACCTCATTGATCCTTCTTTCATCCATTACGTCATCGCTATCACCTCTAGATTGTCTTGGCAATGATAAGAATGGTGGAACAGATGGAGCATTTTGGAAAGAAGCTAAGCGCACCACCTAGAATTAAAAAGTATAAACATAAGGAAGATTCTTGCTAGTTTGACATGAATTGACATAGATGTCGACACATATGCAGTACAAAAACACAAGCTTAGACCTGTAAAATTAAGCTTCACAATAGTTACTATATATTTCAAGTAAAAGGACAAAATATCCACCTGCAGCATGGGGGGCCTTAAAGATATCCTTTCTTGCTTTGCAGCCTGGGAACCTTCTACTGTGATTAAGGCTAACTCTCCATGCTCTGCAACTGCTCTAGCCTGTGCCTCCTTAAGTTTCATTTCTTCCTTCATCTTCCTAGTCTCTATATCAATTTCAGAAACTCCCGCGTCCACAAAAACACATCTGGAAATCCGGGCATGGAAGAAAGTATTAGCATTACTCCCAGAAATTTTGTTTTAGTATGTAGCAAATCAAGGTAGCCATGTCCTTAACAGAGTCAGAATTAGAGCAATTCTTTTCAAAACATAGTAATCTCTGAGAAGTTGGATTATGCACCATCTGAATAATCAATAACTGTTGATACACATCCACCACAAAAACACTTAGATTCGATTTTTAGTTTGTTTCACCCAAGTGGAAGTAGCACTGAAGCTAACTGGCACAAAACAGAAAATTTGGCCATGTATCATATATAGAGCAATAATCTTACTCAATCGTGGTTGGTGTAGCCACAAACAGCTGTCTGCGATGCCAAACAGCTCCAGTAGCATGTGCAATGGCAACATCACCAAGATATCTATACTGAGGGCGCAAGGACGATATGACCATGTATTGTTGATAAGCAAAAGCACAGTACTCAACTGTTTGGTCCCATGCCGTCCATTCTGGCTGAGGTAGCATACCACCTACTGGCTCAAAATTTTCCCAACTACACATTAAAAATTCCATTTAGATAATATAGAACTGAAATACTTTAACATGATACAATGCAACAAAATTAGAGCTAACCAAAATGTAACTATGGGAATCAGTACAGATCGATGAACAGTGCTTATTATTCCATCAAACAAGAGTAACTATTTTCCCAGACATCTCAGAGGAGGAAATGAGATTCTGATTTGGTCAATATAGCTAACTAAAGAAAATGAAATGTAATAAAATATGCCCAACAGCCAGCTGCCTGCACACTAGTTTAGTAACAAAGAGTGCTAACAGAAATGAGCCTTGCATAAAAAAATAAGAAAGACAACCCTAATCACCTGTAGAGCTGGTAGTTTAGGGGTGCAGACTCGGCAGACTTCTGCGAAGAAAACCCATCATCATAGCTAGAAAATGAAGAAACATTGCTGTTTCCAAATCCCGAGAGTGGCATCGACTGAATGGTTGAAATAGCTGTTGCAGCAACAGGACTAATCCTTCGGGATGTGCGATAGCCTATACCAAGTAGAGCACCACCATGCAGACCAATGACCTGCAAGGAGAATTATGAAGCATAAGAATGTTGCTTAACCTAGATGTCAAGCATTGACATACTGCTCTTTGATCATTTTTCCAAAGTAACAAAGATAAACCACCACTTGAAGTCAAGTAGAATTACTGCATAAGATTCTCATGTTTAGCAACCTTTCCTTTTGGTCAGACGTCAATTAATAAATTACTGTGTTCCAAGTATGACATTTTTTTGCACTAATTTTACAGTATTTTCAATGCAAACCAAGGTACACAAATTCTTAGGAGCATGATTAGATTAAATATTCAATAGAACTGCTCTAGAATACATGCAGATGATCTGATATAAATGAAAGAGAGACACATACCGGTTCAGAGCGACCTCCGACAGATCTCATGAGTATGTTTGAGGTACCATCATCCAAGAGAATACGAACTTGGACACTAGCCGATGAAGCTGCACTGGCAGCAGCCGCAGCTTGAGCTGCAGCTGCAGCGGCTTCTTTTGCCTTTCTCGATGAACCACCCTTAGGGATTATAGGCATCCTTTGAGGTAACACAGATTCTAGAATGGCAAATCTGTCTCGACATGTATCCCAAGCCAACAGTCTTGCACTTCCAGAGTCAACAATGGACCAGTCACTAACCTTGTAGATAGAGAAGTACAGAATATCAGGCCATACAACAGCCACATACCTACAACCAGAAAATAAAGTTAGTTGGCTAAAAAAACAACATTCAACAAATTAGCTGAGTTATGAAGAAAATTATATTCATAAAAAACAATTAGCTAAGAAACTTACTTCCCTGAACTGCTCACAGATAGAACTGAGTATGAATCATGTGGAACAGGTGCCACGATCTGCTTTTTGGTCTGCTTTACAGTCAACTGTTCACCTGGGTCTCCCTTAGACAGCCCTGACTCGGACAAGGCACTATTATTTCCAAGGGATGGGTTGGCTGAGTTGGATAGTTGAAAGTTCAAGAGCTTTAATTCTCTTCCAAGGATATATATAGCTGAATTTTCCCGACTTCCAGGCAGTGCTGGTAGAGGAGCTGCGGACGGGATGGCACGAGGATCAAATTCACTAACTATAATACCAACATTGGTACCAGTTGCGACGAGATGTGGTTGTAGAGGATGTGCAACCATACAATAGACCTAAAAAATGAAATTAATAAGTAACTAATGAGGGTTACTACCAATATATGGAAGCCACTAAAGCGAAAGAAGTACAGAAGCAATGCTATTATAATTATGTAATAAAGGAACTAGCAATCATTGAAATTTATCAACTGGCGTTTTCAAGTAGAAAATGAACACCGAATATCATCTGCAAATTCTGAAACTTCCAACTTTGGGTGCAGCACGTGCTTTCTCTATAACCATCTGACATAAAGATTACGTATCTTCTCCATTGTAATATTCTTTTAGGTACATTCAGTGTTCAAACAGCTATCAATCTAAAGTCTGCTATATACAAAACTTTTCTGCAAGAAGTAACAAACTATCAAACAGTTGTAATCTATTCTATTCTTATTCCTAGTCTACTTGAGTCGGAATATCTTTGCACTGCCACGTGCAATATCATACAGCTAACCAACTTCATCATTTCAACCATAATAGATGCATTTTACGAGATATGAAGAGAAACTAATGTTTTGTGGGGCACATAGAATGAAGAATAAGAGAGCAATTCTCATGCCCAGGCTTGTGCATGAGTTATTGACATAGTATACAACTAGCAAGCAGAAAGAAATGATATGATACGTGGTAGATTCCGAGGATTTAATCAACAATGAAAACAAATCAACAACCAATTGTGCTGATTTTGCTTTGTCAAACTCAAAAAAAGAAAGAAGCAAGAGCTAATTACCCTAAGTTTTCTGTGGGTTGCAAGTACTTGAGGCGGAACCAAGGAAGAAAGTTCACATAATGGCCTTGTTAGGGCCGAATAAGTTGGATGCTCAATAGACCTGCGAAAAGCCAAACAATTAGACACTCATCTAATATACAAAAGTTTTTTACCATATACACTACCAAATGTTAAACAAAGATACCATATGTGCGAATCTTTAACGCAAGTCAAAATATCAAGGTTTGGCGCTCGAGGGTGACACCAAGATGCAACACTGTGGCAAGCTAGCTTCGGGACAGGTTTAATTCTACGCAGCTCCTGTAGAGAAAAAGTAGATATGCATGTTAAAAAATGAGGTAAAATATGAAAAATCTATACATGAGATACACCATTACCTTAAATGTCATTGTGTCCCATATGGCTAATGTCTTGTCAGCCCCAATTGTAATCAATTGTGGAGCACTCCCACTTACCCTTGACAACTCAACAGCCACCACCCCACCATCATGTGCCTAATACAATCAGAAAAAAAAAAAATCAGAAGAAACCAAGAAGGTGAGCAAAAGCTTTTACAACGCCATATCTGGAAGAGAAAAAACAGTATAACAGAGAAGTGGAAATTATGACTCAATTAAGCAAACAAGAGCATGTCCAAAAACAGCACAAGCATGTTATACTCCCCTAATCATTACTCAGCCTTTTTCACAAAATGAAAGAAAAAATCTAAATGCTAATAGTCCAACATTCAGAAATAGACACAGAAATCAACTCAGAAGGTTCAATGGAACTAAGAAAAATGGTGCCTTAGTCTCAGCTGTAACCAAATCTGGCCAATCTTTCCAGGCCTAAGACTTGAACGGCCACAGCAATATCTTCTCTTGAACTTTTCATGAAAGAGTAGGCATGAGAAGAATACCTTTAAGCTAAGCTTGGGTACAAGTTCCCTTGAGTCAGTGCCATTATCGGCACTCCACAGTACAAGTAAGCCATCACTGCCACCTGAAACAAGGAGTGCCTGCAATTGCAATTAGAGAGAGAATGGCTAGTATCATGTATTGGACATGAATAACGGAGAGAAAATACTTGATAAGCGTTCATTAAAAAATGTCAAATTATATAAAAGGGAAGAAGGCCCAGTACTAGTAGAAATTCGCTAATAACAACCTAAACAAGCAATTGGGAAAAAAGATGCCAATGTTTAAAATTCCTGCTCATAATGCTAGGCTATGCATGAAATTTAACCCAAACATATTAGGAGCACAGATGATCTAAGAAACTAAGGCTAGATATTTGGATTGTACAACAGGTATCCGTATAGTAAGGCCTGTTGCGGTCTGGACTCCCCACTTATTAAAATGTGAGATTTTGATGTCAGAAAGAAGAAAAAAATACATGTAGGAAACTTCCAAGACGATATGCCCAAGACCTCGTTTTCATTTAATATATCAGTCAATCTTAGTAGGTGATCTTGCATATGGTTTTCTAAATTACATGACACTTTCATCTATCAGATAGTTTTAAGTAAATAACTCGAAATAAATTCAGAGCATATGGAGAGAATATGTAGTTACTTCGCCAGATGATGCCATGAAATTCATCAAGCAATATATGGATCCTTTATGGCCACCTGTATATCTACGTGCAAGCTGAAAGGAAGTAAACATTTAAGGAAATTAACACAGATCAGTATCAAAAGCCCTCACCCTAAACCCATCAGAGAAACAAAACAGATATTCTAATTTTGGAACAAACATACCTTCCATGTTATCATTGATAAAACCCGAATAACACCATCAGTTGAACCAAATGCAACTAAAGGGCCTTCACCACCAGATGATCTGGTAAGAAACTCCATGCTGCAAAGAAATGAAGAATTCTAGCAACTTTACGGAACAGTACAAATTGGAAAAGTAGAAAGACTGTTTGAAAATTGACTGAACATTAAACATCAAGGTGGTCAGGTATCCATTACACTTAAAACACACACATATCAACTTATGCATAGTCTACATTTGACATAAATATTTCCAGTGTAGTAACTAATGGAGGTTGTTCCAGCATTCAAGTGATTTAAAGATAGGAAGCCTACAGTTATAGAGCATCTTCCCCGGGGTCCAGGTCTCAAGCAAACCCATATTCTAAAACTAGAGAAAAAGCAATGAACATACCAGAGAAGTGACTTGTTATCAAGCTCTTGCTTTGGCACATCACGACCACGCATTGTTACCAAATCCAAGAAAATGGCTTTATTCTCACAACAGATGACCAGAAAATGCCGGCCTTTAGTCGATGGAGCAGGAGAAGTGAAAGCAGATGTGAGATGATTGACAGCTGATGGAGATTCAGCAGCTGCAGAACGATTGCGCCAAAGTTGCCAATAACGCACATCATCGTCATAAAACTTCACCTGCTTAACACTTGTAGGAGCAAACATTGAGCGGATAAGTCATTTTCCTCATATCAAAAGGATCAATTGAAAAGCAGCGGGAAAGATCTACTACCTTCCTCCTCTAATGGCTTCAGTGGGCTTGGCTTTATAGTCTGAGCAATACATGAATGTCAGTAAAAACAGAAAGCATCTAAACGTATACTCATTCAACAGGAACAAATTATTCATAGCTGCTCACCGGATTCTCCCTCGGCGAGCTTCTCTAACTTAGCACCAACTAAACGGCGCTCGTCAACTCCGCCGGCTTTCAATTCATAAATTACCTAGAAAATAGCCATAGACGTTGAAAGATCCACGATTCAGGATCAGAAGCGAAACGAAAACCAAATCAGAATCTCGATAAAAACCAAACCTGACGATGCTCCCAATTCCAGACGGAAACGTGATCTGAATCATCGGCTGTGACAAGCCATGGATGCGTGGGATGTACCTGTATCTTCACAATCTTACCATTTGTCTGCCGAAATGCTCTCGCCCGCAACATTTCGATCTCTCTCTCGCTCTCTATATCAGTTCTCCAAGATCAATGAAACAACTCAAAATCTGAGCACAATTGCATCCGCAAAGACGATTTGGATTCACGAGAACTCCTAAAGAGACTCAAAATTTCAGAAAAAAGCTATTATCAGATCCAGATCGATTAGATCCACCGCGGTTATCAAAGAAAATGGCCGGATCCACCACCACCACTACAATCGCCGAACAAAAACTCCGGTAGTGTGATCTTCAGACGCGAATCGCGTAAAGCGCGAACTACGAAGGCCACTCTGATTAACAAAAAAGGCCCAATAACATTTTTTTAGCCCTTTCCTTTGTCGCATGGATATTCCATTTACGGAATTAATTGGGGGATAAAAGTTGAAAATTATTTACAGTTTTTTTTTTTTTTTTCGAATTCGAAATGTATCATCATCTTTTTTCTTTTTTGCACAAACTAAGCTTTCATTCACTTAAAAGAGTTCAACCTCCACATAAAGAGGATATAAAAGGCTACTAGGAGCCAATTCAAACCATGCCAAACGAGCAAATGGTAAAGCAACAACATCAACAAAAGCTAAACAGAGATAAAAGGATAGATGTGAGCTAAAACGCTCAACCAAAGTAGATAGATGGGAGCCAAAACGCTCAACCAAAGTAGAATCCAACCAAAAGTAATCGAGAGTGAGATCAGCTCCAACGATTGCTTCTAAGGAGGCCTTCAAGACGAAACCTTCCGCTGACCTTGTGAAGGTGACAGAACGATGACGGGCATGGCCGTCAAGTAGGGGAAAATCAAAGACATTGGAAAACCACCAGCCCATGACACGAAGAGATGAGAAGGTGCACCTACCAACATCAAAGAAAATCTTCTTCCCTGCAATACAACTTATTCCACAGAAAGGGGAATTTGATAAAACATAAAAAGCCATAAAGGAGTAATCATGAGACCACATCCAAGGCAAATGAACCATCATAGCCTTGTTAACTACCAACGCACTCAAAGAGTCAAACGTGACCAACATTGGAACACATATCCATCGAATGAGGCATACGATTCCAAGCACCAACTCACAGCTCAAATAAACTGTAAGAAAATGGATAAACGAGCCATAACCGAACCTGGTAGAAAATTATTTACAGTTTTTTTTTTTCTTTCGAATTCGAAATGTATCATCATCTCAAACAAAAAATTTCTTCTCGTAAATCTGGAATTCGATGTCGATTTATAATTTATGGATAAAAATTCATATGCTACAAATAACTATATTTGATAAATTATATTGGCTATTTTGATAGTTTGTTTTAGTAAATTTGTTAAAAACTGCTTATACTATTTAATTATTAAAATTAAAGTTTTCTGTGATTTTCAATACTATGTTTATTTTTTTCCACTTTCATTTTTTTACAAAATCTATGTTTGTCTCGTGAATTTAGGAATTGCATGAATTTATAACATTTATCTTTATTTTCATGTTTCTCAATTCCATTAACCATAAATTGTGCTAGATTTTCGAGGCTTATTAATTTTTTTGTGCAAAAAAATCTTTTAACTCGACAGTTTTTACGATTTTACAAAGGATTGACACATGCCTATTCTACAAGAGTTTATGGATCCGGAAGATATACAAATCATTACGGGTTTGGCTATAAGTCAAGTTTACAAGCTGGATAGGCTAATTTGGCATCACACAAATTCAAGAAGATACACAGTAAAGTCAGATTATCGGCTTCTACATGGTATGACAGAAACAGTAGAGTGGGGTCCAAGTTGTAAAGCTTTAAAAGCACAAGCATGCAAAATTAGAGCTCTACCAAAACTCAAACACTTTCTATGGCAAATTGCTTCGGGATCAGTAGTAGTTACCACAAAACTATCTCATCGTGGGATACAATGTGACATTATTTGTCAAAGGTGTGTGATGGCAGTGGAAACAATTAATCATGCTCTCTTTGAGTGTCCACATTCTCGACAAACCTGGGAATTTTCTTTGATTCTTATAATACCAGGAAGATTTCCTTTAAGTTCGACGTATTCGAATCTAGATTATCTATTTTGGGAAATACCATCTCCTTTAGATGGGAGAGAGAAAACTCACTGCTTAGCTTGATTTTGTGGTTCATATGAAAAGATAAAAATAAAAAGGTTTTCAAAGGATTACAATATGAACCCTTAGATATTTAAAATCACGTTTTGAGTGAACAATTAGTGTGGGAAGAAGCTCAATTGGACCCAATTTAATTTAGTGTTAATAAGAAAACATTGGATAATTCTACACAATCCCTAAGATGTCGGATTGATGACTCATACAAATTTTCGAATCCAACTACGGGTCTAGGATGTTTGTGTTTTCAAGAAAATTATCAAATAGTACTTTTTGGTGCAAAGTGTCTTCGGAGGTATCCCTCCCCCCTCCCTCCCCCTTTTACTCGGAGATAGAAGCTTTATTATGGGATATGATGAATATCCTTTGAAGAAGGATTGACTGTCAAGCGTTTGAAACATATTGTACAGAGTTAGTCTCGATTAGGCATGTCAATCAGGTTACCCCGGTCCGGCCCGGTCCAAGCCCGCAAATCCCGCGTACATTTTAGTCGGGTCTGGCCTGTAAAAATTCCGAGCCTATATTTTAAAGCCCGGCCGACTCTAATAGAGCTACATGGCTTTTCCGGGCTCTATGGACTTTTTTCGATAAAAGAAACAAACTTATAATTGATAATATCTCTTTAAAAAAGTATGTGTATAAACGAGTCAACCGACATTAAGATAACGACTAACGCTAATTTAATTTCAAGAAATAGTTTAAAATCAAATAAATAAATTGTTTAAACTCATACCAAATAAAATATAAAACCGGAAGACTTCAAACTAGGTAGTAAAGCTAATATTTGCTTTTTATATTTACAGTAAGCAGTGTTCAAGAAAGCGCTAGGCGCTAAGCGGGCGGTGATCCAGTGCCTAGCGCCTAGAACACCTAATCGGGGCCTAGGCGATTTTTTAGGCGGTTTAGACGTTTATAACATAAAACATTATAAATATGATATTATATATAAAAGTTATATAAAATATCTACATAAAACTAAAAATTATAAAATTATAAACAAAAACTAGATAAAACATTTATTTATATTTATATTAAACAATATATGAATATTTATAACTATATATATAAATAAAACTCTAATTGAAATTAAAAAAATACATTAAACAAGATCTATGTAATTTTAGGCGGTCAAGGCGGTTATCTAGGCGTCGCATAAGAGCCTAGCGACTAATCGGGGCCTAGGCGACCGCCTAGACCGCTTTTTAGAACACTGACAGTAAGGCATAATTTTGAAAACTAGGTTTAGGGTTTTCAACTCTGTTAAAAAAAATTCTTAAATAAATTTCTCAACTAAACGAAAATATTAACAAAAAAAAGTCAAAATATCTTTCTAAAGATTTTTTGAACTAGTTTGAGCCCGACCGGTCTAAACCCAAAATATCCTTTTTGCCCGAATGGGCTTAACCTGAAAGGCCCGATTGTTTCTGGACATATAATTTTAAGTCTGAGCCTGTTGTTTTCAGGGTTGGGCCGGGCTAGCCCGCATGATTTGGTCCTAATTGACATGACTAGTCTCGATGGTGCAGTCTTTTGAAGAATGACCCGCTTTTTCCAATCTGCTCGATAAATTTGAATGCTTTGTGTCTTCTTTTCCTTTTTGGATTTCTTCTATTTCTCGTTTATGTAATTTTAAAGCGGATTCTTAGCGTGATCCGATAGATTATTATATTGAGAAATCACATTTGTAATTAACTCTTTCAGGTTTTGTATTATGATGAAAATGTGTGAAGGGCACTATTTTGTTGTGTTGGTTTATGTTTTTGGAAAATATATATATATATATAATATGTTGTATTCAGGAATTATATAAAATATGAACCAGAGTGACATGTTAGATCGTTTTAATTTATCTTCTTCACCACAAAAGAAAGTCAAACAAAACTTAGGGGATGTTCTTACTCTCTCGTAATTTTGTATTTTTTTTGTTTGGAAAACCTTTCACAAGTAAAATAATGACAAGAAAATGAACCAAGATCGAAAATGATATTGGAAATAAACATCATTTTTTATTAAAATCGAAACACACACCTTCAAAGCACAGACCATCACATGATCCAAAAGCATGGACCTTATTTGACTCATAAACACAAGAAAAGCTGAAATGCTTACACAAGACGTCGAGTGACACAAATCCAAAGCGTGGACCTTATTTTACGGAATCAAAGAGAAAAAGAAAACTAAAGAGCAAGTCTTTTATTGGTGATAATAGATAGACACGACATGGACTTCGATCTGATGAACCAAATCACCAGCTTTTCAACGATCTTGTAACCTTCCTCCTTAAGTTCCTCCGTTACCACATCCCACACCTATGGCGGTTCCAAAGTAAGCTCCAATGGCATCAATAGCCTGACCAGAGCGTCCGTGGAATCCAAGAAGCTTTCCTCCATTTTTACCCTCGAGCATGAGTTGATTTCCAGATGAATTCGTCTCACCGAATATCGGAGAGGTTCTTCCGTAAGAGGTTTTGAAGAATAGCGATTTGATCAGCACTGCCTTATAGAGGTCAACATGATCGTAGCTTCCACCAACGGATGTGATACATTCATACGGATAATCCACCGCAAACTGTATTTCAATTTTTTCCATCAAAAACAAACAATTTATAAACTTGCAAACGGGTGGATAAATAATTAAGAACCAATTGAAGAAAAACAAAGTCAAGTAGGCTATTTTTATTACCTCTTTCAGTTCCCCGCGAATCGTCCCGTGTTCACGGGTTTCAATTTTTTTGTTCTTTTCATATTCGATCTTGATATAAGACACACAGCCAAGATCTTTTCCAACAATTATTTTCTTCACACCGTCGAAAACACCATCGTCGAATGCAACTCCCATGTTACCACCCATTGCTTCAATTTTTTCGGGTGCCGGAACTGACCAAAAATATGCACCAATGGCATCAATAGCCTGACCAGAGCGTCCATGGAGCCCAAGAAGCTTTCCTCCATTTTTACCCTCGAGCAAGAATTCTTTCCCAGCTACATTTCCAGATGAACCGAATATTGGAGAGGTTCTTCCATAAGAAGTCTTAAAGAACATCGATTCGATCAGCACTGCTTTATAGCGGTTAACATGACCGTAGCTTCCACCAACAGATGTGATACATTCATTCGGATAGTCCACCGCAAACTGGATTTCATTTTCCATTAGAAACAAACAATTTATATCTTTATACACATTTTAAAAGAGTTGGAAATAACTTATTGAAGAATAGCAAATTCACGTTATCTATATTACCTCTTTTAGTTCTCCGCGAATCGTCCCGTGTTCACGGGTTTCAGTTTTTCCGTCCTTTACGTATTCGATCTTGATATAAGACACACAATCAAGGTCTTTTCCGACAATTATTTTCTTCACACTGTCGAAAACACCATCGTCAAATGCATCTCCCATGTTACCACCCACTGCTTCCCGCTTTTCGGGTACGGGTGCGGGGAATGGCCAAAAATATGCACCAATGGCATCAATAGCCTGACCAGAGCGTCCGTGGAACCCAAGAAGCTTTCCTCCATTTCTACCCTCGAGCAAAAATTCTTTCCCAGAGGAATTCGTCTCACCGAATATTGGAGAGGTTCTTCCATAAGAGGTTTTGAAGAATAGCGATTTGATCAGCACTGCCTTATAGAGGTCAACCTGACCGTAGCTTCCACCAACGGCTATGACACATTCTTTCGGATAATCCACCGCAAACTGGATTTTTTTTTTCCATTAGAAACAAATAATTTATAAGCTTTTAACGGGTGCATGTATAAGAACCGAATGAAGAAAATCAAAAGTCACGGTATTTTTATTACCTCTTTTAGTTCCCCACGAATCGTCCCATGTTCACGGGTTTCAGATTTTCCGTCCTTTTCGTATTCAATCTTGATATAGGACACACAGCCAAGGTCTTTTCCCACAGTTATTTTCTTCACACCTTCAAAAACACCATCGTCGAATACATCTCCCATGTTACCACCGATTGCTTCCTGCTTTTCAGGTTCAGGAACTGGCGAAAAATATGCACCAATGGCATCAATAGCCTGACCAGAACGTCCGTGGAATCCAAGAAGCTTTCCTTCATTTTTACCCTCCAACATGAATTCTTTTCCAGATGAATTCGTCTCACCGAATATCGGAGAGGTTCTTCCGTAAGAGGTTTTGAAGAATAGCGATTTGATTAGCACTGCCTTATAGCGGTCAACATTACCGTAGCTTCCACCAACGGCTATGATACATTCACTTGGATAATCCACCGCAAACTGGATTTTTATTTTCATCCATTAGAAACAAACAATTTATAAGCTTTTTATTTTCCACTTGATATAAGAACTCATTGAAAAATAACAACATCACGATTTGGTATTTTTTTACCTCTTTTAGTTCCCCGCGAATAGTCCCGTGTTCACGGGTTTCAAATTTTCCATCCTTTTCGTATTCGATCTTGATATAAGATACACAGTCAAGGTCTTTTCCGACAGTTATTTTCTTCACACCGTCGAAAGCACCATCAGTGAATGCATCTCCCATGTTACCACCAACCGGTCCCATCTTCTCAGACGACATTGCTTCGATCTCTTAACTTTAGTGATAGAAACCTGAAAGATTCAAATTCTTTTCTTAAAAAATACATATAGAAAGAAGAAACAACAAACAGAATGGTTACTTGGTAAAGAAATTAAATGGAAGAAGAAGTACCACAAACTGTTTTTTACTTATCACTAATGCTAAAATAAGTTAATATATCTTTTATATTCAATTCCACTTCTACTATGAGATAGTTTAATTGTATTCTATATCTGCTAAGGAGGATACTGAGAATTTTTTTTTTTAACGTACTTCTCCTTATCTCTCTATAATTGAAAATTACATTAAAAAACCATTAATATATTTGTATTGGTATAACTTCAATAAGTTCAAACAACAACAATGGATGCATGACAAAACTATGCACAATACATTAGCAAGGAAGAAATCATATAAATTAGATTATCATAATGTGAATAGAAAATGTCGACTAATTAAAGATGTGAATAGAGAGAATCGAGAAAAAATGAAGGCAAATTAAGAGTGAGAGAGGGAGAGAGAGAGAGAGAGTCCTCACGTTTGTGTTACTCTTTGATTGGAGAAGAGCTATGGGATTTGGAGTAATGCTACTCCCTATTTATTGACACCTCTTTTTTACTTTTTACATTTTACTAATTTACTTTTTACACTCTATAAATTTTTAATTATCTTGATACCCGAGATACGTTAGTCACTAAGGTCCATCGACTAGGCCAAGACATTTCAAATGGGCTCCGATAATTTAATAAAGAAAACTATATTATGATTTTTATAGAAATATTTTATTTTGAAATAGAATAATTGGATTATAAAATAAGATAATGGTTATAACACTACAATTATTAAATATTATGTTCAATTGTTCTCATATATTAACTAGAATATAGTTTTATTATTTTCAATATGTGGTTAAGGTTTATATCTAAAAGAATTGTGAAACCAATTCCGTTAGATTGATAACCATTTTAGCAAATTTGTAACTAAGTTTCTGATTATTAATCTTAATTTTACATTGATTATAGAAAACCAATTATATTTCTTCTACTATTTATGTTTTTGTTATTAAATTATCCTCCAAAAAACTTTTCAACAAACATTATGATTTTTATTTTTTTTGAATGAACGTAAAATTTTGCGGAGATGTGAGTTGAAGCGAGGAAATCTTGTTCCGTATTACCCGATCTAGACACTTGATTAACTGAGTTGATGAGGTAGGAAGCTCGCCATGTCGACGTTTGTTCCTCTCTCGCCAAAGTGAATGTACTGTGGCTTGGAAAGTGAGTTTCATGATAAAGTAAATTAATCCATTGAACGTGGAGCCTGAGAGGAGTGATATGATCTCCGAGAATCTGTTGGTGTAATGACGATGAAAGAGCTTGCGGGTAAACAAATATTATGATTTTTAACGTGTTCAACATATATTATGTATCACATGGGTCATAATCTAGATGTAAATATAAACATTGCCTTTGTTATAACGTGCTAAACAAATATTATGATTTTTATTATCTTTAGTTATATTGTTTCTTTTAGTCGAATTCTCAATAATTAGATAATTGACTGTAGCAGACCTTCTCAAGAAAAACCCAGAATGTTGCAGTTCTTCATTAACCATCACAAACAATCAGTGACTATACACTTCGACATATCTAATTGAAATGTTGTTTTTTGTTTAGTAAAACTAGTAATCGTATTTTACTATATTGTGATTGCCGATTTTGACCTAACTAAACCCTAAATTTGACCTAATCAAACATTAAGAAAACCAACAAGAATAATAAACTAATTTGTAATCTCTCTTATGATCTCTCTCATCTCTTATCTCTCGTTGATCTGAAGCAACTGGTGATAGAACTTTGAATTACAAAAGGAAGAAGAAGATGGACTGTGCTCAATCGAAGAGGGTGAGGTGGTATACGTCTGATGAAGTAAAGTTGTTATAATGAATTTCACGTGTGGAAAGTTTTAGTCAAGTTAAGACAGCTAACTAGTTTTGTTTTTTTTGATTCAGAAAACCTAAACTAAATCTAAATTGTTGGACCATATGTACGATGATTTAATGGTAGGACTTTAAATCTTCTACTGTTTGTCTTTACTTGATTAAAGATTCCACACGTGAAACTCCTTGTAATAAGTTTCTCACCGTCCTTATTTGTCTTGTTTTGGATTATTAGTGGTTAGTAGCAATATGGAGTACACAGACTTAATCACTCATCCGAATCCTAGTGCCTCTGTTTGAGATGCCTCCGTACCTCACTGGACAACACCAACTCGATCAGGGTTTGATAAAATGCAATTTGAAAGAACATTTGTGAATCAAACTACCAAGGAAAGGGAAGGCGTGTCGGTTACTAGAGATAGTAGTGGTGGTATTTACATTGGATCGGACTAAGCAGAAGGTGATTGTACTAGCAATGCTCTTGAGAGTGAACTACAGGCTTTGATTTTCACTATGCAAAATGTTTGGAGTAAAGTATATAAGAATGTATGTTTTGAAGGAGATAATCGAGAAGTCATGAATCTATATAATTGTTCAAGTATCAATTCACACTAAGTGGTAATAAGAGTATTGACATTTTGGCTAAGTACCACATTTATTGAGGATCGATCCATTTACTTATGTTCCAAATGTGATAACTAATGCTCCATATTGTGACGACTATATCCTTTCTCATTAATAAAGCAATTGTTTGACGTTAAAAAAGAAAGGATAAGTAATATTGATAATGAACACATATAAATATTAGTAATACAAATTGAATATATTATAAGTAAATAAACAATTGCTTGGCTTGATTTTCTGGTTCATATGGCAAGATAAGAATAAAACAATTCTCAAAAGATTACAATCCAAACTCTCATAAATCATGCTTTGCGTGAACAATTATTGTGAGAAGAAGCTCAATTGGACCTAATTGAATCAAGAAGGATTTACTGTTAGGCGTTTGAAACATATTGTACAGAGTTAGTCTCGATTAAGCATGTCAATCAGGCTAGCCCGGCTCAGTCCGGCCCGAAGCCCGCAAACCAGCATATATTTGAGCCAGGCCCGGCCCGTAAAACTGTCGAGCATATATTTTAAAGCCCGACCTAGTCCTAACAAGGCTACTTGGCTTTTCAGAGCATTTTTGGGCATTTTTCGATAAAAGAACCAAAGTTATAATTTATAAAATGTTCTTAAAATACATGTATAGAAAACAAGTCAATCGAAATTTAAATAACCACTAATGCTAATTTAATTACAAAAAAGTTTTTTAAAAATAAATAAATTGTTTAAACTCATACCAAATAAAATATAATATCAGAAGACTTCAAACAAGGTATTAAGCCAATATTTGCTTTTTTTTTTACTTATAGTAATGCACAGTTTTCAAAACTAGGTCTAGGTTTTTCAACTTTGTTAAAAAAAAATTAAACAAATTTCTCAACTAAACGAATATATTAACAAAAAAGGTAAAAATATCTTTCTAAACATTTTTTGCCGACCTGTCTAAACCCAAAATGTCTTTTTTCTCGAATGGGCTTAGCCGGAACGGTCCGATTGTTTCTGGACATATAATTTTAAGTCTGAGCCTGTTGTTTTCAGGGCTGGACCGGGCCAGCCCGCATGCTTTGGTCCTAATTGACATGACTAGTCTCGATGGTGCAGTCTCTTGAAGAATGACCCGCTTTTTCCAATCTGCTCGATAAATTTGAATGCTCTGTGTCTTTTTTTCCTTTTTGGATTTCTTCTATTTCTCGTTTATGTAATTTTAAAGCGGATTCTTAGCGTGATCCCATAGATTATTATTTTGAGAAATCACATTTGTAAACTCTTTCCGGTTTTGTATTATGATGAAAAAAGGGCACTATTTTGTTGTGTTGGTTTATGTTTTTGGAAAATATATATATATATATATAATATGTTGTATTCAGGAATTATATAAAATATGAACCAGAGTGACATGTTAGATCGTTTTAATTTATCTTCTTCACCACAAAAGAAAGTCAAACAAAACTTAGGGGATGTTCTTACTCTCTCGTAATTTTGTATTTTTTTTGTTTGGAAAACCTTTCACAAGTAAAATAATGACAAGAAAATGAACCAAGATCGAAAATGATATTGGAAATAAACATCATTTTTTATTAAAATCGAAACACACACCTTCAAAGCACAGACCATCACATGATCCAAAAGCATGGACCTTATTTGACTCATAAACACAAGAAAAGCTGAAATGCTTACACAAGACGTCGAGTGACACAAATCCAAAGCGTGGACCTTATTTTACGGAATCAAAGAGAAAAAGAAAACTAAAGAGCAAGTCTTTTATTGGTGATAATAGATAGACACGACATGGACTTCGATCTGATGAACCAAATCACCAGCTTTTCAACGATCTTGTAACCTTCCTCCTTAAGTTCCTCCGTTACCACATCCCACACCTATGGCGGTTCCAAAGTAAGCTCCAATGGCATCAATAGCCTGACCAGAGCGTCCGTGGAATCCAAGAAGCTTTCCTCCATTTTTACCCTCGAGCATGAGTTGATTTCCAGATGAATTCGTCTCACCGAATATCGGAGAGGTTCTTCCGTAAGAGGTTTTGAAGAATAGCGATTTGATCAGCACTGCCTTATAGAGGTCAACATGATCGTAGCTTCCACCAACGGATGTGATACATTCATACGGATAATCCACCGCAAACTGTATTTCAATTTTTTCCATCAAAAACAAACAATTTATAAACTTGCAAACGGGTGGATAAATAATTAAGAACCAATTGAAGAAAAACAAAGTCAAGTAGGCTATTTTTATTACCTCTTTCAGTTCCCCGCGAATCGTCCCGTGTTCACGGGTTTCAATTTTTTTGTTCTTTTCATATTCGATCTTGATATAAGACACACAGCCAAGATCTTTTCCAACAATTATTTTCTTCACACCGTCGAAAACACCATCGTCGAATGCAACTCCCATGTTACCACCCATTGCTTCAATTTTTTCGGGTGCCGGAACTGACCAAAAATATGCACCAATGGCATCAATAGCCTGACCAGAGCGTCCATGGAGCCCAAGAAGCTTTCCTCCATTTTTACCCTCGAGCAAGAATTCTTTCCCAGCTACATTTCCAGATGAACCGAATATTGGAGAGGTTCTTCCATAAGAAGTCTTAAAGAAATCAGCACTGCTTTATAGCGGTTAACATGACCGTAGCTTCCACCAACAGATGTGATACATTCATTCGGATAGTCCACCGCAAACTGGATTTCATTTTCCATTAGAAACAAACAATTTATATCTTTATACACATTTTAAAAGAGTTGGAAAGAACTTATTGAAGAATAGCAAATTCACGTTATCTATATTACCTCTTTTAGTTCTCCGCGAATCGTCCCGTGTTCACGGGTTTCAGTTTTTCCGTCCTTTACGTATTCGATCTTGATATAAGACACACAATCAAGGTCTTTTCCGACAATTATTTTCTTCACACTGTCGAAAACACCATCGTCAAATGCATCTCCCATGTTACCACCCACTGCTTCCCGCTTTTCGGGTACGGGTGCGGGGAATGGCCAAAAATATGCACCAATGGCATCAATAGCCTGACCAGAGCGTCCGTGGAACCCAAGAAGCTTTCCTCCATTTCTACCCTCGAGCAAAAATTCTTTCCCAGAGGAATTCGTCTCACCGAATATTGGAGAGGTTCTTCCATAAGAGGTTTTGAAGAATAGCGATTTGATCAGCACTGCCTTATAGAGGTCAACCTGACCGTAGCTTCCACCAACGGCTATGACACATTCTTTCGGATAATCCACCGCAAACTGGATTTTTTTTTTCCATTAGAAACAAATAATTTATAAGCTTTTAACGGGTGCATGTATAAGAACCGAATGAAGAAAATCAAAAGTCACGGTATTTTTATTACCTCTTTTAGTTCCCCACGAATCGTCCCATGTTCACGGGTTTCAGATTTTCCGTCCTTTTCGTATTCAATCTTGATATAGGACACACAGCCAAGGTCTTTTCCCACAGTTATTTTCTTCACACCTTCAAAAACACCATCGTCGAATACATCTCCCATGTTACCACCGATTGCTTCCTGCTTTTCAGGTTCAGGAACTGGCGAAAAATATGCACCAATGGCATCAATAGCCTGACCAGAACGTCCGTGGAATCCAAGAAGCTTTCCTTCATTTTTACCCTCCAACATGAATTCTTTTCCAGATGAATTCGTCTCACCGAATATCGGAGAGGTTCTTCCGTAAGAGGTTTTGAAGAATAGCGATTTGATTAGCACTGCCTTATAGCGGTCAACATTACCGTAGCTTCCACCAACGGCTATGATACATTCACTTGGATAATCCACCGCAAACTGGATTTTTATTTTCATCCATTAGAAACAAACAATTTATAAGCTTTTTATTTTCCACTTGATATAAGAACTCATTGAAAAATAACAACATCACGATTTGGTATTTTTTTACCTCTTTTAGTTCCCCGCGAATAGTCCCGTGTTCACGGGTTTCAAATTTTCCATCCTTTTCGTATTCGATCTTGATATAAGATACACAGTCAAGGTCTTTTCCGACAGTTATTTTCTTCACACCGTCGAAAGCACCATCAGTGAATGCATCTCCCATGTTACCACCAACCGGTCCCATCTTCTCAGACGACATTGCTTCGATCTCTTAACTTTAGTGATAGAAACCTGAAAGATTCAAATTCTTTTCTTAAAAAATACATATAGAAAGAAGAAACAACAAACAGAATGGTTACTTGGTAAAGAAATTAAATGGAAGAAGAAGTACCACAAACTGTTTTTTACTTATCACTAATGCTAAAATAAGTTAATATATCTTTTATATTCAATTCCACTTCTACTATGAGATAGTTTAATTGTATTCTATATCTGCTAAGGAGGATACTGAGAATTTTTTTTTTTAACGTACTTCTCCTTATCTCTCTATAATTGAAAATTACATTAAAAAACCATTAATATATTTGTATTGGTATAACTTCAATAAGTTCAAACAACAACAATGGATGCATGACAAAACTATGCACAATACATTAGCAAGGAAGAAATCATATAAATTAGATTATCATAATGTGAATAGAAAATGTCGACTAATTAAAGATGTGAATAGAGAGAATCGAGAAAAAATGAAGGCAAATTAAGAGTGAGAGAGGGAGAGAGAGAGAGAGAGTCCTCACGTTTGTGTTACTCTTTGATTGGAGAAGAGCTATGGGATTTGGAGTAATGCTACTCCCTATTTATTGACACCTCTTTTTTACTTTTTACATTTTACTAATTTACTTTTTACACTCTATAAATTTTTAATTATCTTGATACCCGAGATACGTTAGTCACTAAGGTCCATCGACTAGGCCAAGACATTTCAAATGGGCTCCGATAATTTAATAAAGAAAACTATATTATGATTTTTATAGAAATATTTTATTTTGAAATAGAATAATTGGATTATAAAATAAGATAATGGTTATAACACTACAATTATTAAATATTATGTTCAATTGTTCTCATATATTAACTAGAATATAGTTTTATTATTTTCAATATGTGGTTAAGGTTTATATCTAAAAGAATTGTGAAACCAATTCCGTTAGATTGATAACCATTTTAGCAAATTTGTAACTAAGTTTCTGATTATTAATCTTAATTTTACATTGATTATAGAAAACCAATTATATTTCTTCTACTATTTATGTTTTTGTTATTAAATTATCCTCCAAAAAACTTTTCAACAAACATTATGATTTTTATTTTTTTTGAATGAACGTAAAATTTTGCGGAGATGTGAGTTGAAGCGAGGAAATCTTGTTCCGTATTACCCGATCTAGACACTTGATTAACTGAGTTGATGAGGTAGGAAGCTCGCCATGTCGACGTTTGTTCCTCTCTCGCCAAAGTGAATGTACTGTGGCTTGGAAAGTGAGTTTCATGATAAAGTAAATTAATCCATTGAACGTGGAGCCTGAGAGGAGTGATATGATCTCCGAGAATCTGTTGGTGTAATGACGATGAAAGAGCTTGCGGGTAAACAAATATTATGATTTTTAACGTGTTCAACATATATTATGTATCACATGGGTCATAATCTAGATGTAAATATAAACATTGCCTTTGTTATAACGTGCTAAACAAATATTATGATTTTTATTATCTTTAGTTATATTGTTTCTTTTAGTCGAATTCTCAATAATTAGATAATTGACTGTAGCAGACCTTCTCAAGAAAAACCCAGAATGTTGCAGTTCTTCATTAACCATCACAAACAATCAGTGACTATACACTTCGACATATCTAATTGAAATGTTGTTTTTTGTTTAGTAAAACTAGTAATCGTATTTTACTATATTGTGATTGCCGATTTTGACCTAACTAAACCCTAAATTTGACCTAATCAAACATTAAGAAAACCAACAAGAATAATAAACTAATTTGTAATCTCTCTTATGATCTCTCTCATCTCTTATCTCTCGTTGATCTGAAGCAACTGGTGATAGAACTTTGAATTACAAAAGGAAGAAGAAGATGGACTGTGCTCAATCGAAGAGGGTGAGGTGGTATACGTCTGATGAAGTAAAGTTGTTATAATGAATTTCACGTGTGGAAAGTTTTAGTCAAGTTAAGACAGCTAACTAGTTTTGTTTTTTTTGATTCAGAAAACCTAAACTAAATCTAAATTGTTGGACCATATGTACGATGATTTAATGGTAGGACTTTAAATCTTCTACTGTTTGTCTTTACTTGATTAAAGATTCCACACGTGAAACTCCTTGTAATAAGTTTCTCACCGTCCTTATTTGTCTTGTTTTGGATTATTAGTAGCAATATGGAGTACACAGACTTAATCACTCATCCGAATCCTGGTGCCTCTGTATGAGATGCATCGGTACCTCACTGGACAACACCAACTCGATCAGGGTTTGATAAAATGCAATTTGAAAGAACATTTGTGAATCAAACTACCAAGGAAAGGGAAGGCGTGTCGGTTACTAGAGATAGTGGTGGTATTTCCATTGGATCGGACTAAGCAGAAGGTGATTGTACTAGCAATGCTCTTGAGAGTGAACTACAGGCTTTGATTTTCACTATGCAAAATGTTTGGAGTAAAGGATATAAGAATGTATGTTTTGAAGGAGATTATAGACAAGTCATGAATCTATTTAATTGTTCAAGTATCAATTCAGACGAAGTGGTAATAAGAGTATTGACATTTTGGCTAAGCACCACATTCCTGAGGATCGATCCATTTACTTATGTTCCAAATGTGATAACTAATGCTCTATATTGTGACGACTATATCCTTTCTCATTAATAAAGCTATTGTTTGACGTTAAAAAAGAAAGAATAAGTTATATAGATAATTAACACATTTAAATATTAGTAATACAAATAGAATTATAAGTAAATAAACGATTGTTTGGTTTGATTTTGTGGTTCATATGGCAAGATATGAATACAAAAATTCTCAAAGGAATATAATCCGAACTCTCATATATTTTAAATCACTCTTTGCATGAACAATTATTGTGGAAAGAAGCTCAACTAGACCTAATTGTATCTAGTGTTAATAAGAAACATTGAATAATCCTACACAATCTCTATGATGTCGGATTGATGTATGGCTCATGGAAATCTTCCAATCCAACTACGGGTCTAGGATGTTCGTGTTTTGAAAGAAATGATCAAACCGTGCAAAGTTTCTTCTGAGGTGTCCCTCCCCAATTCATTCGGAGATGGAAGATTTATTATGGGCTATGAAGAATATCTTTTCAAGAAGGATTTATCGTCAGACGTTTAAACAAATTTTACACAGTTAGTCTCGATTAAGCATGTCAATCAAGCTAGCCCGGCCCAGTCAGGCCAAAAGCCCGCAAATCCGCATATATTTGAGCCAGGTCCAGCCCGTGAAAGTTTGGAGCATATATTTTAAAGCCCGGCCTAGTCCTAACAAGGCTACTTGGCTCTTCCGAGCTTTTTTGGGCGTTTTTTTCGATAAAAGAGACAAAGTTATCATTTATAAGATCTTATAGAGAAACATGTGTATAAAACGAGTCAATCAAAATTTAGACAACCACTAACGCCAATTTAAATACAAAAATTGTTGAAACTCATACCAAATAAAATATAAAATTAGAAGACTTCAAACTAGTTATTAAGCCAATATTTGCTTTTTATTTATTTATAGTAATGCACAAATTTGAAAAATAGGTTTAGGGTTTTCAACTCTGTTAAAAAAATTTTAAACAAATTTCTCAACTAAACGAAAATATTAACAAAAAAAATAAAAATTTCTTTCTAAAGGTTTTTTGAACTAGTCTGAGCCCGAGCAGTCTAAACCCAAAATATCATTTTTGCCCGAATGACCTTAGCCTGAAAAGCCCGATTTTTTCTGGATATATATTTTAAAGTCCGAACCCGCTATTTTCAGGGCCAGCCCGCATGCTTTGGTCCTAATAGACATGACTAGTCTCGATGGTATAGCCTCTTGAAGAATGACCTGTTTTTCCAATCTGCTAAATAAATTTGGAATGCTCTGTGTCTTCTTTCCCCATTTTGGATTTCTTCTATTTCTCGGTTATGTAATTTTAAAGCGGATTCTTAACTCGATCCCCTAGATGATTATTTTGAGAAGTCACATTTGTAAACTCTTTCCGGTTCCGTATTATGATGAAAATGTGTGAAGGGAACTATATATTTTGTTGTGGTTGTTTATGTTTTTGGGATATATATATTGTTGTATTCAGGAATTATATAAAATATGAACCAGAGTGACATGTTAGATCGTTTTAATTTATCTTCTTCATCACAAAAGAAAGTCAAACAAAACTTAGGGGATGTTTTTACTGAAAGTAGAAGTCAAACTTAGAAAGAAATAACTTTGAAGATCATAGAGAGCGGCTTAAAGCTTCATACTTTGATACTTGATTAGGTCATGAATACAAAGGGGATATTTATACACTGACAAGAACAATCTAGAGACTAGACAGGTGGCAGTGACACCTCATTGCTCAATGGATAGGAGCGCATCAAAACTGTTCTTTAGCGGGATTTGTTGTGGTTGCATTTCCGTACCTCTCTCACGTACAAGCTGTGTTCTGCTTTTGACCGTTGAAGCTTTTGTTTGCTTCATGGGCTGAGTTTGTTGACGGCCCACTGCTTCATTCTCATTTCGCATTTGGACCTTAATGGGCTGTGAAGAGCTCACCTTAATACCCCCCTGCAAACTCGAGGTGGGTGGATAATCCACACCGAGTTTGAAACGCAGAGAGAAAAAACTTGCTTGAGGTAGAGATTTCGTAAAAATGTCTGCAAGTTGATGTGTTGCTGGTATATGCTTTACTATCAGAGTCCCCATTGCAACCTGTTCACGCGCATAATGATAATGAGTAAGGAAATGCTTTGACCTTGTGTGAAGAACTGGATTAGCTGCAAGATAGACTGCTGACAAGTTGTCACAATATATTTCTGCAGGTTTGGTCTGCTTGTGACCAATTGTCTTGAGCATAGAAGAGATCCAAGTCAGTTCAGCTGCAGTATCAGAGACTGTTCTGTATTCTGCTTCAGTAGAAGAGCGAGAAACTGATTCCTGTCTTTTGGCTGACCAAGAAATGATGTTTGATCCCAAAAATGTACAAAAACCGCCTGTAGAACGCAGAGTTTCTTGACAATCTGACCAACTGCTGTCACAATATGCTCTAATTGTTGAGTCTGTATCTGAAGTCAATGAAACACCCATCTTCAATGTGCCTTTGATGTACCGCATAATTCTTTTTAGCAAATGAAAATCTGACAACATGGGCTTGTGCATTTTCTGACACACATAATTGACTGCAAATTGAACATCCGGTCTTGTAAGTGTCAGATACTGGAGTTTACCTGCGAGGCTTCGAAAATAAGTTGGATCTGAGAAGACTTCATCTTGATGAGGCACCTTGTTAAGTTGTAACGGCAATGGAGTAGGCATTGGAGCACAATCTAACATGTCTGCAACCTTCAACAAATCCATAGCATATTTTTCTTGATTTAGAAACATACCAGTAGGAGTATATGTAGCTTGAATGCCCAGAAAATAACTCATAGCTCCCATATCTTTCATTCTAAACTTTTCATTCAGTGACTGCAACAGTCTTTGAACCAGAGACTTATCATTCCCTGTAAGAATCATGTCATCCACATATAGAAGCAACAGAAGAATACTGTTTCCCTTTTGATAAACAAAGAGAGATGGATCATCTGTACTGCAAAGGAAACCAAATTCAATCAAGTATGAACTGAATTTGTCAAACCATGCTCTAGGAGCCTACTTTAGGCCGTAGATTGCTTTCTTCAATTTGCAAACATACTCCGGGTGTTCTTTATCTTCAAATCCCGGTGGTTGCTTCATATACACTACTTCATGTAAATCTCCATGTAGAAACGCGTTCTTGACATCAAGCTGTTTTATATCCCATCTTTCAACCACAGCAAAGTGCAACACCATTCTCACTGTTGCAGTCCTCACAACTGGACTATAAGTTTCCAAAAAATCAATCCCTGCTTCTTGTTCATTTCCCTTAGCAACAAGACGAGCTCGCAGTTTATCAAGTGTCCCGTCTGCATTCAACTTAGTTTTAAATATCCATCTGCATCCAATGAGATGAACATTTGGTGGGAGAGGCTCTAAATCCCATGTATCTGTTTCATGACAAGTGGTTATTTCTTCATCCATAGCTGCAGTCCACCCTGAGTGTTTAAGAGCTGCTGCTACTGACTTTGGTTCTTCAGGAATACCTTTGATTGTAATAAGAGCATATCTTGGATTAGGCTTACGAATGCCTGACTTTCCTCTTGTTATCATTTCATGATCATTTGGACCTTGAACCTGAGAATTTAACGGAGGAAAGTCATCTTGAGTGAACAAACCCTGTGATGTATCATTCTCAGTCGAAGATTCTGATCCTGTAGTCGTTTCTGATGTCGTTGTAGCCTCACTGTTGTGTACTGGAGACTGTGTTGCTAAAGCTGGTGCGGGATCAATATTATTTGAGACTGTAGTTTGAACTGAACCAGGAGCAACTGAGACTAAGATTGGAGATGATTCTTCCTCTGTAACAATATTGGTATTAACTGACTCTGAAACAGACCCCTGAGACTGAGTACCTGACAGCCATGCTGAGAGAAGAGGAGTTCTGGCAGGTGGAAGCAGGTCTTTGTAGCTGTCCATAAACGGGAATCTTTTCTCATCAAATAGAACATGCCTTGAGATGTAAACCCGTCCAGTAGGAGGATGAAGACAACGATAGCCCTTATACTTCTCATTGTAGCCAAGGAAAACACATAGAAGAGACTTTGGATCAAATTTAATTATTTTCTGCATAGGGCCTCAAGTAAGGAAAACAGGCACAACCAAACACCCTTAGAGCAGTATAACATGGAGCTTGACCATGAAGCTTTTCAAATGGGCTGATCATCTTCTCATGAGTTGATGTAGGAAGAAGATTAGCAAGAAAGTTGGCAGTAAACAAAGCTTCAACCCATAGATTTTGTGGTAAAGAGCTTTGAAATAACATTGACATACCAAGTTCAACAATATGCCTGTGTTTCCTCTCTGCTAATCCATTCTGCTGTGGAGTGTGAGGACAAGAGATAAAGTGTTTGATCCCATTTGCTGTAAAGTGACTCTGAAAATGCTTATTCACAAATTCACCCCCACCATCACTCTGAAAAATCTTGATTTTCTGATTTAATTGATTCTCTGCCAACTGTTGAAAGCTTTTAAAAATTGTGAAAACTTCAGACTTTTGTTTGAGAGGATAGAACCAGCAGAATCTCGAGAAATTATCAATGAATATAACATAAAACCGGAATCCCTGAACAGACATAACAGGAGCAGGTCCCCAGACATCACAATGTATCCTCTCAAGAGGCTTAGAAGACTGAAAATCAGAACTAGAAAAAGGAAGTTTGCAACTCTTCCCTAACTGACATGGTTCACACATAGACAATGTGTTCTTATTGAATGAAATAGCTTGAACAGAAGATAAATGTTGAAGAACTTGATGGTTTGGATGTCCCAACCTCCTGTGCCATATATCACCACTGGTGCTTTGTTGTCTTGAGGAGTAGAAAGCTTGGAAATTGGGGTTGTCCAACTGATACAGTCCATTACTCTTTGTTCCCTGAGTGAGCAGCTGATTTGTCTGCTTGTCGATAACAGAGACAGCACGAGAATCAAAGATGAATGCACAGGGATAATCATCAGTTAATTTGGAGACTGAGAGTAAACATTTCGCAATTTCCGGACAAACTAATACATCTTTAAGTGGAAGGTTACCTGTCACTGTAGGAATGTTTGCAGAACCTATATGTGTAATAGGTAGAAACTCACCATTTCCCACCATAACTGCATCTGAGCCATCATATGAGTGAGAAGATTGCAGATTCTGAACTGAATTAGTCACATGATGAGTTGCTGCAGTATCTGGATGCCATGGATGCCATTCTCTGCCTGAATACTCATTGGTATCTGACATTCTCATCACTGCAAGAGCCTGCGTTGTTTCATCGACCTGATATGAATGATCAAAACGCTTGTAGCAACGATATGCAGGATGACCATACTTTCCACAGATCTGACAGGTAGGTTTCTGACCATTGTCTGAAAAGGGTTGTCTGCCTCCACTACCTTGACCAAATTGTTGCGGAAAACCACGACCTTGAGTCGAATAAGAACCGGAACCTCTGCCTCTGTTACTGTTTCCACCTCTGTTTTGTCCACGACCACGACCATAGTAACCACCACGATCAGTATAAAACGCCTGGTGAGGAGTAACCTCAGTGGATACCTCATAGCCTTGCAGCTTATCATCAAAACAGGTCAACTTATACACCACATCATCAAAAGTGAGACCAGTGTAAGATTTATCCATAGAATCTTCAATGACTGTAGTAATAGACTCATATTCCCTTCCTAAACCTCTTAACACACCAAAAATCTTTTCTTGCTCAGAAATAGGAGAGCCTATAGAGTCTAACTGATCACACAAGGTTTTTATTTCAGCCAGATACTTAGCTAGAGTACTAGATCCCTTGACAGTAGTTTGAATCTTTCTCTGTAAATCTAGCTTCCGAGAGGATGAAACCCTATTGTACTTTTTAGCAAGGTAGAGCCATACCTCTTGAGAAGAACGAAGGCCATAGATACTCTTCAAGGCTTCTTTAGACAGTGAACCAAACAACCAAGCCATGATGAGCTGATCCGTTTTTACCCACTTCAGAAACTCAGGATTGCTGGATTCAATAACAAGATCTCCATTTCTGACTTGAACCAGCGGCTGAGGACGTGGAGTAGCACCGGTGACATAGCCAAGCAGCATCTGACTGTTAAGGAACTGCTCGAACTGAAGCTTCCATGAGAAATAATTTTTCTCATTCAACTTCAGAGTGACACATTGCGAGATCGACAGAGTCACAGGAGTAAGAGAATCAGAAGAGCCTTCCATGGCTCTGATACCATGAAAGTAGAAGTCAAACTTAGAAAGAAATAACTTTGAAGATCATAGAGAGCGGCTTAAAGCTTCATACTTTGATACTTGATTAGGTCATGAATACAAAGGGGATATTTATACACTGACAAGAACAATCTAGAGACTAGACAGGTGGCAGTGACACCTCATTGCTCAATGGATAGGAGCGCATCAAAACTGTTCTTTAGCGGGATTTGTTGTGGTTGCATTTCCGTACCTCTCTCACGTACAAGCTGTGTTCTGCTTTTGACCGTTGAAGCTTTTGTTTGCTTCATGGGCTGAGTTTGTTGACGGCCCACTGCTTCATTCTCATTTCGCATTTGGACCTTAATGGGTTGTGAAGAGCTCACCTTAATATTTACTCTCTCGTAAAGTCGTAATATATAAGAAATTTTATTTTATTTTGTTTCGAAAAATTTTCACAAGTAAAATAATGACAAGATTTCGAACCAAGATCGAAAATGATAATGGAAATAAACATCATTTATTAAAATCGACACACACACCTTCAAAGCACAGAACATCACATGATCCAAAAGCATGGACCTTATTTGACTCATAAACACAAGAAAAGCTGAAATGCTTACTCAAGACGTACGTCGAGTGACACAAATCCAAAGCGTGGACCTTATTTTACGGAATCAAGAGAAAATGAAAACTAAAGAGCAAGTCTTTTATTTGTGATAATAGATAGACACGTACGACATGGACTTCGATCTGATGAACCAAATCACCAACTTTTTAACGATCTTGTAATTAATTAACCTTCCTCCTTAAGTTCCTCCGTTACCACATCCCTCACCTATGCGTAGTTCCAACTTTTGGGATCCACCACCACCAGAAGCGGTTCCAAAGTAAACTCCAATGGCATCAATAGCCTCACCAGAGCGTCCATGGAATCCAAGAAGCTTTTCTCCATTTTTTCCCTCGAACATGAATTCTTTATCATTTGGAGAACCAGATGAATTCGCCTCACCGAGTATCGGAGAGGTTCTTCCGATCCATAAGAGGTTTTGAAGATTAGTGATTTGATCAGCACTGTCTTATAGAGGTCAACATGACCGTAGCTTCCACCAACGGCTATGAAACATTCACTTGGATAATCCACCTCAAACTGGATTTTATTTTCCATTAGAAATTAACAAACAATTTATAAGCTTTTAAAGAGTTGATAACAACTCATTGAAAGATAACAACAACACGATATTTACCTCGTTTAGTTGAAATGCTAATCCACCAACAATCGTCCCGTGTACACGGGTTTCAATTTTGTCATCCTTTACATATTCGATCTTGATATAAGATACACAGTCAATGTCTGTACCGTCTGTTACGACAGTTATTTTCTTCACACCGTCGAAAACACCATCATTGAATGCACCTCCCGTGTCACCACCAACCGGTCCCATCTTCTCAGACGACATTGCTTCGATCTCTTAATTTTAGTGATAAAAACCTGAAAGATTCAATTAAATATACACTAAGAAAGAAGAAACAACAAACAGAATGGTTACTTGGTAAAGAAATGGAAGAAGAAGTCACAAACTGTTTTTTACTTATCACTAGTGAGAAAATAAGTTTATTTATCTTTTATATTCATCTCCACTTCTACTATATATGAGATAAATTAATTTTATTCTAAATATCTTCCAAGGAGGACACTGAGACTTTTTTTTTAACGTACTTCTCCTTATCTCTGTATAATATCATAAGAAAATGTCGACAAAAGATGTTAATAGAGAATCGAGAAAAATGAAGGCAAATTATGAGAGAGAGAGTACTCAAGTTTGTGTTACGAGCTATGGAATTTGGAGTAATGCTACTCCCTATTTATTGACACTCCTTTTTTACTTTTCACATTTTACTAATTTACTTCTTACACTCTTCACATTTATAATCATCTTGATAGCCGAGATACGTTACTCACTAACGTCCATCGACTAGACCTAGACATTTCTAACCGGATCCGGCAAAAGACTTTATAGTTCGTTTTTTTTATCGTACGTAAGATAAATTAGCAAACTATACGTTTTTATTACTATTAGGTTTTTTTCTCATTCCAGACCGAATTTTGTTAATTTGATTAAGTCGGAGAATGTTAGTAGGTCAGAGCGCCCACCACATATTCAAATACTGTATAGTGTTTTATTTTTTTCTTGAATAAATTGTGGGAGACCATCGTCTTCCATCCCCGACCACAAAAAAAAAAACTTTTTCTATCAAACTGATTGGATGAAATCAATAACCCATTTGTGGTACTCTAGATACTCTAAAACGCCACATATTATAGAGATATTCGTCAAACGTCGATATTGGTAGTTTTAGCCGCCATAATAATAGAATCTGAAATTTCTATAGGTAAAACTAAGTTTAGAATTTGATTCCATTTTCATTAGTTTTCATCAAAAAAAGATTATACTGGATTTATGATATACTGGATTTATATGCTACAAAAATTTTTAATTAAGGAGCATTTTGAGGAGGGAGTTGGGGGTGAGAGTCTGTCCGTCTGGTGAAGTAAAGTTGTTATAATGAATTTCACGTGTGGAAAATTTTAGTCAAGTTAAGACAGCTAAACTAGTTTTGTTTTTTTTTTTCCAGAAAAAAACATAGAAAACAAAAACTAAATCTAAATTGTTGGACCATATGTACTATGATTTAGTGGTAGGACTTCAAATCTTTTACCTATTGTCTTTACTTGATTAAAGATTTCACACGTGAAAGTCCTTGTAATAACTTTCTCACCGTCCTTATTTGTCTTGTTTTGGATTATTAGTGGTTTGTAGGAATATGGAATACACAGAGTTCATCAGTCATCCGAATCCTATAGGCTTGTAGCTAGTGCCTCTGTTTCCTCACTGGACAAGACCAACTCAAGGTTTGATAAAATGCAATTTGAAGGAACATTTGTGAATCAAAGTACCAAGGAAAAAATGTGTTGGTTACTAGAGAAGTAGAGATAGTGGTGGTATTTAATTACATTGGATCGGACTAATTAAAATGAAGGTGATTTTACTAGCAATGCTCTTGAGAGTGAACTACAGGCTTTGATTTTCACTTATTCACTATGCAAAATGTTTGGAGTAAATGATATAAGAAGGTATGTGAAAAATTTGCGGTTCATAATTGGATTCGGAAAGTTAAAAAAGTGGTAAGAAAAGTTAGAGATGGCTCAATTCAGACGAAGTGGTTATGACTTATAAGAGTATTGCCATTTTGGCTAAGTACCACATTCCTGAGGATCGCGTGATATCTAGTGCTGCTCTATATTGTGACTATATCCTTTCTCATTAAGCTATTTTTGACGTTAAAAGATAAATAATAAGTTATATAGATAATTAACATATTTAAATGATCTTAACAAAAATTGAATTATAAACAAATTCCTAAACAAGGAGACTTGATTAGGCTGGTTCAACATGTTATTGAGGAAGCAGACGTTTGGAACAAGTTAAGGCATAGGCAGTCGCAGGACAATCTCATTAACTCGCAGATTATTAGGAGGGAGAATAGATGGTCCAAACCGAGTTTAGGTGTGTTGAAGTGTAATTTACATATTTCTTGGTTAAGTGAAGGAGGGCGATGTGGTGGTGCTTGGTTGGTTTTGTTTCATGCAAGGGAGATGTTTTTACCAGCCTCAAATCGCATTGCAGCAGAATTGAGAGGAATCCTTTGGGCTTTACAAAGTCTTCATGATTTGCATTTGGACAACATTGAGGTGTGGTCAGACTGTGGCCACGATACTCAACGTACCTCGACAGGATTCACAGCCTCATTCCACGTTTCTTTCGAGTCATTTTCAAGGTTTCATCCTCAAAAGCGAATTCAATCGCAAGAGACATTGCTATAAGTGTGACAAGGGATGGACGTTCAAGATCTTATTTAGCTAGAGGAGGCCCTGGTTGGTTACGTTCCAGAATTGAAGAGGACAAGCTGAGATGACATTGTGGAACTTTCTCTTCTTATCTTTGGTTATTGAGTAGAGATATCATGCTCTGTTTTTTATTTTCTGGATGTCTGCTATGTACTCTGTTTTGGCTTTTAATTTAATAAAATATCAGATGGCAAAAAAAAAACTTCTAACTTGGCCTTAATAGTACGATAGTCCGATGGGTTTGGATTGTAAGTTTTTGTGAATTTTATCCGCCATGGCGGATCAGCCAGCGAACTACAAATGTTAATAAAAATAAATAAATAATAAGTATAAATAAATATTTGAACTTAATTATGAAAATATAATATGTAAAATATGTGGTACTATAAAGAAACTTAATTTATAAAATTATCATATTTACAAAAATAAAAAAAAGTTATATTTATCAACCATAAAGATAGAGAAAAAAAAATTAACAATTCGAGTTGACCGGAATCTAGATTTATCAACCATATAAATAGATTTTAGCCATTTTTATGAATTGATAAATCTTGAGAAAGACGATGAGATTCGGGTTGAGATTTTGTCAAAAATAGTTTGATTCGTGAAAGATTTAAATTCGAATAGAGAGTCTCTCACTACGAAGAAGAAGTTCATATTGAATTTGATGTTGGCAAAAGAGGACGACGAAGATCGTTTACCGGCTATTTTAAAATATTTTTGATTTTCTCCTAATTTTTATATTAAATTTTAAAATAAAATAATTATAATAAAAATAAAATTTTAAATTTTCAGACACCATAAAATAGTATATTAATAAAATTAATTTTTATCCAAAATTATAAAATTAATGTCATATCATCTAAAAATTAATAGTTAATTGAGATGGTAAGGGTAAAATTAGAATTTTATTTTTGTTGTGAGATGGTGAGTATGAAAATAACAACATTTAATTGTTTGGGTATTAAACTGCACAGTTTTACTACTTCGTGTATTTTTCTTCTAACCAAAAATAATTGGATATTAAACGTCCAAATAAAAATTAATTGGGGCTTTTTTAAAAAATTTTCTCTTTTTCTTCTATCATTGAATCATCTCTAATATTTCAAAAACATGTATTTGTAAATCTGGCCTTCTCCGAAATATGATCGATTGATCGTTGTTTGACATGGGCTCTGGCACTTATATACCACTCTGACACAAAAAAAAGGATCAAAGAAACTAACAGACACAAATTCCTTACACCAATAATGGAACCCAACTTTTATAACATACTAGATGTTTGTCCACGCGACGCGTGGATTATTATATACATTTTTTCTTTATGTAAAACAAATAAATGAAATATATTTTGTAAGCAAAACAACAATAATAACGCATACATAAAAATAACAGATGAATGAGATAGGTAACAGATCAATATATAGACTTAAGACTTTCACTTAATATTTTCGAGATTACAACTTGGTGCAATATATGTTTTACTTGCCTTTTTCCAAAGCATTACTAAATTTCAACTACCAAAAGATAAATGACTATTCTATACAATTCAACGTCTACCTCCACCATCAACACTTTTGGAATATTGCCCTTCACTTGAGACTTATGTTGTTTTGAAGCATACTCCATTTTCTTATCCTTCTTCTCGTCTTTAGTCTTCTTGATTTTCTTCTTAATCTCTCTGCAAGAATATCAAATTTATTTGAGTCAACCCAAATTTAGGTTAATATAGATTGGATATAATGAATGTTTTCGGCAAAGAAAACCTACAAAAATGCATCTTCTCTACTCTCTTCTTTCGAAAGACATTAAAGTAGCACAAACGATTGACCGTGCGTAGGATTTCTTGGTTTCATGTCACCTCCTCTTCACAATCTCTTACAAAAGTGACAAAAATAAATATATTGAAACACCATTTGTTGAATTAGAAAAGAAAATGTTATACTCCATCCGTTTCAAAATATAAAGCGTTTTAGCTAAAAGCACGCCGATTAAGAAAATTTACTTTTTAAAAGTTCAGCCAATCGTAAAAGAGACTGCATAGTAGAAATAATCATAAAAATATCAAAATAATATATAATTTGCATAGAAACTTGAAAACGACTTATATTGTGAAACAAAAAAGTTTTTCCAAAACGCTTTATATTTTGCAAAGGAGGGAGTACAATTTACCAATAATAGAAAACTTGGAATATGATGGTTTGTGAGATGTGTGTCTTAATATTTATAGGGAATTTTTTGTAATATTTACATGGCAATGATGTGGATGCCAAGCGGTCCAATAAAGAGAGAGTGAAACCCTACTTTTATATATATGATTAGGTAATTTCCGGCGCATATTCGCGGGTTGGTATAAAATCAATTATGTTAGGTAATTTTAATTTATTTAATAATAATTTAAAAATATAGAACAAATAATTTTTCTAAATGTCAATGACATTTTCTACACTTATATTTATTCAAATCATACAATATAAAAATATATAACTTAGTTAATATAATCATACATAGAAATCTCATGATATTCTTTTTTTATTGTTCAACTATGATAATAATTTTATTTAGTATTTTTGAGCATTCAAGGTAAAATAAACATTAATAGTGATAAAAATGAAAATGTACAATGATATTCAAATATTTAGTCTAAGTTGCTGATATAAACTAAATCATAACCTAAAGTATTTTACAAATTATTTTGTAAATGACAAATTAAATACATTTCCTATAAAATCATATGAAGTGCAAACAAAAGCTTTCAAAAAATCCCAAAGATTAGTTTCATTGTTTAATTTCTTTTTATATTCCCAGTAATTTAAGTTATATTTATAGGATTAATTTTAATGATTTCATCTTTATAGTACAAGCTAATTGGAAATGGAATATCAATTTTTTTTTAATATTTATCGAAAAATCCTTACACTACAAAATTTAAATTAAATAATTTTTTTAATGATCATTATATTACTATATGTTGAATCAATAAAACTAATATAATGATGAGTATACTAAAAAATTGTATTACAATGTTTTTGGAGGTAAGAGAGAGTTAAGGACAATTAATTTGATAATTGTATTACAAAACATTATTTCGTTAAAACTTAAAACAATGCATACTTTTAAAAATAAAATAAATATACATGAATACGTAAGAAATAATCAAACATTCAAAGTAAGAACAATGAAGATAGTTTCTTTAGCTTGATTCCCTTATTGCGAGATGGTCGGAATTAGTATTTTTGGATCTGCATCAATAAGGTAATTTTATTATAGCCATCAAAATTATAATATACATATGTAATTTTAAATAAAAAATATTAAAAAAAACAAAGAAAGAAGGAAGAAATACATAAAAATAAAGAAGAAATAAAATTGAAAAGAATGTAAGCTATATATTAAACAAAAAATATAGTACTCTTACAATGATATCTTTTGAGTTTTCAACTCATGCAAGAACATAAACAAAACAAAGAGAATATTTAGGATTTGAGACATGGTGGAGGAGGATGTGAGAATGGTTATTTATAGGAAAATAAGTGATGGAAGTTACATTTCTAAACTAATTAGATTATAGGAGTTACAATTATAATTATAGTGTGTTTAAATGACAATGTATAGAGAAAAAAATAGTCAATTCATAATTATGTAATTTCAGTTACAATTGAGTAGTAAAATGTAGATTTAAAGTATGAATTAATGTATATGATTAAATGTGTTATATTTTAAGTTTTATTGAAAATAAATATTATAATTTTTAAAATGCCAAGTGGACCAATCATGGGAGAGTGAAACCCTACTTTTATATGTATGATTATTATTATCGTCCAAACATATCGGACCACATATTCTAAAACTAGTTTCACAGAACCCCTCATTAGTACACTGCCTAAGAAAAGTAAAGAATTTTGAATCCTGTATTCTATACACATAACTATCTGGGTTCAACTAATGTTACTTCGACTTAAAACAAATCGACTGTGCCAGCTCCGGCTTTTCCCAGTTTCAATAGTCGACAGCAACACACTCAACAAGTCCTCTGCTTCTTCCTCCGATGGAAGCTCTAAGTTTGTCTGAAGCAGCGGTTGAGCTGAAGAATTGTTCCATCGTTTTTTGGTTGGGCTGCTCTTCTTTTGCTGGTCCTGTCTCCAGTTCCATACACCATCTGAATTGCTTCCTATGATGCGGACAACTCCGCCGCTGCAATCTGTATGTATTACACTCTCCAAACCGATTTCTCTTTCGATATTCCATACCAAATCTATTGGAACTCCGAGAAATCCCTGTTTTCTGAAATCTACCAAGCTGGGGCTGCTTAAAACCAATACCAGTCTCCCTGTGATTACAACGAAAGCTCCTTCTTGCTTCAGGGCTTTACACTTCACCAGCTTCTCGCCTTTGAACTTCAGGGAATCTCCAACCTCCATAAGTACTGCTGTCCCGACTGCTTCTTCCCATGAGTAAGGCCTGAGAGGTTGTTCTCTACTCAGAGGCCTGGGAAGACGAAGCCTATGCCTTTGGGATCTTATGTTATGAATCCTGCTTCGGTTTCTGATACTCTGTGCGGTTTTTCCAGTTACCTCAAGGATACTAGCCGTTGGTCTGGCCACAAGTCCAGTAATCCCCATGGCCACTCCTGAACCATATAGAGGCACCCAGTTAACATGCATAAAATTAGAAAAAGCCAGAAACAAAAGGACAGCATGTACACAAACATGAAATGTCTTGAATATTTATAAATGACTTAAGTTGGTTCTCGGTTAAATACCTGAGATGACGCCTGGAAGACCATGTTTCTCAGCTCCTCTTATTGGTGATTGAAGGAGACCAGTGAGTCCCTGTGATGAACATTGTGATGGACTATTTTTAAGTAAAGTATAAACCAAGCAGATATTTTCATCTCATGTATAACCAATCAAATTATATTTGCAAGAATCAGTGCAATGTTCACGTTTCAGCTGTTGTTTTCTCAGGCCATCACAAGCATACTTAATTCTTTATGCAAGTTCAAAGGGCAATGGAATTGATGACCAATATGGCAAAATATCTGACAGAAGTCAGTGAATTCAAGACTAAGTGAACATCAAATCAGTATAAAAGACATATTTCCAAAGAAAGTGCAAATAATATACCTCAAACACTTCACCTATAACTCCTTTGCTACGCGATCCTTCGCCCAATTGCTGCTTCTCCATCCTTGCAACATCATGGTCATTGAATGTAAATGCAACAATACCCTGCAGCGATTTGGAAATTCTGTGAATATTTCTTGAAGGTGGCGTCTGCACCATAGATTTTTAAGCAAACAGATGCATCGTACCTTGTGTGCAGCTTTACTAAATTGAGTGGCAGCATCACTTAAAGCATAAACAGTGCTACTAAAGAGGCTTGTGGTTCCGTGAGCCATTCCTTGAATAATTCCTGCTGGGCTCTGTTCAAGTAATCTAGTTTAGCATATAAGTAAAAAGTAACTAAACCAGAAATTACAGGAAAACGTTAGTCAACAAAAAAAAAAAATTAATCAAAACCTTTGAGATACTCCTGCTGGGAGCTGACAGGAAATCTTTAATTCCAAATGCAACATTCCTCGCAAATCCCATGGGATTTCCAATAACACCAGCAGAGCCGAAGACCTGTGTGTTTAAACAAGGGAAAACAGGTTATATTAGATTGCAGAAATGCGTCCAGCAGGTATATAGTGAATAGTATGACTGCTATAGGGAATCAAAACAGTTAGTGAAAAAATGACATTTTACCAGTTCTTACCTTGTAAATCTCATGAAGAATTTGGCGGGTATAGTGCCCAACGAGGATCTCCTGAAATGATTCCCAACTAGTGATTTGATGAGCAATTGTCAATTGCTTGAGATGTATTCGAGCACCCTCGACATCGGCAAGAGCCATTAGACCTCTCTGAAATCGAATAATAACGATTCAGTTAACCATATTAAATACAAGATCCTTCAATTTAGAATTAACACGGCGCTCTAAGATGCAACAATGAATCAATATTATGTTATAATCCTTACAATCGGGTCCAAGGAGAGATGAAATTACAAAGTAATGATGAGATTCAAGATCAAAACTCTCTTTGTTTCTCAAGAAACGAAGAACACGGAAAATAGTACTTGAGTATCAATAGCCAAAGCAAAACCAGAAAACGGTTTGCTTTGGAGTCCCTAATTACTGCCAAAGTCATAAGAGCTCCTAACTAAACCATTGGTCAAAGAACATTAATCTGTTCTCCGGCCTTCTATGAATAGTCTATCAGGTAATCCCAGAGTTGAAACAAAGAGAATATGGTAAAAAATGTCAAAATGGGTATTTGGCCAAGAAAAAGAAGGAAGAAGACTATTCAAAATTTAACGTCATAAATCATTTATGCATTGAATTTCAACAAAAATAAAACTATGCAATATATCTAAGGAATGTTGCAAGAAAAGTGAAGGTACATTACATGGATAAGGGACTCTCCTGAAGTAAGAATGCCATTCCTAAGCATCCAGGGAGCACTGCAGAAGCTGTCAATATTGCGACACACAAAGGACCCATGTCAAATCTACAGGTAGATAGGTTACCAAAAGTATATTTATCCTGAAAGGACAATTTATAGCTCACCTTAACGTAAACTGAATAGGGGCCAAGTCGAATGATTCAACATAAATTTTCCTGTGTCTTCGAGCCAACAAGTGAATATGCTGCCAAGGAGCTCCTATTGGAACCACTATAGGCAGAGCTACAATGCTTCTCTGGCTTTTGTTAAATACAGGAATGTTTCTTGCATGTGGAGTATCTTCTGAACTTATATCCTTGGAACCAGTGTCATAAATCAGAGGACGTAGCGTTGGATCTGAGAGTGGCAGGAGTCTAGCCTGAGAATTGGGAAGCACTGCTTTTACAAACTCTAGTAAGGATAAAAGTGTTTGTAGCTCGAGCTCAAGTCCAAATTCACCAATCCTGCATTTGTTTAAAGCAAACTGAGAATTGGGAACAAAATGTATATATTTATAATACAATGAACTGAGTGAATACTAAGGAGAATGTAGACCATGAATCATACCTAATATTTATGTACTCAAAAGAAACTAGTGAAACATCTTTTTTCCGCCACTTTGCTAGGCCAACATAGACTACTGCATCACGGGAATTACCCCTAACTTGCTGCACAGTTTCACTTAAAAGTATTGCTTTTTTATTCTTAACTCCCCAATCAGGAGGAATGCCTTTGTGGTCATGATTGAATGACAATATGACAGGATACGAAGAATTGTGAAGTGGGTTGTCTATCTGTAGTGAAGAGATCTGAAAGGAAAGCTTCTGCTGATCTACACTCTGACTTAACTCTAACACAACATTTGATGCACAAGCATAAACCAATTCCTGTGAGGAGGAAGATTGGAGCATTACAAAAATATTGGGATGTAATATAGACGTGCTTTATATTTTCAGGGGATATTTACCTGTGGATAAGAATTAACCAAAGATATACCAATGCTTGGCAGGACAAGCAAGAACGTTTCTGTGTAACGGATGACATTATCAGTTTGAAGCTTTTGCTTTCCCTTCACATGGAATCTGGAGTCAAACGTTTCCTTTATATCTTTCATAGTGTGATAACCTGAATCTACAACACTGAAAACCTGGAATGGGGAAAGACAAAATTAACAAGTTGCATCAGCAACAGAGAGAGAAGTAGTTGTCCTCAGAAAGTTAGCTTAGTTAAAGATATTGGTATCAGAGAAATTATACCTTTGTAGCTCCTTCAGCACAGATAGATAGCAACAGCGTCCTTTCAGGTTTCTGAAGCAGGTCAATTAATAAAATTAAGTAGATAAGAATACCTGAGACTCACTGATAGAGTGGCTACATACAACTGAACAAGGATATATCACGTCCTCTAAGCGCATCTTTGCATTTATTATGTGAAACTCAAAAGAGAGTATTATAAGAAGGAAAAAGTGAATGAAGTTGGTTGATCTTATCAATTATATGCTTTATTTTCATGTGATTAGCTGACATATATTTTCGTTTTTAGATTCATTCAGTATCAGTGTAACTTAAGGTCTAGCAACAGAAGATATTTATTTAGCCAGGATGATGATACTGACTTGAATTTCTGCATACATACCAAAAAAAAAAAAACAAAGCATGCATTCATATCGTCCAGAGCTGCATGCGACTGGATATTGAAAAGTTTAATCCACTCCATCTCATCATTTTAGCAGGCCCAGAAAGCCTATACTGTTTGAGTTCAAACTTAATTTGGAAAAGGAAATTTGGAGATACTCTACATTAGGCTAAAAGACTCAGGACGTAACTCACTCAAATTTCATGCGAATATTATCCTAAATTAGACTAATGAGAGATTGGCTAGTATTTTTTTGTTCATAACCAATGCACAACGAAAGTATGCTGGTAAGACATTCCAATATATAGATTCGTCTAGAATGTACGAACCACTCAGCAAAAGCAATGATAACCACAAATATATACATAACAAAGTTGTTTGTGATATATACCTCAGAGGTGGAGCGCAAGTGCACTGCAATAGGTTGTTTTGTTATCTCAAATGCATAAGAGCCTATGACACGATCTCCAGGCACCTATATACATCAACAAGAGAAAACAACGTAAGAAAGGGAAAGGAAGAGAACAGCAGCAATGATAAACTTCAATCGATACAAAGAACTGATTTGTTATTAAGCAGAAAATGTAATCACCATACCTCAATGGTCAAACGATGTGGATAACAGGGTTCATCCCAAGCATAAGGGCAAGATGTGTAAGGATGAACTATGGTATCAAAAGTTTCACATTTTTGTTGATAAACCCTCAGTCTCTATCACCACAAAAAAAAAAATCCATATTCAGTTCCTTGTGGGAGTAAGTAAGGATTACAAAATCAATATGATATCACACATCGGCGATTCAGAAAGCAAGTTTTCCAGTAGGAAAATGTTTTCACCAACAATTACACTTGGTCCCAAATTTACATGCTACAGTAAAGACAACTAGCATAGCTCACACGATTGATACCAAAGAGAATCAAGTACAACTTTAGGTCTGATAGATATGGATTACTCAATTTAATGTTCTGAATGCTTTGAAGTATACAGACAATGCTACTTAAATTTGTAGAGTTTAACGACCTGTGAACTGACAGGAAGAATAACTAAAACTCTTTAGTTGGATTTAAAGAACCATCAACCGTAACAATACTGACCTCATTCGAGAAATTATCAATCCTGTAAGGCATATAACCCATGTCGTCATCTGATAATAGAATAAAGTTTGTCCCGACATGTCCATGAACACTCCCTACAATCTTTTCATCTCCGCTTGACATATTGGCATTCTGAACTTCCACCCGCACCATGTTGAAAGCTTTATTAACATAGTTCCAAATCTTCAGTTGAGTATCCCCTAAATGATCTGGCAAGAAGCTGCCTGACCATTGCCATCCAGGCTCATTTAAACGGATTGAAACTAGTAACTCCCTGTTTATATAGAAGAGTAAGTGGCGTATAGGTAGAATCTTTTAACTGTAAATTCTCTCAATACAAGGTAAGGTAAATATTATATAGCAACAGTGGTGGTTTCCAAATGATTTCCAGATTTTGAGGGATGAGAAACGGAATTATTCACGCCTTAATACGAAGAATGTGTTATAAGACTTAAATAAGTAATGAACGAACCTCGCAGTATCTGTCCATTGAAGCTGACAATGCTGTCCAACAGCCAGATGAGAAACTAAATTGGTTCCCTTCTGCTTGTAACACAAGTTATGGCTGCATGAATTACAGATGACATATCTGCAACATGGGAATTTGTTTAGTGGATACATAGGGATAATGGTTCAGGAGAAAAAAAAGAGCATTTGGTGAAACTGTCTATCACCTAGGTTGGAAAGTAATTGCTTGCGTTCTCCCTGCTAATGCACCACCAAGAATAGAACACGTAACAGATAATAAAGCTGATTCACCAGGCGATGGTTGTGGGACAATTACATTGGTAGAACCACTGGGTGGAACAAGAGGAAATGGAGCAGACCACAGGGGGTATGGGCTACTTGAATTATCCCACTCTGGCAGGTCCCTTTTGACTCGGATCATGGTGTCACTGGCCCTGGAAATAGGGCAAGGTGAATAAATGCATGCCTTTACTTTGCCAGACTCATTACCTTGGAAGCACACCTCTCTTAAACTTTTTGAAGAAAGACTCCTCTTGCGAACAATTGGTGAGTCTTTTGGATATGCTGCAAAAGGGACTTGGCGAGTTGACTGAGTCACATGCCTATCCAAAAATCTCTCAGTACTGGAAGCCGTGTTGCTGCACTCCGATGAGGAAGGACTAGAAGGGATATCCTCCATTAGAACTTTATCTAGCAAATCTTTCTCAGAGGTCAAAATCCCAAGACCAACTTTTCGACTTTGAACAAAATGCTGCTCAATCAGGTTGTAGCAGGAGGGAATTACGCTGTACATCGCTTTAGTTTCATTGGTGCAGTCTGAAACAATCAGAGGAGTTCCAGTGCAGTTGTACAATAGAAATGGGACAAAGATGAATACTTCCCGAGCCCCACATGTTGCATCCATTGTTTTCTCACACGATACATAAACAGAACCTATAAGATAATCAATATTAAAATTGTCTCAAAATGAGTAGCCAATTTTAAACATAAAGAGATAAACCTTACCACCACCAACGTAAGAATCAAAGGAAATAGTTTCAATCTGAGAGAACTTCCCTCCACTGAACTTAGCCGCTGAGCTAAAAGTTTCTGAGCGTGAAAACTTCAAAGATGATGATCTATAGCCATTTAGTTTGAACTCAAGGACCAGATCATGTGAAGGATCAATGTGATGGAATGGCGTCTCCCCCTAAAAAGATACATTTTCTTGTCACATATATAATACCATATCAACCATATAAAAAACATGATTCAACTCTATCTTCCAGAAGGAAATTGTATGGAAATATCTCTCAGACCTCAGGAAGGGATGCAGTCTGAGTGATGCCACCACTTTCGATAGAAAGTGATATTGGTTCTGGAAGACAGTTGCTCACAACAAATGGAGTGCTTAAAGTTACTTGATGAATGAATCGCTCTCTTGATTGGTCAAGATCGTGCAACTGCTGACCAAAATTTCCATCTGGCAAATCATTAAGATGAAAGGATGCCGGCAAGCTAGTGCTCTGAACAGATATGCAACACCGAAATGGTTCATGGCTAGGGTGACAAGGATAACAAGCAAAAGATCGGCGAAATCCTATCCTGCTATCTTGAGAAAGAACTTTGGAGATGCTATGAGCTTCACTCCACAAATAAGAATCTCCGAGGGGACGCCACCGAAGCCGGCCAGATTTGGCCAAGTGTAGAGGCAGTGGAAATTCTTGACCAGGAAAAATAGGATCTAGGATCTGAAATAGAATTGACATAATAAGAATAAAAGATGGTGTTCAGATCAACCAGGTAAGGCAACTAGAAAAGAAAAGAAACAAAGCTTAATTTTCTTAAGAAGCACAGAAACAGTGTCTGGTACAGATAGAACAAACTGGCATATTAGAATTCAATAACCTTTGGGGAGATGCCAAACGGAATATCAAAGCGAAGTTCCAATGGCATGGATGTGGAGTTGAAAATTATAACCTGAAATAAGGGAAAGGTCAAACGCAGAATCAACATTTATAAGAACAAATATACATTGTAATGACGTCATACATACAGTAGAGTATACTCGTATCAACTTGCTCTGCTGCTGCAATGAAACCTCGTACACAACAGGAACAACAAAGCTGCTTCCAGAACCAGATTTACTTGCTTTCTCAACATTATCACTGGAGTTCGATGTTTTGGAAAAATCAACCTCAAAATAGGAAAGGCCAATTCGATCCATTGAATGAGGAGGAGAAGCAAAAGATGTTCCATCAAGTTGGACCTTCATATAATGATGTATGGCATCACCAGATTCACTGCTGAAACAACCAAATTGACTTCGACGTCTATCAGGAATAAGTAGTGTGTCACTATTATCGATATAGATGGGAACAGAAGAACCGGGTTGCACAAAGTTCTGAGCCACTGGAGCTGACATATTTAGCACATCTGAATCATGTCCTTGAAAAACTTGGTACCCCAAAGGAAGAGAAGTTAAATTCTGAAGTACATATGGGGAATATCGTTCTGTCCTGGAACTTTTGGTGCAGTAAACTGACAATCCCTTATCATCAGGAATGACATCTGTTTCCATCAATTCCAAAGTGTTCGACATCTCAATTATCCTGAAAATGCACTTCAGCAGAGAAAGGACAAATTAACATATATGGAACTTAGGGTTTACAGATAATGAGTTTGCCAAACATATTTCCGTTGATGATTGATAAGGAGTGAGCCAAACCAAGCCCACAAAGACCATTGGTAGAACTGACAACAAAAACTAGTTAAGGGTTTTGGTGCCCTGAGGTTTTCTAAAGTTTTGATTTGGTTCCCTCCCATCCGATGTGAGACTATTTAAATACCCAGAGTCTTATCAATAATACAAGTAGACAGAAAGTTGGAAGCTACTCATCCTATCTGAAAACTAGTGAGAAATATGATTATAGGATTTAGCACCAAAATCACAGTATTAAACCAAGCTGACTGAAACTAACCAGTCCCTGCCAATATTAATTACTACAGAAGATTTAACAGGGAAGAAATTATATCTATCTTACCTCAAAAAGAGATTCTGTTATGTTCAAATTGAGATGATTTGATGATGCAACAATTACTTCAGTGAGCCCAGCATTGTTCAGCAAAGAATTTGCATCAAATTTTCGGGATAATTTGATATCAAAATTCCAGGGCTCAATAAAAGGCTCCCACAAGACCTTCAACATAGATCCACAGGTGGTTATCAGCATACTACCAAAACAAAGATAAAAATGACAGCAGGATTCTGTTTCTGCCTCGTACCTTGTGCATATTATTATAATTCACTTCAAGATCACATGAAACCAAACTCTCCATATTCTTTTCGGTCAGATTAGCTTGCAGGAGAAAGTTTCTCATAAGAACTTCAAGAAGCATACCGCTACATCCCCACTGCATGAGAATATAGAGACAGGAGAAGTCTTCAGCAGAAGTAGCTCAAAAATTTCAAGCTGACCAGTGGCATATATAGTGCAAAAGCTAATAGACAAGGAGCTCACAGACAATCATGGAAGAAAATATGTTCTAGACAACAGAACGCAGACCCTTACCAACCAAAATTCACCCATCAAATCAAGCTCGTCGGTGAAGAAATATTAAAATCGTCATCTTAAGCACTAATTACAAAGAAGTACCATTAAATTCATACATTAACTGATCACGAAGACAAACACACACAGTACAAGGTATATGCTAATGCAGCACTTGATGAATATAAAAGTGAGATCAATGGTGCAGTGTATTCTTAAAAAATTACATTAGCATGTAGAAATCGAGCAAAGAGATGTGAACTGCCAAACAAAGACATGGACTGGCACAACAGAAGTGGCAACACAATAACAATGATATACACATAAGCAGCAAAAGTGAATAATTGTGAGGCCAATTCTGTGTGAAATAACATTGAGAGATGTATTATTTAGTATATAAAGCACAAGCGTACCTTTCCATCAGATATAAGAAGAGACACATCTCTTATCTGGACTTTTATACTCATGTTTCCTTGCGAATTTTGTGAAGATGGTGTCTCAGGTGCATCAAACGTAATTCCATGCCAGAAAGATAATACTTGATGAGATGCATGCATCTCTACATTGTCAGACAATATCCCCACATCTATGCTCATGATTTTGTTCTGATCCATCTGAATACTAGTTTCTACAAGTAGTTGTGCCGCCCCAAATAGAGAGCAAGACCTGACAGTGTCAACCCCAGATATTGCAAGAATCCCATTGAGCTTTTCAATCTTATAGCTCAGTTTGACATCTCTCCCAAGAATAGAGAGTTCGCCGCTCCTACTACGCGCTGTAACAGAAACATATTTACAGTAATTCCCTTTAAAAAAATTTGTGTGCTCTTCCTCAGATATCTCATGAACATCAGTTGCCATGAACCCTGGAAATTCTGTATGGCTTGTGCAAAGAGGAAAATGGATTTGGACCCCAATAGTCTCTGATCTTGCGGAAAATGCCATTACCTCACTAGAGTTCTCTGATACCTCAGTTTGCAGAACATTCAAAACCCGATCAGTATTGTCACAAATAGTCCTTACCACTCCAATAGATTCATCCATATCCAAGTTTGAACCTTTTGACAAAAAAGGGTCTTCCAGTATCTGGGAATAAGATTTCAGAAGTTCAATAACTTCAATCCAATCAAAAGAGTGTAACCAGATGTCTAGAGATGGAAGAGAAAAACAGAGATCGTATTCATTTTCAGCCTGTTCCGTAAATCTGACTTTCAGTGCAGAAGGATCCCCATATGCATTGATGCATCTAGCTAACATGACTGAGCTCAGCAATGAATAAATCCCGATTTCGAAAAATTGAACATCCAAGCTCATAGGGAAATTATTTTTAAATTCTCCAGAGCAAACAAATTTCATATCAGCTTGGAGCACTGGTTCGGATAGCAGTGTTCCAGGATCTTTCCTTAACCGATGCAGTTTTGACGTCAAAAGATTGACAAAAATTCTGAATTTTATAAAGCTTGTGGAAGATCCCAGGGGGGCAACTGACAACTCTTGCTTTAGACGCATCTTCGTACGAAGAAACTGAGGAACATCAGACACGAAAAGTTTTGATTCCTCATCGACTAAAGAAAGCTGATCAACCACATCAAGAAATGCCTTAAACCCATCCAAGGCATCTGAATCTGCAAAGAAAAAGAAAAAAGATAACACATGTAAGCATTACTTGAAATACATGATCACTGTAGAAAAACAGAGAGGGTTGAGGAGCAAAAGTTAACATGGAGGGAAACACCACCTACCATCCACAACAATTTCACAAACGTCAACCCTTGACATAACACATGCCAAATCCGTTAGCGGATTGCGATCACAAGGGAAGCTAATCCAAGCATCAGCAATAATGCTAGCAGCTAGAGTGATACTTCTGCACATGGCGTCCTTCTCGAATGTTGATATGCCACTCTCAGAAAGCAGCAATGATACCGATAAGTCCCGCCCAAATATGTTTAAACAGTCAGCTCGCTCTGCTACTTGATTAAGCGGAATAACACATTCCTGTGGTATGTGCTGCACCACATTGTTCAAAGCACACTCTGGAACAAAGCTAATATATAACTGCTGAATGTCAACTTTCAGTTGCCGGCGGTCATCATCTTCCACAGGAAGAACTATAGAGGAGTCCAGTATCTCAATTTTATAAGCAATGGCAAACTCAGAAGGAGCCTTGGTCAACTCAGTAGCTTGTGGCAACGACTGCAGGCCAGACTTCGAAGTCCAGTCAGAAAGAGAGAAGTAGCCAATTATAATGGCCAGATATTCCGGAGGTAAAATGCAGCATGTGTGTTGAATACCTATGCTCACTTCAAGTTCAGAACCAGAAGGCTCCAAATCCTTCTTCCTTACACGTAGGTTCAAGACCTGCGAGACATCTGTTGATGAATGTTTCCAAAGAAACCCACCAGAATAGTTGGTGAACAAAGATGACTCCAGCATCAAGTCTTCAGCAGAGGCAACCAAATCGAGATGATCATCTGAAATGGTAAGAAAGTATCTGAATACTGGCAGTATAATAGTTCCAAAAACACTTGAAGAATCATGAAAATGCACATTGGTGTTGAAGACATGCATATCAACTGTAAAGTGATTGGTCTGACCAAGATCACTGGATGACGCAAGCCCATTCAGAGGGCAATCACGTTTTGGTTGAAAAGTACAGCTGTTACATTCGCAGTTCAAACCTATTTGTGCCCCATCCTTTTTATTCCTTAATATAAATAACTTCCTCCAGTCAAAAGTCGAATAACACAGAGAACTTTCTAGGCTATCAAGAGAACCCGAATTGTAAATGGTTACAAATGGATATTTGTCAAGAGGAATGCAGCCACAAGATCTACTTTCAATGAAGTTTGAGAATCCAAACCTTTCAAAATCAAACTGAGGAATTTCTGCTGGAGCACTGGTATCTGTAGTAAGGCTAGATGGATTTGTATCGCTAGACGAGATCTTATAGGAGGCTATCTTATCCAAAAAATTTGTCAGCAAACCAAATATGTATGGGTAGCAATGGAGTTCAGCGCCCCTCCAATAGACTGTATACTTGTGAAAAACAAAACTTTTACTTTGGGAAACCTTGCAATTTAAGCTGATAGCAGCTTCAGGAGTTGTTCCGTAATCAATAATGTTGGTTTGATCGCTAGTATGAGCATCCATCCCAGGTCCATGGGAAGAAGATTTGAGTAGATTTGCAGATGAACATAAAATATGACTGTCAGCTGCATCTTTAGAGGAGCAAGCTGTCATTTCCAGTGTTTTCGCACGGACTGACCACTCTTCAAATTTGGTAAGCGAATACCTGAAAATGACGATTGTACAAGGGAACTTGTCAGGAACCCCCAGTGATACAATATTTAACAATTGAGAACCAAGAGAAAAAGAATTAGAATGGACGTGGTTTTGACAATGAGATCAGTAGATGAGTTATAGGTAGTGATCGTAAGACCAAATATGTGTGATAAGAAGCATGTGAACAAGCAGACATCACCATGGTAAATACAGATATACAACAACAAAAACGCTAAATTCATGCTTGTTTAATAGCTAAAGGTTAAATTTCCACTGATACTGTATAAAGACACAAAATGGGCTACTTTTACCGTTGCAACAATTACCTACCAGAGATCCAGCTGCTGTATAGAAAGAACAATCACTGTGCTATTTTCTCCTTCATTTTCGAGATTGACGTGCAACCTGAAAAATGCCAAGTTGGTTTTTATGGTGAAGTGAAAGATGGAGCAGGGGAAGGTGGAGCATTTCGAGCTCCATGATCCTGAATATCAAGATATTCAATCACAGACATGACTCCTTTAAATATTGACGGAGAGAAATGGACATTGAACATAGGCAGAGTAGCTTCAACCTGAAAATGAATGGAATGGCAAAAATCAATTCCAAAATGTGGTCGACGCCTCTATTAAAGTACAAGAAATAAGTAAGTTTATCATTCACTCAGCTAAACTTAGACACAGCCACCTCAAACCTGAGATAAATTGTAATACCTCCAACTGCTTCAAAATCGACTCCTCCGGAATTATACAAGACGCAAACTTGATAAGTAAAGATGATTTCTCCACAAGGGGAAGTTCTTGGAAAGGATGAATCTTCATGAGCTTCATCTGCACAAGATGCACATGTAAGAACATATGTGATTGCTTAAACAGCTCCAATCAAAAAGAAAAAGAAAATTAACATAAACATATCTTACCTCAAGGTTACAGATTTTGATATCAAAATGGTCATAGAGATCTTTGACTTGAAAGCATCCAAGGCTGCAACGGAACTTTGTAAGCTATTGACCACATGGTCCGCATCAGACTCCAATCTTGGACTTGGGCTAAGAGCATCTGTGCTACTAGATGTGATAGAAAGAGATTCCAATACCAGAACCTGTACAAGGAAATGCACAGAAAGATAGAATAAATACTGAGAAGGATACAAATAAGAAAACACAGACACTTATATGTTTATATAAGCGAAATACCAGATTATAGCTTTCTGATTCAACCAATCGTCCAGGGAAACTTAAGGTAAGATCTTTTATGTCCAGGTCCCACTTAACTTTATTTCGGCTTGATAAGAGGTATCTATGAAACAAACCACGACACAAATAAGTATCACGATCAATTAGGATATGAATTTATCCCACATTTCGATAGAGGAAACACTTACTCAGCTTTCGCTACCAATCGCGTTTCACTTTCAAGGCCATTGAGTGATGATAAAATCTGAGCCACAAAAGAGAATCGTTAATGGGTTCCTTTGTCAATTCATAAATACAATCTATAGAATTCATAAGTCCAGTACAATCACAGAGACAAACTGACATTATATTCTACTTATAACCACACTTGCTTAAAACTTGTTTTTCAAAACTTCACTAATTATTTCAGAACAAACATTACGAGCATGTAGTAAAATAAGAGCTCACCCTTTCATGTTGGAGTTTGAAGTATCTTGAACCCATGAAAAATTTACTGACAGCTAGAAAGAAGTCTACATCATAAGCAGCTTCAAGTGGTTGAAGGGTGACCTACAGAATCAAGATGCAAAAATCTATAACAAAGTCAATCCTAATAGTAAGCTATGAAAAAAGACCAAGACTCCTGAGAGGAGCAAACATTGTGTTGTCCACTGATGCAAGGTGCAGTTAGTTCACCTTTAATGACAATGCAACATCATGATCTTTAGACAACTTCAATCGTGCTCCATATGAGGGTTTCGTTTCTAGTGTATCACTCTGAGAACAGACCTGCATGAAACAATTAAATTATTTTTCCTGTAAACATTATGAAAAGCGCTAAAATCGATTTTTATAACAGACTACGGAGCATAAGTTACACCTAGATGGTTCATATCACCTTAGTAAACAAGTACTAGTTTGATAATGTTCATGATTTCAGATATTAGCAGTTATTAACAATATGGCATAGGGGTAACACAATATTAGGACACAAACCCCTTTCATGGTTAATATTTCTTTCCCATTGTGAGGATAGAGCAGCCTTCCAGAAATAACAGATACAATCATGGCTGTAGAATCTTTCCAAGACTTGCATTCAACAATCACCCCCAAAATGTCCAACTCTGAAATAACTTGAGAAGAACTCCTGTGGAATAAATAAGATAAAAAAGAATGAAAATACAAACTCTAAAAGGCAGAGGCCAAGATGAAGTAACTGAGAAATTGTAACTTACCCAGTTATATGTTGCAAAGTACCAGAAATTTTGGGTACGTTGAGTCGAATGGAGCACGTACAGATCTTACCAGTTGCACTTGTATTTCTAGGAGATGACGAAAGAGGGTGAAACTTTGTTGCCCTTGTGTATATCCTGCAATGGATGAACAGTTACTAGGATGTTTCAAAGAATTCTGAAACTCCATTGCTACTAAATGGTACTTAAAATACCTTGACAACTTCATCAGAAACAACACCAGAAAACTGACTTGAATCCTCTGTGCCTCCGGCACCAAGCATTCCCCGTGACAACCAGTTCAACCACCCACGCGACTTATTTAATGTAGGATCGTCACTCGGTTCCTTTTCAGGGGCGCTCTGTTCCTTTCCGGAGCCAGTGGCACCAGTCGCTCCCATGTTCACTGTCAATTCTGAACAAGCTTCCTGCATAATAAGATCCAAAGGTAAAAGGACAGATAATAAATTGCCATTGCTAGGACATCAACTTCTGATAGATATCTGAACAGCCTTTGGTATCTCAGCCAAAGTATAAAATGCTACAACAGCAACCTAATTTACCATACCTGCATCTCACCTTCCGCTGCAGACCTATAACTTAAGATATCATCAATATCAGACTTCTTCTCGACTTCTTCCAAACCCAAACGGATAGACTCATCGATTGACTGTAGCCAGAGGCATAAAGCACAGCCATATTAGTAGAGAAGTCACTTGACAAGAAAAACTCAGGTTTTAAAATGTTATAGATGATTAGATATGAAGGTTACACGAATTAGTTGAACAAATATGTCCAACGTAAAGCATCTTAGTAACATATGTTGGAGACTAAGGCAAAGCAACAAAAAGTTTAGGGAAGAGAACAATGAACATATGTATTTCTTTCAGTCAGCAATTTCAGAACAACTACATTTTTACGATGATAAGCTCCTATAGAGTATTTTATTGATGTTAGAAGAAGATTAAGTGTTCTTCAATTTCCGTTTTTTGAAATGTATGATGACGCTTAAACCAAGTATATTATGCAATTTCTACCTCTGATTCCAACATTCCAACAAGTTTAAAAGTTCCCTTCACTGCTACAGCTACCTATGCAATAAACCAGAATAAATCATTCATATGGAAGCACATGCTAAGATATAAGATTTTCAAAAATGGCAGCCCTTATTCAAATATGCTTCTAAATCATCTTCTCCTTACCACTACGCATTCTTAGAACACAACCAGATGATTAATCACCTCATACTATGCTCCCTGATGGACTTATATGATGTGAAATGTGCTTCTAAACCATCTCCTTACCACTAGGTCCACTACCCATTCATATACATGCTGCTGCAGTAGTTAAGAGGACAAAACACATTGAAATGAAAAACCACCTCATGAGATGCTCCCTAATTATGTAAAATCACCTAAAAATAATGAGGCTTCTATATCTACATAAAATCCAACGGGTTGGGTTAGGCAATTTCATGCAGTTAAACAAATAGGAGGACACAGAGCAACATAATGAACAAACCCTGACACTTCTAATCAGATAAGGAGGAAAATAAGATCCTTGCCTGTTCTCTGAGAAGGAAATCTAGCTTTATCTTGTAGAAGTTGATATACCTCCTGCGCATTCTCCTGTATTTTTTCCCGAAACAAAAATCTAAAAATTAAGCAGACCGCTTGAATATATTCCGGGAGTAATTTTTCTACTTATGCCATGAACAGTAAGTTATTTGCGTGGAAGTAAAGGATACAGAAATTTTAAGAGAATCAAAATTGTAATAGATAGTGATTAAGCATCATCTAATTAAAATAAAAGAAATGATGTCAGAAAAGTAAACTTACATTCGCTGTTCAAGAAATCTCCATGAAGTTTTCCACAGTTTCTTACGTACATCAGATAAAATTGATTTTTGGGCATAGTGCCACCAAAGTTTCTGCCATCCTGGTGGTTTCCTCAATATGGAAGTGGAGCAGGGACGATACCCGCCCATACCTAAACCATTTAAAATGTTCTTAAATCAGTAGTTCTTCGAAACGTTCTGTAGTGTCAAATAGTAGAGCTAAAACTCAGGAGAAAAAAAAATATGAATTGAGGAAAAGTTATCGCTACCCTAATGAAAGGCTTACCTCTCACGCAATTGGCTGGTTTGCAAGTAATCTAACAGAATAAGAATCTGCTGCAATTGAAATTCATTCAGAGTCATGACCTGAAACGCATAAGTGGAAGTTAGAGTGAGTCATGAAAATAAATCTTAGCTCTGAACCTAGTTTAGCAATTTCTGAGAACTAACCACATCAGTCAACTCAGCGCTGATAGAATACTGAGGAAGATCGTCAAAAATCTCTCCAGATCGATTGACCTATGCAAAGAAGTGTATCAGGCAAAATGAAGAATGCCTATTTACATACAACACTAAAATGCACTCAAACAATAGCTGATGCACACCAATGTGCTTTCTGTATAAATATTGTATCATTGATCAGATAGCTGTAAAAATCTTTCACCAAATACAATGTCCATATGGAGCTGATGGTGACAATTAAACGAATTGGCAAAAACGGCAATGTAAATCATTTCTAGTAACATTGACTGATTAAAATGTCATCAAAAATTGCGTAGGCCATCAGGTAAATCAAGAAATAGACTCAGTACAGCAGATATAACATATAAATGTGTACATCTCATTTTAACATAACCGTAAAGCTAGAGCAAGGATGCAGCGCCTTGAAGCAGCAACAAGATTAGATGCTAACAAAAGATGTTAAAAGACAGCAAACCAATGACGCTGTTTTAGATCCATTACCAATAGCGTTACAGAAACATGGACTGGCTTCAGTAAATAACCAAATATATTGCTTTGCAATCTTGACTGGCACCAGTTGTCAAAACCTCTTTTTTCATTAACACTTGGAAAGTCCATGTTTCCCTCATACATGTCACAATATATTTCCAAACCTTCAATCTCCACAAGTATATTCACTTGCCCCCCTCTCACCCTACCAACTGATGGCCTGATAATTCAACAGAGACATCATGTCAAATATTTCAGGGTGCACATATATCCACCATGATCTTATCTTAGCAACAACAATTTAGCTTATGGAAGAAACAGGTATTAAGGAAATTTTACAGTAAGAAAGAGACAGTTGGAAGAAAGTTATAATGGGGTATACTCTATGCTGTCTCACAATGTGATTCAAAACACATCACCTTACCATAGAGTAATGCAAAGCTACAAGAATCAAATACGAAAGTGGAATATATTTTTAAGTGATATAGAAGAAACAAGGCAACTGGAAAGAAATTAATGTGGGGTATGCTCTCTGCTGTCTCACAATATAATTCAAAGAACATATCCTTGACATAAAATAAAGCAAAGCTCAGAATCAAACACAAAGTGGATATATTTTAAAGTGCCAGAGAAGGTGCATAAAGAGATTACCCAACTGAGTTTTGTTTAGTAACTGTCAAGCTTGAAAACCGCAATCCTAATACAACTTGCACCTGCGACAGCAGTTTAGAGTAAAACATATGAAAGTGGGAAGTAGACAACACCAAACGATTGTTCAAATTGTACTCTAGTGAATCGCAAGAAAGACTGATAGTAATTTAGCATCACAATGCTCAAATATTTAAATCTATCTAGATTCATATCCTCCATGATAAATGTTATGCTCTCACAATAAACCAAGATCACAGAACGATATCGATGTATATAAGTTTCTATAATTGCAATGGGAGAATAAAAAAATACAAGCCTATATTCTAGCAAACTAATTAACAGAACAAGCAGAAGACTTACTGATTCAGGTTGTGCATCGGAGTATAAGATGTGAAAGTTTCTGATGGACACTTGAATGTTATCAAGAACCTAAGCCAATAAGAAGGAAAGTTAACATAGTACAAAAAAAACAGACAAGAATGATAACCTCATCCAAAAGCAGGAAGATCTACGCATCCTTAAAAAACCGGCAACAGACCAATCATAATACGAAAAATGTAAGATGCTAAAACTAAGGGTTGCAAAAGGAGACTTGCGGAACATAATGTCACCTTGGCAGCAATAAATGAGAAAAAAGACTTCCCCGCTGGACTGTCTGGAAAAAGTAAAGATTGAAGGGTTGGACAAATGTTGCATAGGAGCAATCTTAAAGATAAATAAGAAGGATATTTGCTCACCGACGCGCCTGGACAATTTTGCTAGTTCTGCAGCAGCAAGCTTAGCTTGCTTACCAGCAAACTCTCTTTTCTCAACGACATCTGAACTCCACTGCAATATATAGGGGGTTTAGAGGCAAACACTTGTCCATGTATAGAAAAAAAGGCTACTATACAAGGAATTCACCTCTTGACATTCCGTTGTGATGCACATATAAAGACATCTTCAAGCATAATATTATAGGATCCCTACCAAGTTTCTTCCATGGAATTTTAATGCTCAATTCCCAACACGGCCTAGATAAACAACAAACGATTTGATACAGAGAAAACGAAGAAAGCTAACAGAATCGAAACTTCATCGACTAACTATATCACACTTGCTTGAGAGCAATTGGAAGCTGTAAACTCAAACGCTCAAGAATCAGTTCCACGTTCGCCAACAAGACTTCCCCTACAGATAGAAGCACGAAATTGTGCGTAAATCATCCAATAGAGTGAGAATAGAGCGAAAGAGAACGAGAGAAGACGTGCAAATACCATTCCAGAGTGTGATCTTGAGCTGGTCTTTTTTAATGTCTTTGATGTAGCGACCTAAGTACCCTAACAACAGTTGAACAACTCCTTGCACAATTCCTTCAAACATCTTTCAATCGCTATTTCATATTCCAGTGACGAATTTTTCTCCGCCGGGAGAAGAAGAAAATAGACGGTGGTCGGAGTAGTGCGAACGAGTCGAAGAATATCGTAGGGTTTTTTTTCCCGACGAAACAAAAAGACTTGTCTTCTCTCTTCTTCTTTCTTCTTCTTCACAAGACTAACCGGACTAGACCAAACGTGCCTAATGTTTACAAATTTGATTACCCTAACCGCCGCTAAAACGTAATTTGGTTTATTTTCTACCTTTTTTTCCTAAGATTTTCTAAACAATAAAATAATCAATGTCTTAAAACCTTAGCATCTAAATACCTTAACCTCTTGAATTAAATTCTTGATGTTGCAGACTCCTGGGGAGAATGTGAGTTTCGTGTGGTGGCGCTTTCGGCCTTCTTCGATTGCTAAAAGTGTGATAAAGGATGGTCGGTTTCATTATGGCACTTTGAGGACCAGCGGCCTGGCTCCACGATCAAGTGTGAAATGAAGCAAATTATTGAATTTCTTTTATTTGTTCTAGTTTATGTTATCTTGGTTTTTCGAATTTTATTCGGATATTATTCTTTTATGAGCAGATGAAATTTTCATAAAAAAAAATTGTACTATCAAAAGAAGCTCAACTATAAGACAAGCAGCTATATGCCTTGGTTTGAGCCTTGGAGACTTGGCAACATTAATAGTAGAAAAAGAAAGTAGACGTTCTTTTCTGGTTGCCAATAATCGGTATGCATTGATCACCATCACTTGATGTAAGCTTTACGTTGTATACGACGATGCTCATCCAAACATTCGGTTGCTGCCTGAAACTACACACACCTCTTCTTTAAGCACTCTCACAGCTTCTGTGACTCCATCCTGAAATCATCAATTTTTTGGATACCCTAAAACTATCAGTTGCCACAAAATACTCAAACTATGAAATAGAAGACTCCATGGGAAGAAAGGATACGTTGATTCTGGGGAGATGGATCAGTAGGAGAGAATAATAAACTGATCGTAACTAGTTACCTCAAGAGATAATATTTCAGCAATTTCCATGGCACGAGCCCTACTTTTTGCAGACAGTGCATCGTATATGCTTTGCTACCACTTGTGCAGCTTCCATGATGTTTTCATCATTTGGTTCCTCTAGAAGCAGGTGGTTTCTTTTCAATGGTTGAGGAGCACTCCAAGCCAAGACATCTTTTCTGCCCAATAGAACTGATCCAGCATAAATGGGCATATGATCTGTAGAAAGGCATACACACACATTATGGTCACTTTTTGGCATTACACTTGAAATGATAAAAGCTTTAAGAACGTCAATCATCATTTGTAACCAAGCAGTGCACAAAACTATGGTTTATGAGCAAGTACTAGTAAAGTTTGTGGAGTATCATATAGCATACATTTTGAAGACATGACATGTTCTTCTGATGTACTAGTTACTGTACAGCTAAATTTCTACTGATCCTTCTAGACAAACAATTACTTTTACTAATATCAAAGATCTAATAAACTAACATACAAACACAAACCTGCGGGATTCCAGCCTGTAATGCTGCAGCAACAGACCCGCTGATTTCCACAGGGGATAATTCATATACAAGACAAGAAAAAATCAGTTCATGTCTAACTATGTGTGTCCATGTTCACCAGGAAAAGGCATCCAGCTGACATTTTCACCTGCCACCGTGATGAATTGCTGCAGCGCATCTTCGAAACATCCAGTTGTATGGCACCATACTAATTCAGAGAGACAAAGAATTAAGTAGGTTATATGGTCAATGTAATGTAGGTTTTGCCATTCCAAATACAATGATCTTTTATTTTTTAGGTAAATAATCGCCAACTAAATATTGGGCAAATTTGTGCTCACCCAGAGAAGCAGAAAAGCTTGCCATTGAAAATAGAGATTCCCGCATGTAACGGTTGTTTCTCACTTGAATCTGATCTATTAGCAATGGTCCCAATTGCTGCATCTAAAGGTCCATAACCTGCTGTGAAAATGATAAATCTGTAACCTGTAATCTGGATACAGATTGGAGAACTCGAAGAAAGGCTATGGGATCCCTTACAAAGCCCATGCTGCAAAAGCAAAGAGAACAATTACTACCGTACACTAATTCAGCATGGGTTAAATATATGACAGAGTAAGTCTCAGTATTCTTCTGATACAAAAGGTGATAATCAGAAATGATTCAAAGGGATCAACTTAAATTTAGACCTTCCAACAGAACTCAACCCTACAAAGATAGGTAGAGCTGGCTCACAAGACGATATAAAAGTATACAACTCAGAGTGGTTGGAGCATGTATGGGAATCGTCTGTACCCAGACG